AAGCCCTTTGTTAGTGCCTTTAATTACATTCATAATCTCCGACATTTGGCCACAACCATCATCATACGCATGAACACGTTGTACTTGAATATACCTAGTAAACGGTTCAGCACTGGACATCCAAAAGTCTAATCCTTTCAAACAGCTCAACATCCATTTGCTAGGGCTATTTTCCAGTGGCTCCCTGAAAGGACAGTTAATATGAACAGGGCCATATGGTGAAGAGGTTGCCCAATGTACAGCAGAGTCAAGTGTCGTAAGCACCATCCGTGCTGGAATATGATCAGTAGGTGCAGGAAGGCTGAAGAAAAACCTCACAAAGGAACCAAAATGGTTTACCTGGCATACAAATTTAAAAAAAATATGAAACTAAAGAAAAAAAATTGATCCATAATCTCAATGCTGAAACTAGTTCCACATGAAACTTCATCTTAGTACCAATTCTACATTAAAATGTTTATATAGAGAATTAGGATGTATCTATTACAGAAATGAAGTATGTTCACTAGCTCACCGTGTAAATAAATAACTCTAACTCAACTAGGCCTAAACTTCCTTTATTTGCCATAAGCCTCTATGCTCTGATGAAATTACAACTGTAAGATGGTTTACAACCATGAAATTCATAATCGTTCAATTTTAAGAGTATAATCAGTATATCACACACAAATACTACATAGGCATATGCATATTTATATACCAAAAAATAAAAATACTACTAAATAACATGTACTTTAAATACCTGATTGATTGCTTGGTTTGCCCCAGCATCCTGCAATTCTGCAGGACGGTCAGCTGTGAGCAATAGAAGCGGTACGAAATCTTGACTAGCCTCGACCACCTGGACATTTTTTTTCAATATTATGTGAACAGCAGAAAATTAAGAAAGTGTCATACACAGAAATAAAATCATACAGTTTGCATCATAAACACATATATGGTGAACACCGACTTGTAAAATTGGGATGAGAACATTTTCCAGTATGAAAAAACCAGAGCAAGACTATGCAAAAGTATTGTAGAAGGCCAAGTAGTTGAATACCATAACACAAAGTTGCAGAATAGAGAGGAACAAAATTAAATAAATAAATAAACATTTTTTAATCACTGAAAAAGCCTTGTATTTCAGTTGCAGAAAATAGATGAACCATTTAGGATTAATTTTGAGTAAACTTACAGCAGGAAGAAGGTTTGAAACTGCAGTTCCAGATGATGTTATGACTACTGCTGGTTTGTGAGATCCTCTTGCATAACCAACAGCATGAAATGCAAGTGAGCGCTCATCAAAGCATACAATACAAGTAATAAGAGGATGAGTAGAAGCAGCAACAGCAAGAGGGGATGATCTTGATCCTGGAGCTACACAAAAATACTAGAATGAAGATTAAGAATGAATTAGGCAAATGTACCACATTCAGAAATAGATAGACTTATAAATACTTAATCTCACCGTCAAACCAAGTCGACAACATTCTTCAATTATAAGCGATGCCCAAACAGTATTGATGTTGGCACAATCTTGAGCTGAGTAACACATTTTATGGGCTTGATCCAGCTGAGTAGAAAAGACATAAATCCTGAACAATATTCACCCAAGTTTGCTCCCTCCAACAATATTAAAATAAAAACTCAACGTAAGCATGTAAAGCAGGTATCATGTCTTCTGCCAAGATATCTTTTTTACTTCCGTTGCTCATAAGCATTCAAAGTATTTATGAACCTATGCTTTCCTAAAGTTAATAACACGGCAGTATCATACCATGTTACTAGCTACAGCAATGGTAGGTGAAAGCCTGATACAAAACTGGCAGGAAGATGGAGCCTCTTTCTGCAAAAGAGGTAAATGACATTAAAACAATCAGCCTAAGAATGTTCAACTTCAATAAATAAATAAATAAACACTAACGGAACAATATTAATTGCCTATCTGAGACACAAATAGTAAGTGCAACCCCACAGATGAAAATGAACAATTACCAGGAAAGGGAGGATACCAGTGCCATGATGTCAGCCACAACATATTTTCTTCTTGATGACAGAGCATTCATGTATACCTACAAAACCTTGTCACTCAGAAATGGAAACCAAAAAAACCTGACAGCCAAATAAATATAAATCCTTGACAAAATTCCAACCCAAACTTTTAGGGATAATTTGAGTTGTAAGCTTGTAACAAAGAGTTTAGATTGTCCACGTTTATCACTTTCAACATTATTTAATGGAAACTATTACATTATTGCAATGGGAAACACTACTTAGATTATCCAAAATCTTGATCTCTATACCATGGGAATAGTTCCATCCTCCTCAAGATTGAGCTTTCTAAGAGTACATCTTATATTCGTGGTGTGGTTGCTCTTTGCTGTGGGCCAAATATAACAACTGGCCTGAAAAGGCATATCATAGTCAACATCATAAGTAGGAAAAATAAGCCTACCAAAATGAAAAGATACAAAAGCACAGTTGAAAAAGAGAGACTACAACCACAGAATACCTGGTTAAAACATAACTCGTAAGAATGAATGGCGTCCTCAAATGTACAAAGGGAAGAGTCACTCCAAGCAATTGTTGCTGCTAAAATAGAAGTGCCCTCATACTCATGTAACTCAATCTGTTAAAAATAATATTCTTAATGTTAAATAGTAGTAATGTTATGTTCACTGTAGTTCAACCGCACAGCCATCAACTTCTACTATTCGCAATCCTAAATTTTGAAAGTGAAAATAACTAAATAGTCAAATCAACAAGCACACAAGTTTACCTGAGGAACGAAAAAGTAATACGAGCCTGCTTCATGCTTCATGAAAGATGACTCTTGGTCGTAATACTTATCCATAAAACCGTAAGCTATTACAGAGGTTGATTCATTTGATAAATATCTGAAAGAAAAAAACATGCATATATTTTTAACATAGCACACATAACAAAATGCAAACTTTCGATGATAAAAATCGTAGTGTTGATTATAAAAGAGAATGCGACAGAGAAGAGGGACATAAACGAACCTCTTGATCCTAGAAGAAGAAGAAAACGACGGAGTATAGTAAACTGCGGCACCAATTCCAAAAACTCCTCGGGTTTCATTCACATACAGCGATTTTAAACTCGGATTTTCGGTATCCTTGGAGATGAAAAACAGAGGATAAACAGCAGACGACTCCGGTTGACTGCAAAACCAGTTCAAGGCTTTGGCACTCGGCGGCACAGCCACCTGTGAAATTCACAATTCAGCGTACATTGTACGACTAACCAATAAAATCAAAAGAATAGAGATTTGATTACCTGAAACCTATGAAATCCACTAGGAGTAGAAGGAGGATTGAGCTTGAACTCTTCAACTAGCTCATTGATCTTTTGAAGCCCTTGCTCAAGAGTCAACGCCGGAGTCAGTGTCCGCGTGACGCAGGTCTCGATAACCAAGTCTCTGTCTTCGGTTTGCGATACTTGGCCGATTTCGACTACCGGGCCGTCGAATCTCACTCCTCGAACAACCTAAAAACCAAAAAAGAGCAAAAATATCATACACAAAATCCATAATACGGTGAAAAATAAAGGAAAGGGAAACGAGAAATGACATTGGAATTAGGATTTGGAGGGAGTCGAAAATGGCGGGAGTTTGGGTTGAGGAATGGGAAAGGCGGTGGTGGCGGTAGTGAGCGCATTGCGTCTGGGAGAGAGAAAGACCTCTTGTAAGGAAGGAAAGAGAGAGAATTGGTGAGTAAGAGCATAATAGCATTGAGGAGGGAGACTGGAAAAGAAGAGAAAGGGAGTGAAGTTTGAGAGAGAGAGAGAGAGAGAGAGAGAGGATGATAGAGGTGAGAGAGGAAGAAGATAAGGAGACTGTTTCTGAACTGGTAACCGTTGTAAATTCATAATCGGAGAGAGAATGGGCTTCGATTGGATCGGTGGATGGCTCTTCGATACCGTCTGATTTTTAGGGCTTGAGAATTGGGAATTAGCCCATGAAGACCTAATGTCGGTGGTTAGTTGGATCTTCTTGTTGGGCCCAATCGGATCAATAGCTTAACTCTTTTCGAAGTTTGTTAGATTTTTTTTTAACGATAAGCATATTCTATCAACAACAAAAAAAACGTTATCATATCCAATTGCCAACTTGAATTAAAATTTTCGAATTTAATATCCTTTGAAATTTTACAATTTCTTTTATTTTCCGAAAAATTGTGAGATTTCAAAATTTATTAGTTAAAGCTAAAAACATAATTATATTTATTATTTTATTAAAGTGTTTAAGATGAATTAAAAAACTATTAGATTAAGTGATCTGTATCATGTGCTTATCCGAATTAATACACGTGGTGGGTTAAGTTCAGCAAAGCCTGTCCTCATTTGGAAATATGCCACGTCATAGAGGCGGCTGACTAGGACTAGTCCAACTGCTGACGTGGCATAAAATTTTCAGTCAAACTCTGCTAGGGCCAAACTCTCAGCACACGCCCGCCACAATTTTTCTTCACCCAAGTCCACGCCTCCAAATTACCCCTCCTTCGCCCAAAATTCACCACCACAAACTCTTCTCAAAAACTCCCACCAAGGGCATTCCGGACATTCACCAGCAAGTCTTCCACCTTTAAAACTCTACCCCAACCAATATATATATTCACATCTCAATCAGCTCCCCTCCAACAACTTCAGTATCACACTCCAACAACATCACTGCTTTAGCACCGCTTGCCATGGCTTCTTCCAAGCTCCGTGCCCTCACCGTCCTCATCATCCTCATCGGCATAGCGGTCAATGCATCTGCAGTAGCGGTACAGGACCAATCAGAGCAATGTGGGGTCAAATCAAAAGGAGCGTGCCATGACAAAGCACAAGCACTGAAATTGAAGCTCATTGCCATAGCTTCCATTTTGGTTTTTAGCTTGATCGGCGTCTGCCTGCCACTATTTTCACGCTCAGTTCCGGCTCTCCAGCCAGACAAGGACTTGTTCTCCATCGTCAAAGCTTTCGCCTCCGGTGTCATACTCGCGACGGGGTACATGCACGTGCTGCCCGATTCGTTTGAGTGCTTGACGTCGGTGTGTTTGCCCGAAAAGCCGTGGAAGAAGTTCCCGTTCACGACGTTCGTGGCCATGCTTTCGGCTGTGCTGACTCTTATGGTGGACTCATTTTCTATGAGCCATTATAGGAAAGCTTTCGCTGCAGCTACTGGCAGTGGAGATGAGGAGAATGCCAAAAATGTTACCCCTCAATTGGAACATGTTGGTCACGGTCATGGTCATGGTCATGGTCATGGCCACATCCCGGACACTAAGAATGAGGGTGGACTCAATGGGAAGGACACACAGTTGCTGAGATATCGTGTTGTGGCACAGGTATATAAATAGTTGTGAGCATGAAACGCTCTTAACCAATTAAGTTATAACGTGAATTTGTGCATTGGGTTTAGTTATAGGGTTTTATATTGCATTGTGTTTAGGCCTCTAATCTAGAGTTGGGCTGTTGATGCAGGTGTTGGAACTAGGCATTGTGGTGCACTCAGTGGTGATTGGGCTGTCAATGGGGGCATCAGACAATCCTTGCACAATCAGACCACTCATTGCTGCCCTCTGTTTCCATCAACTCTTTGAAGGAATGGGTCTAGGTGGATGCATACTACAGGTGATTATTATTAATAATTATTAATCTATGGAAAGTAAATTAATTAATATTAGGACATGTTTGAAATGAATATTATATGATGAATGTTGGTGCAGGCTGAATATGGATTGAAGATAAAATCAATCATGGTGTTCTTCTTCTCAGTCACAACACCATTTGGTATAGCGCTAGGAATTGGTTTGTCAAATGTATACAGTGAGGACAGCCCAACAGCCCTAATTGTGGTAGGGCTGCTGAATGCTGCATCTGCAGGGCTGCTGAACTACATGGCGCTGGTGGATCTCCTAGCAGCTGATTTCATGGGTCCTAAATTGCAAGCCAAACCCAAGCTCCAAATGTTGTCTTACCTTGCAGTTCTTTTAGGCCTAGGAGGAATGTCAGTCATGGCCTTGTGGGCATAGCATAGACAGCAGATCCAACATTAATGTTCTCAGAAGCTAGATGGGATTTTGCTGCTCTGCATGTACAGCAGGGACAAGCATTTGATAAGTTTTTATTATTCCTTCTTTTTTTCTTTTTTTTCTTTTTTTCTTTTTTCTTTTTTTTTGTTTCTCCTAGTTAGGAACAAAGTTTGTCACCATGGCAATTTCCTGAAATCAATTCACCTAGTTGTTATTTTGATTCACTTTTGGACTCAAAACCAATCTTTTTATTGTTATTTTTTATTTTATTTTTATTTTTTGCCAAGTTATAAATATTATTTATTGTTGTCTTGTTATGATTGGTTGGTGTGAGTTTCTAACCTTTCCATAGAATACAATACAATACAATACATGATAAATGAGTTTGCATGCTCTGAATTTGATAATCAGCCCTTTTCTTTTCTGAAACCAAAAGGGTAAAGTAAATTGACAAGCACTAGCACCTAAAAAAGTTAATGGAAATAAAGTAATTATTAGGGAATTAAAAGTTGAATTATAAAAAAGAGAAAGATTGAAGATTTTTGTAGAAAAACTCCAACTTATTATTGTTTCCATTTCCATGGATGCAGATGAGCCATATGTATTAACACTAGTCGCCACCACACTTCACAATTTAGATTGTCCCATGCGCAGTGCCCACGGGTGAGACGTCACCAACATATATATATATATACACACACATGTCTCATTCCAAAATAAAATTTGGAGAAGACAATAAAATAGACCTCACAAGTGCAATCAAAAAGACACTCATTCAACTCAAGACCTTTTTTTCTAAAGCTTTGGCTTTTTAATAAGTGGCTTTGGTTTGCTCTCTCAATATGCATCACTCTGTTCTCAAATGATATTTTTCTAGAGTTAGTGTCCGGTTGGGATTTGCTTATGTAATGGTTGAAAATATTTTCTGAAAACCAAAAAAGTGTGTTTAAAACATCATTTCATAGAAAAACTTAAAAGTACTTGTAAAACATAAAAGTACTTTCTAGAGAAGCACACGGCACTTGACTTTTTAATATAAATTTTGATGTTCTTCTAATAAAAACGTTTACGCAACGTCTAATAGATTGCGTAAAGATTTTAAGTCCTACACTCAAACGTCTAATTTAACCATGGGGTTAACTAACCCCGAAACTGATCATGTGGGATAATTAACCTATACTAATGGAGACACCAAAAGCTTTGAAGTTGACAAGTGCCTACGCAATTTGTTGAGTTGGGTTCAAAGATGACGATCATAAGCTCTCACAAACACAATTAATTGCGCATTTCCCACATAATGCAAGTGCATTTTCTGTCATTAGCAAATTAGATGCCAGTGTTTGGTGGAACAAGGACAAATGCTTGTGGCTCTCGATGCTTAGAGAACCCTCTTAATCATTCCTATAATTACGAATTCTATTTACCTATATTCTGTAGATGATTTGCTTAGATCCACTTCTTATAATTTCCAGATATTCTTAATTAATTAAAAGGTAAGGGACCAACTGAGCAATCAATAGTCGATAATTACTTTGCTTAGGTTAAGTTGCACCAATGATGTGGACGTTCATGATTGGTAAGTGTTCCAAAGGGGATAGAGATGGTTCACTGTGGCACGTCTTTTGGTTGCAAATTTGGCAACAGTTTCTGCAACTTTAGGATTGATTGTACTATAGGAACCTTATTTTGGTGACAATACTTGAAATACTGTTTCGTTCGTGTTATTCTAAACTACTCTAATCTATGAGAGTTTAATTAGTAACTGCTACTACTACCTTGTTAAAGATTTATCTTTCTTATTGACGAAGAGTTAAACTAATGACTAAACAAGAACCCACCTAAACAAATTAACTTTAGCATCCATATTGTAAGTGGATTATGACCTTAATTACGTTGCGTAAGCAGATAAGACAAAGGAGAAACATGCGTGGGATTTTAGTGTTATTTTACTGTAATGCGTCCAGTATTTCCCACCATAAATAATATACGACGAGTGACGATGATACTCCATAAACAACAATGCCACAACAAGATTTGGAGAATATATATATTGAATGACAGATGTAAATAAAAATGGTAACCTGGAATAAAATACAGAGGGAATATTCAACATATAAAAAGATGAAGCAATAAGAGAAAAGGTGATGAAATTAGAGGATGTGATGAGCTTATCCTATATGAACCAATCACTGCAAAGTGTGAAGGGCAGTGAGGTCATAAGACAAGGAATTGAAGGGGAGGAAGAAAGAAAAGTGTAGTTGCTTGAGTGGGGGGAAAGTGGAGACAGTGCACCTAGGGTTCAAGTGTCGGTACAAAAAATTAAAATTCAAAGTCCATATATTAATAATATGATTGAAAAGCCCTAAAGGGGCCCGGCCATGAACACAGAGGTTCATGAATCAGACGGTGGATGTGGTCTGTGGAAGAAGAAGATGGAGTAAGTACTCTCTTTCGTGATTTGGATATAAATAAATAAAACATAGAAATTGACCAAAACGTTTTCGTTTTTCTTGTTCATGAACAATAATTGTTCGTGTACACCATGTGGTAATAATTTTCTCTCATGTCCCTCTCAAGTCTAAATGCCACACGATTACAAAGACGAAAAGAAGAAGGGAACTTTTATTTTACTTTTTAAAGAAAACGTGTTGCGTTAATAACTTTCAACTGTATATTTCAATTGTTTCATGTCACTAAAGTTAAGATGATCATGCCAATACAGTCAAAGTTCATGAACGTTTTTCATTACGAAAATATATATGATCGTGCGATACTTATAGGACTAGTATTTGTAAGCCTTTTTTGGGGTCTAAATATTTGTAAGCTTTTAGGACATATATGACATGTATAATGCCCCAAAAACATGGGCACGTTCCATGATCGGTCTATGTTAATTAGCTGTGTGCATATGAGAGAGAGAGAGAGAGAGAGGTGGTGGGTGTGTGGTGTGGTGTGTCTTTACTTTGCTAGGGCTGGCTGAGTTGACGGGCCAAGCAAAATGGGGAGTGGCCCTAGTGGGTTGGTCCACCGGGCACCCACGCCAGAGCCTAGCAGAAAAAATAAAAACAAAAATGGACCCACTGTGCATAATCATACGTATGCTTCATATTGGTTGCCCTCTAAATTCCGAAATGATGCAATTTTGGTACCAAAATGGGCAGCTGTTAAATCCAGTCCCCCTCCGTACGCAACCATTTGCTCACTTTTATGGTGCCAATTTGCCAAAGCCAATGCGGCTCTCTTGTGTCTGCACATCCTATTTTTATCCATCACCTATAAACAACTATTTATATATATATATATATATATATAATACATGTATAGCTAGACTAGGAAAAGCACACTTACAAAATTTTGGGAAATTGAAAACATTGCAGCCATGGATCATGTTCATGTGTGAATCATGTCTTTTGCTTTCTCTTTATTCTTTTGTTGTTTTCTTCTAATGGGTAGGTCCCCAAATTTTCATTTATGTTCCCTCAATAGGATTTTATTTTATATTTTATTTATAATGAGCTTTTGACTGATCAAAATGTTGTGTTTGGTGATGGACATAGGAACTATGCATAGGGCAAATTGTTTGGCGTATTTTAGGTAAATTCTTTATCTTTGTTCATTTACCTATTTGCGCTAGCATATGCAAAAAAGTACTTGTTGCCCATCTTATCTTGCCTTGCCCCTACCCTAGAGCATAATGGTAAATATGAGCATATATCAAATCAAAAAAGAATACCCAAGATTTGAATCTTGAGATTTTATTTTGCAAGTGCGTGTGAACTTTAGTGGTAATGCTTTGCAATGTCCCTTATGGGTTGAATACTGATTAATGATTAGTCGTTTATATTACATTTTAAAAAAAAATTTTGATTTTGACTGATGCAGCACGGAAGCACGGATTTACAAATCGACAAACTTTTAAACCCGAAAAGATAAACTAAAATCTATCCGTGACTGAAATCTACCATAAAATAGAAAAAATATGATAAAACTAATTAATACAACACCATCAGTTGGCTTAAATAGAAAACAAAGAAATCATAAACCCATAATATTCCTAAAACTTAACTAATAAGAAATAATTAAAATCATATTAGGAAAATAATATCATGATTGATAACTTATTCTAGAAATATAAATATAATATAGATATTTTCAAGAAATCAAGCAACATGAAAATCCCAACGATATGCCTTCCTTCTTTTTCTAGCGCCATAATTGATGCTCAAACATGATTTTTCATACTTGATGCCCAAATTTCTGATTTAAAATTTTTCCCCTTTTCCGAATTTACTTCGTAGGAACGAACCTATGATTTGTCCTACATCATTGGCACTACAAATATCACTTCCTACACTCTTCTCGTCTCTCGGACAAGAGGAGTGCATGAAGTTATTTTAGGATGATTCACCCATTATATATGAGAAGAGTGACGCTAGCTAGCCTATAGTTGATTAGTTTGATCAACCCATCTTTTCATGGTGGCCCCTGCACACTAACACAAGGGAGTGCTATATCCATCTTCCTTATGAAAGGTTCGAACACGAGTTTAGGTTCGTCTTTAATTAGCAGATGGTTTTCCTTGGAATGTTCCTTAATCACACTCATTGATCTTATCCAGTTGGCTTTGGCATTTTGAAGCAGAACGGAAGTTTTCTGTAGTGGGGAAGCACCTAAACCATGCATTAATGTTAAATAATTGTAATGAAGGAATAGAATGGTGAACTCTGTTTTTTTAAATGCAAGTCATTAAGAAGATTGTGCCTGCAAGTTGCTGTCTAGCTCTGAGATTTGGCAACACTACTTTTTAATGTATCTAATCTTCTTCTATAGCATTCATCTTTTCTTTAAAAAATTGCAAGTAGGTCTCAAGAAGACATGCGCAGCCACAAAACTAAAAACCAAAAGAATAAACAAGAATAATTGGCTACAAATTAAGACTTTCATATCAGAAAGACTAGCTACCACTTATTACTTATTTATATATAATAATACATATTTGATAACTTTGTTAATTGTGGCTATTAGAATAGAACACTTGTTTCATTATGCTTGAGAGAGAGAAAGAGAGAGAGAGAGGTGTCGATATCTGATACGTCATGAAAGAATAATGATGAACATGTAAAACTTGGAAGAGGCACTGAACCTTCAAATCATATATTAATTATATCAAATATCAATAGTAGTTTATATGGTACCAGTGTTAGTTCCCCCTTCCTATCATCACTGCAAGTCTGCATTTCTAGATTAGCCTGACCTAAGCAGGACTGGAAAAACCAGAGAGAGAAGAAAGAATGTTAGCTGAATCTGTTTTTGTTATACCTTTCTGGATTAGTTCCACTAATATCTCTGCTTAATTATATGTAGATTTTCATGAAAGAATATCAACACATCATGGATCTTATTTTCAGCAGAGAAGCTAGTGATTCTTCATGGTGGAGCATAAAAAAAAGGGAAACTGGCTGAAAAGCCAAGTACTATATAGTACTATGTTGCAAAGCTCACTGAGGCATCTGCATAAGATGTGTTCTTGGCCAGTTAAAAGCTGACTAAAAAAAACTTTTATAAAGAGAATGGATGGGGTTTAGGTATTTGATGCTAACAATTTAGATAATTTAGTAATTCACCTTGATGGGGCCAAGGTTTGAAGTGCTCAGTGAGTCATCAAAATTAGAAGAAGAAAAAACACAAATTAACTTGATCATCACAACTCAGTGTTTAAATTAATAGTTTACCTTTTAAACTGACCTTCTTTGCGTCATCAGTCATAATGTCTTAGTGCTCTGCGTCTGAAACTGGCTTGGATTTGATCCTCAAAGTAAAACTCCCTTTAATTAATTTGACTTCAACTCCATTTCCCAAATTGCAATTTTTCTTTCTCTTCCAAAACATTTCTCCCCATAATTATTACACCCCCACACATGAACTTTTTCCTCTTTTTAGCATCATATTTATGTGAAGCCAAATCATTATCCCAGTCTCAAATCTGTATAAAATCATGCTCATGCACACATAGATACAAACACATACATATAAACATCCCCAACACCAACTCATATCATGGTCTCCAAATGCCACCAACAATCACTATGATGCAATTTGGTCCATATGTTAGATGCATATCTTCCTCCACATGCTATATATTAGACACATTTCCTGTGTAATTTCAATAATTGTTCTTACTGCTGATGTAAGCCCTGAAACTGTTGCTCTCTAATTTGTTGCTAAAGCTGGCCCACTTCTCCATCCATTTCCCTCTCTATAAAACCCCTCTCACTCTTCATGCTGTCATCCCCTGCCCTCTAAGCGAAACAACCTTTGCAACACAAGTTCCAACCAAACCCTTCAAGTGCAAGTTCATCAGAACCTTTTAAAGAAAAAAGAAAAAAGATTTGAGCTATGCTTCCAGGTGAGATCATTTCAGGCCTCCACTACCTAGCACCTGAAATCCCAATTCCAGATCCTCCTCACTTTGGCATCATGCAGAACAACATGTCCTCCCTCCATTTCAATACTCTCTTTAGCAATTTATCCCAAGCTCAAAACTTTCCTGCAGGCCATGAATTCACTCAGCAATCTTCAAGCCTCAGCAACAACTCCAGTACTTCTGATGACGCTGAAGAACACCAGCACCTCAGAATCATTGATGAGAGGAAGCAGAGGAGAATGATATCCAATAGAGAATCGGCTCGGCGATCACGGATGAGGAAGCAGAAACACCTGGATGAGCTCTGGTCACAGGTGGTCAGGCTGAGAAATGAGAACCAGAGTCTGATAGACAGGTTAAACTACGTGTCAGAGAGCCATGACAGGATTGTGCAGGAAAACACTAAGCTCAAGGAAGAAGCTTCTGATCTTCGCCAAATGCTCACAAACCTTCAAATTGGCAGCCCTTATAATATTAATGCTACCACCTTCAGAGAGCTGGAAGCAGAGGTGCCCTGCAACACAGCTCATCTCAGAGCTGAATCTTCAAACCAATCCATTGCTGCATCAGCTGACTTGCTCCATTGAGATAGATGACAATTACTGTTTTCTCATTATGACATAGCTACTTTATGTTCCTTTTGTTCACTATAATTGCTATTTAGTTTTTTCCTTCCCTTTACCGTATGAGATTAAAAGCAAAACAGACCGTGCAAGAACGCACTTAGCTACCATCTTATCGCAACTTGGCTCTTACACTTTATCATTTAAATTAAAATCAACACTCACAAGTACTTCTACTGTTCATAATCTCTTCTCGCCGCATACATATCCATTAATGTACTTGCAGATCATAATTACTGAAATGATATTTCTTTGTAGCCCCATCTCAAAGAATTTATCAAACACTGAATCATGCATACGACCTTTTATCTTTTTCTCATTTGACAATTGAGAACCTCACCAACCCACCTGCAAAAATTAATGAACTACGTTGGAATTGCAGTGCTTAGAAAGACCAGAACAAAACAGAAAATCTCCCATCACTGCCGTAAGAAAACCAATTTTATCGGACCAATGTACTAAATTCTAGTCAAGAAAACGTACAACAATCGATTTGTGGAGTACAGAGGATGAGCTTGTGGGAACAAACTCAGTGAAGCAGTGTTGCAGTACAGAGAGTAACAGGGCAAACAGGAGGATGACAAAAGGTGGTGGAGGTTTTGGTGCTAGTGGTGGCTCATCATACAAAATGCATGAGTCATGACTACTTTGAGACACAAAACATTTGAAAGGGGTTTATCCACTAGCAAGCAAAATCACCCACTTCCCCTCAGAAATGTTTTGTTTTTAGCTTTACTTGTGAGGGCACCAACGCCTGTGACCTGTCTCTGTTGTCTAACTTTGTTCAGCCAAACTAAGCTTCCATTTGCTTTCATGAATTTGAATCCTGCCAAGAAAGCCTACGCTTCAGGTGTTGCTTCAACAGTACCTTTAGCTTTCTGGTACTGTTTGGAGCGCACAGACATGCATATGACATTTATAATGCAGCATTATCAATTAACTTGCCCCACCATATATATATATATATGTATGTGTGTGTATATATGCTCACCCTCCAGCCTGAGCCAAGCCCCTACTTCAGAGTATATATGTGATCGTATTGCATGAGAATATTCAATATATTCAGTCTTAAATCCTAATGTTTAAGCAGTTTATACAGAAGGTAAGGTAAAGGATATATTAGCACAAAATATAAACATGTTCAAATCTTATTTTTGATCTCTTGTGTGGGCCATTCAATCAAACTGCTGCTGTGCAGTTTTTTTACCTTCACACAGATAGACATGGAAAGATAAATGAAAGTGAGGAGAAAAAAACTTGTGACAATGAGATAAGAAGAATGCGATAAACCAAACCAAACCAAAAATTCAAGTGCAGAGAAGTTAAACGTGTTTTTACTTTCGTCTAATAATTATAGTTGACAAATAGAGACCAATCACCGTGCTACTGCGACAATGAAAAAGAAACCACTTTTGAATACACATTGATGACAGACATTCATATATACAATTATTACATAATTTTTTATTTGATCTCCCAAATCTAGATTTCGTTAGGTGTAAAACAATTATCATGATGACACTTTTCTACTTGTAGCATCTCTCTATCTCATAAAATGGTGTTTTCATCTTCTTTATTTCATATTATAAGTTCTTTATGAGAACTCTTTTTCTTAAGTAATTAAAATAGATTAATTGATGATTCTATAATTTAGAAATATGATTTATTAGCTTCCCCTTTTGGTTTTAGGTAGCTTGCATGAGGGTTTTTTTTTTTTTTTTTATCATAATTGTTTAAAGTTGACCCTACCCTACTCAACAAAATTTCTGACTACGCTACTGCAGGTGATATCAAAATATAGGAGCACTTTCAAGTATGATTTTGCACATATCAGTGCTACCTGGAGGGTAGAGTCATACAAAGTAATGGAGACATTTCCTTTATCACATAAGGACGATTGAACTCCACTTTAATATGTTATCCAAGTTATCCTTAATTTTGTACGTCCAAACAACTCCAGTTGAATATGTTATCCGTTTACGGCAAATGTCTAACCATTTTCCGACCCAGCTGCATGAGCATGTCCTTAGTTTTATAAAACTTTTTGGACATCTAAGTTTGGTCCCAACACACACACCCAAAGTGCACTCCACTAAAACTGCTGTGCCAAGTTTGACAACTGACATAACAATTTTCAACTAGTATCCTATTCCACGTTTATTGTTCTAATAAAGAAAGTTGGTGATTCGTCTCATTAAATTGAACAACAATTCCACATATTAGAAAAAAAAAAGTTTCATCATTACGATTTTCAACTAGTATTCTATTCCACGTTTAGTGTTCTAATAAAGAAAGTTGGTGATTCGTATCATTAAATTGAACAACAATTCCACATATTAGAAAAAAAAACAAGTTTCATCATAACGACGAGACTCTAAAGAACAAGAGACTGAGAATGTAGTCACAATCATGTCGGATTTTTCTAAGTCCCAACCAAAGGCTACAAAGATGTCAACCCAAATCTTTCCACCAAAACCCTAATCAGAAAAACGTTTTATAACTGAAATGCAAATTAGACCATGTGAACCAATTAATTGTGCAGCAAATATGCTACTTGGCAACACCTTCAAAGAGGGCTGAAGTTTGCTTTTCCCTTCAACTTTGACGATATAAAAACTAAACAAAAGTTAACAATCACTAATGACGACTTATATGGTCCCTTCCTTTGCACATTGACTTGCAGCAGGCATGGAGTAATGGAAGCATGCATCCCGTTGAAGCATCAAGCAATGATGCGCAGAGAGAACGAACGAATTTCGTTAGGAGTAACATCCCCAAATTCTTAAAGAGTTTGAGGGCACTCTCAACTCTTTACAGTGTGTATCTGCAATTTGTTTTTAGTTGTCATGCGGAATTTAAATTTGAGAGGAAACAAAGTGGTTATTGTTGGTTTTGAAAATGCCAATTATTGATGTTTTTCTAAATTTTATTATACTGACATTGATTTCAAAACAGCCAACATGTTTTCATACTCAGAGAAATGAAATGACCCCCAAGCTTGAACTTTTCTGGTCAGGTCATATTTGTAGAACTGTAAGCTAACAAGTCTTCAAAATTGGACTTGTATACAGTTTATTGCAAGATATACAAAGGGTATTTCAGGCTAACACTCCATAAATAAACATTACAATTACAAAAACCCGATTGATAATTCTGCTACTTAAGACAACAACATTATTGTAGTGTAACTTGTTAACTTACAAGTCTCAAGTCATTCCTCCGGTTTTCGAGTTCTATTCTTATTTCCGTATATCAAACCAGTCTCCTGAAAAACAATTCAAAATTCTAATCAACCAACAAGGAAATGAGAAATTCAATTATATGCACTTGGAATATCATGGACGAGTTGCAAGGAACAGTACCTGAGGATCAGGAACAGGTTTCCTTTTCTCTACATAGGCATGTGGATCCGCAGAGGCCAAAGCAGCCCTTTCCTGTTGTTCTCGCTTGAGGTCCTGTGAGGGCTTAACCCAAAGGAAGTAGGCTAAGGTCCCAGCCACCACCCACGAGGCCAGGTTGCTTCCTCCTCTTAGGCCTCCCATCGAATTCCCTACAAACGACCTCACATTTCCCAATCTTCTCCTCCAAGTGGTTGTCATTGCCTTGGAGTTTTAGCGTTTTGTATCCTATTTTGCTGACTGGGGACTTAGGGTTTTTGATTTCCCTGCTCTGCACCTCCTTGTCAATATTTGCAAATTCCAAACCGTTGCGGTTAGTATCAGAACGAACACTGAGCCCTGGTCATTTCAGTCCTGCTTGAAGATTAAGAAATCAAACAGCCACCAGGCTGCGTATTAAAACGAGAGTCAAGATGAAAGCGCAAGCAGGCATTGTTTGAAGCAGGGAACTAGAGATATGTTGGGACCTAAATAAAAATTAACAACTTTGATGCATAACCTGAATATGATTTCATATCAAGTATTGCTGATACATAAACAAGCATAAAGCCTATCTTTGGAACTGCATTTTTTCAAGAGAGTGCATTGCATTGCAAGAGCTTTGCTTTCATATTTCCTAAGACAAAAGTACAAATTGACAATGCCCAGATTCAATTAAATTAAGATTACGTATGGATGTGCTATCCATCTCAGATTAACATACGCTTCGCTCTTTTGGAGTTGCAATTTCAATGGCCAAATGGAACGAAAAGAAGAAAAGTTTCAGTAAACAAACGACAGATAAATCAGACCCACACCGACACCGATCAGATGAGCTACATCATTCTAAAACACACAATTTCATATAAATCAAATCGAATTACAAATACACAAGCTATGAAGTATAAATAAAAATTGGGATCAACAGTAACAAGGACAACAAGCCCGACGAAAAATTACCCGATTGCAGAGAACGGAGATGAGCAATCGATACAGAAACGAGGATGACCAACTAAGCTCACGGGCGATGCAGAGAACTGTGATGGCCGATAGACGGAGCGACAGAGCGGATAGCTACGAGTAGGCCGCAAATAGAACGAGGAGGGTTCGGTTGAGTGGAGCCTAGGAAATCTTTTTGATTCTGTTGCGCTAGTTTGCACGGGTTGCATAGAACAGCCCAATTGATGGCTGCCACGTATTTATTATTTATTCAAATTCGCTTTTTGTATATTATGTCGGTTAAGTTCGTAACGGACTTATCCTTCCGCTTCTCATTTGGTGAATCAGTTTGGATTGAATTGGAGTTAAGTTGAAGCCGGTTCTTATGATTTGTAAGATATAATATGTTGGATGATTGTATAATTTAACAAGTTCAGTTTTAACACACCAAACAACGGATATAATTCTTGTCAATTTTAATTGAAATAGTCTAATTAGATCCATGACATGACACAGCCGCGAAATTCTATAATGAAAGTGTCATATATGGACCATTCATGTGGCTCTATCATTTCATTAAATTTAAGCGAAGTTACTATTCGAATGAATTATATAACTAATATGAAAATTGATATCTACATTCTATACATGACACTCTCACCGAAGAACGAATTCGACACATCCCCAATTCTTTATTGAGGACCTCGTTAGTGGTGTCCAGTGGAAAGAGCCCATTCTTGAACTAGGCCCTTGAGTGCTTTGAGCCCTCAATTTACAGTCTTACAAAATGAATTTGCTCTGGACTGGTACACACAAACAAACATAACTTTGACTTTGGTTTTTCATTTGAGCTAGCTCTGGGATGTAGTGTGAAACACATCATTGATCAACTTAAACACAAAACCTGAGTTTCCTTCATTACAGGATCAGCAAAATTTATGAAATACAGTGGCTAGCTAGTAGATAGTGAAGAGAAAATATATTATATTTTAGTATCATGGATTCATGGGCCAGTAGAGCTGATGTCTTGTGTGTAGATATAGTCTGTGTGAGCAACCATGGACCTTCTGATCAAACACTCTTCACTGTTTAAACCCTTGCAAGCATCATCATCATCCAAATCCAAGCTTGGTTCCTCCTCCTACAAATTAAAAAACAGAGACCACAATAAAGTTTTTTAAAAAATTGAAAAACAGAGTAGTCATCAACACCATATCCTTCTAATTTTGTGAATCAACAAAAGATGAATTGGAGAAGGGATCAAAAGGGAACTTACAATAGGTGATGATCTTATGGGAATATTGGGAGAAGAAGCATTTGGATCAGACTCAGGTAAAATGGAGGCAGCAGGCATTGATCTGGCTTCTGCCCTTGACAATAGAAGTAGGAAACCCAAAAGGAAGATCAAATTGAGCCCATTTGCCATTGTTTTCATCTCAAGCTTTGAAGAACAGATTAAAAAAGCTCTCTGTGTCTCCTTTATAAAGAACAGATGGAGAAAAAAGAAATGAAGGCTGTAAACTGGGATTTGAGTGTTTTGACTTTTTAGAGAGATAGAGAGAGGGGCAAGCAGGCAGAGTAAACGGCAATGATATGGAGTGATGATTTTGTCTTTCGAGTTTGGAGGAGGAGGAGGGTGCCAAACGAAATGGAGCATTGATTGATTTGATGTTATTATTGTGCAGCAGCAGCAGCCTGCAGAGTGCAGAAAGTCAAAACGTTGGCGTTACCCATATCAGGTCAATGCTCATCTCTCCCTCATTTTTCTTCCTAGGAAAAATCACCATTTAAGGACATCATTGAGAAGCGTTTCTTCCCAGTTTTTTGTTTGGGTGATATAGGAAGCTAGCTGTACTATTCCTATGCAACTGTGTACTGGTGTAAGATGAAGTCACATGCTCTTTTGCTGCATGTGATGGACACCTGTTGATGTTGGGGACCCATTGGTCATTTGCATCACGGAACTCTTATTTTTATTAGGTTTATATATAATTTGTTGGTTTTCATGAGGGTTACAAACAAAAATATCACTACACTGAAAACTTACAATTGCATTTTTTTTTAAATATAAGTGATATTGGATTGGAGAAGGGAGAATCAAAATGAAAACTTAGAACGTATAGATAAATATTGTTTACCACTTAAGTTATAAGTTCTTTATAAAATAATTGCATTTTAATATATAACGAATTTGAATACCGGGAGGAACATCATGATTCATAACCACGTTGAAATCCATTGATCTCTGACAAGCAAATACAAAATTGTGGTTTTGTTGAAGAGCCTTGTCCCCTTGGGGCTCAAATGTTATGTTAATGTAGAATGATTTAAAAGGATCTTCCATTTTTCACTAGCACATTTTTCAGAAATTACAAGGCTAACATAAGAAGATGGGAAACCCCAGGAAATATGGTGGTTAAATCGGCATTAAAACGACATTAGTCAGAGAGCTTTTGCGGGAAACATGAAGCCCCTTCTATTCTAATCTATGTTATCAATAAAATATAAATAATCTTTGTAAAAAGATCGTGCGTCACCTTGTTACTTGTTATTAGACAGATTATGCAATCGAGGCCCGTTGACTGTATGCTCATGCATGGCTTTGATATTAGAAAATTAGAAACTCTCTTTGGTTCTATTCCCCATAATATTAATGAAGTGATTTTGTTGATGCGAACACAAAAATATATATTATGCAGTTGTGAATTAGACCAGTTGGTCACGGTATTGAGCCCGTCTATTTTTTACAACAAAGTTTCTATCCCCTTACTAGTAAATGAGATTAATTTACAGTAGACACTCAGTTAACATGAGGGGGGCTCAAATGGGCTGGGTTTACCAGTGACTTTCTTATTGGGCCTTCTTAAGCTATGGCCCAGTTACATGTGACCTCTTCCTCACCAAAAACAAAAAACGAAACTGTACAGTTAGTTGCCTTTGAGATAGCGCCAAAATAAGTTCCAAGATTTTTTTCTCTTTTTCCCGTTAGAACTCTCTCCTCTTATCCTCCAAAACTTCATCAAAACTATCTTCAAAGTTATCTCCAAACTTCAAATGATATTTGCAGGACCAAACTCCTGCATTCAAATCAGGTTCAACTGGTGAATCAAAGTTTTCAACCATGGCATTTTCTCCAACTCCCATCTCTTCTTTCTCCTTCACCAACCCAACACTGCCCAAAAGGATTTCTTCAGTACCTTCTGCTGTAAACTCAAAAGGCGTAGCCAAAGATCTAATCTTTAACCACGACGGTTCAGCCACAAAGAAGCTTCTGGTACCCTTTTAAGCAACTGGGTTTTTGTTTGCTTGGCATAATATGAAGTGGGTTGATGGTTGATTTGGTGGTGGTGCAGGCAGGCGTGGACATGGTGGCAGAGCTGGTTGGGGTTACGTTGGGCCCAAAGGGAAGGAATGTGGTGCTGCAGAATAAATATGGACCTCCCAAGATTGTCAATGACGGTGAAACTGTCCTCAAACAGGTCTTGATTAATTTGTCCAATTTAACCTTATTGGGGTTTTTGATATTTGGGTTACTTTTCTTAACTGGTTCTGTTTTTCATCCTTTGTTAAGATTGAGTTGGAGGACCCTGTGGAGAATGTTGGAGTGAAATTGGTGAGGCAAGCTGGTGCAAAAACAAATGATCTGGCTGGAGATGGTTCCACTACAGCTGTAATTCTTGCTCATGGCTTAATCACTGAAGGTGTGAAGGTATGAATGTCATGTCATTTATAGCTTGTCTGTTGACTAGAAGAAGGAAAGTACTTCTTCATGTGCTAAGTTGTATCTTTATACTTATTTAGTATGGCCACGGAGGCTTATCGTGTAGTTTGTGAGGTGGCTTATGTTCTTATCGACCGATTTTATTTTCTAATAGTGGTACTAGTTTGTGTGGGAATTAAACATATCATCTGCTATAATGCGAGCAAGCATTCAGTTAAGCTCTGGCAACATTTTTGTATTGTACATAAACTTTCTTCTAGGTAACTGCAGCTGGCTTGAACCCCATTCAAATTGCTCGTGGCATTGAGAAAACTGCGGCGGCCCTCGTTTCTGAACTCAAATTGATGTCCAGAGAGGTAACCAAAGTTTTTTTTTTTCCTTCTAGTTTGAAAGATTGAAAACTGTGGAGATATTATTCAAAACCATGACTAAAGTATAGCAGAAACATTACATTAGGCTGTAAAGAGCATTTTACACAATATTTTGTAATTAATTCAGCTTGCAGCCTATGACATATTTTACTACGCAGATTGAGGATCATGAGCTTGCACATGTTGCTGCAGTTAGTGCAGGCAATGATTATGCTGTGGGGAATATGATTTATGATGCTCTTCTTCAAGTAGGAAAGAATGGTGTGGTTACTATTGAACAAGGGAAATGTACAGAGAACAATCTACAAATTGTGGAAGGAATGCAGTTTGATCGTGGATACTTATCCCCTTACTTTGTCACTGATAGAAGAAGAAGGATAGTGGAGTTTCAAAACTGTAAGGTAAGAACTATAAATTACATACAGGCTGACATATTCTCCTATGAAGTAATTAGAGGTCATGAAATTCGTTGGTTGCAGTTACTTTTGGTCGACAAGAAAATTACAAACCCGAAGGAGATGTTTAAATTATTGGACAATGCAGTGCAAGAAAAGTATCCAATGGTGATAGTTGCAGAGGGCATTGAGCAGGAAGCTCTAGCTCCAGTAATTAGAAACAAACTCAGAGGTGTGCTGAAAGCAGCTGCTATTAAAGCTCCTGCCTTTGGTGAGCGCAAAAGCCACTACTTAGATGACATTGCCATCTTGACTGGAGGTAGTAGGCTAAACACCAAAGTTTAGATATCTAATTAACTCCATTACCCTTCTTCACAATCTTCATTTTGGCTTTGCTTGTATTTTGCAGGAACCGTAGTAAGAGATGAGATGGGGATTATCCTAGAAGATGCTGGCAAGGAGGTTTTGGGTACTGCTACTAAGGTTGTGATAACTAAGGATTCTACATTGATAGTTACCGATGGTAGCACTCGAGAAGCTGTTGAAAAGAGGGTTTCTCAGATACAAAAGCTTGTTGAGGTACATTCAACATCTCTTGGTACTCTTCTTTGGTGCTCAAGTGTAGAATATATTGGTAGTATTCTCTGATAAATACAACACTTCTAATTTTTGTTTTTCAGAACACTGAAGAAGAATTTCAAAAGAAGATATTAAATGAAAGAATAGCAAGATTATCAGGGGGAGTTGCTATTCTGCAGGTAATGGAAAATTTAATGCACTCAGCATCTTTATAATCTGAATGTCTGAAGACTGGCTTTCTTTCAAGATGATGTGTTTGTTTTAATAATTGAATCGTAGGTAGGAGCACAAACACAAGTTGAGTTAAAAGATAAACAACTTAGAATCGAAGATGCTTTGAATGCGACCAAGGTAGGCAGCTTCTTGCTTGCTGTTACTATTTTGACAAGAAGTTGAATGCCAATATCAAATGGTTGATTTCTAACCAGGCTCATAATATAGGCAGCAATTGAGGAAGGTGTTGTAGTTGGTGGTGGCTGCAGTCTTCTGAGGCTCTCCCAAAAGGTGGATGGTATTAAAGAACTTTTGGATAATGAAGAACAGAAGGTACTCTTATATCAGATATTTCAATAAAATATCCCAATGTACTTATGCATGTTTTCATACTGTTCTATTTATCTCCACTAAGCTTTCATAACCATTGTGATCTTTTATCTACTGCGTGCAGATCGGAGCAGAAATCTTCAAGAGAGCTTTAAGCTATCCTGTAAAACTGATATCAAAAAATGCAGGTGTAAATGGAAATGTTGTAGTAGAGAAGGTCTCTGCATGTTAAATGCATTATCTTCTTAAAACGTAATTTTAGATTTAATGCACTTCACGCTTTATGACCAGACCAGATATATTTGATCAAACAAACTCCTCTGTTGAGACTTGTTAAATTTTGCAGATTCTATCTAACGATAATATGGGGTATGGATATAATGCTGCCAAAGACTGTTACGAGGACATAATGAAAGCTGGGATCATGGATCCATCAAAGGTATTGTAATATTTAATGTCTTTTGAAGAAAACTTCAACACTTCATGACATATATAACCTGGGATCATGCGTGTTAAAATATGCTATGCAATATAGTCTGGAGTGAAAATGTAAAGAAAAAGTCACAGTTCCCTATCAAAAATTGGACAGGTTGTTAGATGTTGTTTGGAGCATGCAGCCTCAGTCGCCAAAACTTTTCTGACATCCGACGCTGTTGTAGTCGACATTAAGGAAACACAGCCCTTTCCAAGAAGAGTGCCACCAAAACTGCCCAATATCCCAAGAAGAACGCCACCAGAACTGCCCAATATTCCACGAAGAATGCCACCAGACCTGCGCAATATCCCAAGAAGAAGGCCAACACCAATGTCCATGTCCATGCCAAACTCAGGTAGCTCCTGCCTTCCAAACAAAGGGTTTTGTTTCTCTGATTTTCCTGTCTCACTTTGATATATTGGGGCTGTTGAAGTGATAATGAATTCAAACATCTGATCATTTAGGTGCTGGACCATTTGGCCTTTAGATGGCAGATGATGGCTGTACTGATGCAGCCCACAAAACCCTGATTTCATCTATCTGAGCAAAGTTTAAGGGGTCATGAAGGAGCCATGAAACAAGCTAGCTGTTCATAATTCAGCTCCTTCACATCAAGTGATGGCTTCAAAATTACATCCATGAGAAGTTTGCATTGGGGCAAGAATGCTACTACTCTGAAAGGCAATGCAGCAAGATAAGGTGGTTTGCCTATTTTGTAAATTTACAAAGAAACAAATGTTAATAGGAGTGTTAATAGTTTTTTTTTTTTTTTTTTTTTTTTTTCTTTGTATGTAAGTAAGACCAGAGGCGTCCTACGATGTTCATACAAGGCCCAGAACTAGATTGTTTGCGGTACAAGATTGAGATGTAATAGGAATTCATTCTTTGTCCACGATCGAATTTATCAAAATCTTCAGTGATTTTAAGGTTGCACAACTTGAGCTTATAAGAGTGAGATTTCATGGGACAGACTGAGCATACGGATGATAAATAAGTGAAGCATTGCATCCAAACCGTTGTGGATAAAATCATTAAATTCTCAACACAGTAAATAGTGCCTTCTTTGACTAAATAAATATATTTAAAAAAACATAGCCCAAATAAAAGAAAAAGAGTAAAATGCGGGGGCCAAGATAGTGCCAAATCACATCAAATGTTTTTTTTTCTTTTTTTTTAATACAAATGATAATTTAAACTACTTTAAATTAGTTTAATATACGAGGAAAGAAATTTGAACTTGGATGCAAGAACTCACTGCCCGATAGAGGTGGGCACGGTTTGGGTTGGACTGGTTTTTGCCTCAAATTGGAACTAATCCGGTACTATTCATCCGGTTTGGTTTGGTTCGATTTTAATAAAAATAAATAAAAAAATTGTCCGATTCGGGTTGAATTGATTCCGGTCCAGATCGATTTTGAACCGGATTATAAAAATTATTTTTTAATACAATTCTCAACTGAAATATTATTATTTTTACTTGAAAATTAACAAATTATTTTTCATATAAAAATAAATATTAAAGTTAGAAAAGAGAGATATTTTGAAATTGAACTTAGATAAATATTAGTTCTTTTTTTGTGAAATTAAAAATATAGCATTAAATATAAATATATATTGAAATTATATAGTTTTTCATTTGACCGGTTCGATTAGGCTTGGTCCGATTTTTGAAGACATGAAACCGGATCCAAAACTGGTCCGATTTGATTTTTGACCGGTTGTTGACTTTTTGATCAACTCAATTTTTTTTCCGGTTTAATTCAATACGATTCTGCTCGGATTTCCGGTTCGCCGGTTTGAGTGCCCACCCCTACTGCCTGAACAGTTAGCCTACTTGCCATCAAATGTTTAATACATGTTCCAATGAGATGGAGATAAGATAAGACTGAAAATAGCTTTGAATGCCGAAGTATGAACATCAAGAAAAGGCAAGTGCTCTATATTTCAGCAAGCCCACCAGTTGGTAACAACAAAAGCCATGTGGGCACCGAAAACAACCTTGGTTTCTGATCCTCGTTATTTTTCCAGCTTTTATTGGTTTCGTCAACATTTTATAAAATTAAATTTTTGTCAACATTATTTTTCCTTCCATTTTTTCATTTTTCTTTTCTTTTGTACAAGTGTAAGCCCAGTTGAAAACCCAAAAAAAAGACCAAAGCCCAGAAAAATAGAACAGCAGCAACCCATCCCTGTAACTGGAAGGCGATGAAGACACGTGCAACTGCAACAGCATCACAATACACACCATCCCAAAAAGTGGAAGAGCCTCTTCCCAATGCCCGAAACATTTCTTTGTAATCTTGGTGCGTTTCGTTCGTCGTTGATCCTTCTCTCTCCCTTTGTTGTTCCTTCGTTCTACCCTCACCTTCTCAGCCTTGTGTAAATGTAGGTAGAGCGAGCGACACCTGAGTTTCTTCTACACAATTCTTTTACAAGCAAGAGGTAGGAAAATGATGTTCTTGATGGGTTTGAGCATCCAGAGCCTATTGGATTTGGCGGTGGCAGGGATTTCTCTGATGATCGTTTTGGGAATTTTCACGTTTATTACTTCTATTCTTTGCTCTGCTGCTTTCTTGCAAACCGCAAAGGACGTATCTTGATCCTTCACTCAAGGTAAAATTTCCAATTCAGATTTCGTCAGCTACATCAATCTTGTTCTGGGTCCTTCAATTCTGCTGTTAACTTCATCAAGATGAAATCTTTGGCTTGTTTGTCTTTCAATTGGCAAATTTGACGCATTTTTCCTTTCAACTGTAGCTCTTACTATGAAGTATTTTTGTTGGATTCAATAAAATTCTCCTCTCTTTTTTTGGGTCAGATCATTCTCTCCTCTTTTGTCTGGTTGAATTTCCCCTTGTGTATTTGAGTATATTATACCCTGAGGCAGCTGACACAAGTTACATGATTTCATAGTTTTCTGCAACAACAACTGATGATTTTCACATATTCCGCAATCTCAGAAACTCCATCAGTAGAATCATGAGCCAAATTGCTTGTTTGCAAAAATTCAAAAACTACACAAGGCTGTCTTCTTCAGGAGGAAGACAAGAAACAATCAATGAGAGATACAGCAATCCAGAAAAAATCACAGAATTTCTGTAATGGCCTGTGATTTGCTGCTTATCTTTACCATTAATATTTACCAAACAAAAGAAATCTTACAATTAACCTATCAAATGAATATTTATCAACCAAAACAAACAGTGAATATTTATGTCTTCCTTTTGGGTTTTCTGGAGTACACCATTCCCCGGATCCCATCCGGATCCGCCACAAAGCCCAAGGGCCTGTAAAACCCGAGAACCCGGGGCTCCGAATACAAAGCAATATTACAAATCCCTTTCGCCACCAGCTCCTCCACCAACCTCTCCATCACCGCCTTCCCCAGCCCCAGCCCCTGAAACGAGGGGTCCACCACCACGTCCCATATGATCGCGTTGAAAACGCCGTCCCCTGTCGCCCTAGCGAACGCCACAGGCCTCTTCGTCTTCCTGTACTCCATCCACAGCAGCGCGTCGGTGTGCTCCAGCGCCGTTCGGATCTTATCCGGATCACGCTTCGGAAACCCGACCGCCACGAAGACCTTGTTGAGGTGGTCCAGGTTGAGCTCCGCGATCGTGCGGTGGAGGAGGAAGCCTCGGGAGTCCAGGTCTTGGTCGGAGATTGAGTAATTGTTGGTGGTGGTTGAAGTGCGCCGCGAAACGGAGACGTTTAAAGGGGGAGGGGAGGTGGTGGTGCTTCTGAGGCGGAGACAAGAGAGGGGAGCGGAGATTGTGCCACGTAGGAGCATGTTTTAGAAGATGATGAGATGATAAGCTGATAGCAGTTGTGTCCCATGAGTGACGCCACCATTGGGTTTTTGTATGGAAGCGTTGTACAGTGTTTTGAGAGTTGGAATTGTGGTTGTGCGTCGCCGTTTCAAGATACGTAATAGTGGAGGCATGTAGGGCGCTTAAACGGTGTCGGTTTGTCAAGTTCAATGACCAAAAGAGAAGAAAAAGGAAAGAGTGGTGATTTTTCCACTCCAATTTTATCTACTTACACTCTATTTTAGCTCTATTTTATAACTAAAAAAGAAGTGTAAGTGAATAAAATTGGAGTGGGTAAATCATTACCCAAAGGAAAACGTATCAATAATATCTAGAAAATGCTCCATCATGATTTTATGTTAAGAATTTTTAATATTAGTCATTGGATTCAAGATACGGAATAGTGGAGGCATGAAGTGCTCTTAAACAGTGTCGTTTTGTCAAGTTCAATGACTGTTCTATAAGAATTTCTAATCTCAGCCGTTAGATTGCTTGTATAATGCATATTTATTTATGTATGGTTGAGTTTAGAATTCTTTAACTACTTCTAAACTCAAAGCATTAGTGGAGAAGCTACCACCGCAATATCCATGTTTTTTTTTGGGAGAGAATCCCGTATTATAATGCATATTTATTTATGCGTGGTTGAGTTTAGATTTCTTTAACTACTTTTAAACTTAAAATCATTAGTGGAGAAGTTAATATCTTTTTTTTATAATTTTTTTAAAGAGAATCTCGATGGTATGAGAGAAGCAATATCTAATTTTATATTGGTGCAATGAATGTAAAAATACTAATGAGAAAAACATGTGTCTTCATTAATTCAACATTTGACACTGATGGAAGCTTTGGAACCACAGAGTAGGATATGGAATTTTGCTTTGTTTTGTGTTTCCAAAAATAGTTGGCAGAAACAAACAAACAGCATGTATAGTGCATCATTTTAATTAGAGATGATAAAAAAGAAAGAAAAAAAGAAAGAAGAGAAGAACATGATTAATTGGATACGTTTCCTCTCTCTAACCATCTCGTTGATTTTGCTTACCTTGGGGTGCTGCTGCTGCTGGGCATGCTGCACTCAAAGTTCAAACATGACTGCCAGCACTATCAGCCTTGTGTAGCAACTCCTTCTCTTTCTCTTCTTTGATCCCTAATCTCTCATCTCTTTTCTTCAACTTTCTGTAACCTACTTTCTTGCCTGAGGAACACTTGAAATAATTACCATGCTGATCTTGCTTAGCTGCTTGCCTGAGCCTACCCTCTCCTTCACCAACTTCACATGGAAGTACTAATTCATGATGGCTACTTATTGGGCCAGAGGAGGCATCTGAAGCCATCGAGTCGTCACTCTCATCATCATCAAAATATTCAAGAATTGCTTTCTTGTCGCTGTTTTTCTCACCCCCTTCCTTGGGATCACTAATTTGATAAACATCATTGGTTTGACTGTGGCTTGGGGAGCCAATATACATTGTCCACCCAGACTCACTGCCACTCCATTTCTCTGGTTCAGCTCCTACAACTTGGGAAGACTCCATTAAGACACACAAAGGAAGCTAGCTAGAGACCAAAATTAAGTATAATGTTAGAACCTACCTGCAATGTGTGTGTATATAACATGATGATCACTGTATGTGCAATTCTCAATATTATCAGGAAATGCATTTATATCTGTGTCTCTCTTTATTATTTCCCTTCAACAAAAGAGGCAGTCTTTCACACAAAAGGACAATCAAACCCATCTCAACAGTAGCATTTGAAGAAGCCTCCTCACTTCCCCCTCATTATTGAATTGCCAGGATGCATGTATTCCACCTGGCAAACCTATCCCCATATTTTTCACTGTTTCAAACTGATTAAATCACTACAAGACAAGCTTCTGGGGGTAACGAGAGATATCTCTTGGGGTAAAAAGAGATTCTATCTTTGGAGCTAGGTTAAACAGTGAAGCACACAAGTAGGAAATAATTGGGCACCTAGCTAACTTGCCATCAGCTCTTTCACCTGAAATAGACAACCTTTACTTCTCTGTGTACCTTATAAATAATGACCAGCTCTTTCTTGGGGAACAGATGGGCTCTTATTTACGTATATGTATTTTATTTTCTCTTGGTTCTAATGGGAGGTGAGTATTTTCTCTTTGAGAGTCGAAAAAGTACCTTCTAATTAAATTTTATTTGAATTCTCTGTTCCATCATCAAGAAAGAGCAGCTTTTTCCTGTGAAAGTTACAGAGCATGTTACCAATTTCAAGTCTTGGCATTTTGCATTGGACTGGAATGGATGAGGAGAGGGGAACAGGTCATTTAATTTCATCCCTAACAACCAAGCTTACTTTTTTCTCTTGTCTCTTCTCCTAACTTGATACTAGGTACAGTTTTTACATCTAACACAAGCAATAATACTAGTGTATATATAGTCGTTTATTCACCCAAAATAAAATACTGGTGCAAAACAAGTGTTGCAGCTATTTTTTTATGTCTGCTATGCTATATTTGACAACATTGTAGTGGAAAGAGACTTTTTTCCAGTTTCATTAGATCAAAAGAGAATCACTTGCAGGGACATTTCAAATCAATTTAGCTGAAACAGCTGCCCTCACTTCTGTCACATTGTTTTGGACAATTACACAGTTCTCATGATGATCATTTGGCTATGGCCGGCCGGAGGAAGGAAGAAAAAGGAGAGGGGAAAGGATGGATTTTTTTTCTTCTTTGGCCCCTTGTGTTTTCAGTATAGTCAAGGGTAAAGATGGGTTTTCAATTTTACAAAAAAACAAAAGATGGGCACAAAGGTAATTTTGATTTCTTTTGTTATGTGACTTTACTTTCTCTAAATAGAAGCATCCCAACATATGTTAATTTTGTCTGACCATTATTTTTGAACTAATGATTCAAATCTTCTGTAATAATTGACTTTTATGAAATGAATTGATAGTCTAATATATTATTCTCATTCTTTTAGTACAAGCGATAATCTAAACTAGAAAGGATGAACATTTCACACACACACACAAATGATGTCTTGGGAGTTTGAATATGAGACCTCTGGTGATGTAGAACAAATGGCTGAGGCGACATTGCACACGCAAAGGCAAAATCGGTAATATACAAGTTTGGGCCCCAAGCTCCGATTGATTGCTTTATTACGTTATTATTGATATGCAAGTTAAAGCTATTTTTCACTAGACTATACCTCATTAATAATATTTTCTCCTCCTAAACCTGAATCAGTTTATAAGATAGTTTATTTTATTTTATCCAAGTGCATAAAATTAGTATCATGAAATGAGAAATGATTTTAAAAGCTGAAGCAGGTGCAGCGTGTGGCTTGCTTTAAAAGAGGATATAATGATTCCCAATCTTGTAATTAAAAACCCAAAAAAGTCGCAATCTTTGTCAAACCACATTAAAGAGATTCTTAATGCCAAATTCATCAAGGAGCTTTTATTTCGGCTCATTTTTGTTTCATCCAAACCACAATAAATCCTTGGCTTTCACAATCACAAATTCCCCCAAGTGTTACAAACCCTAAAAATGGGTAGGCCCATTTAGGCCATTGGCACGTGGCGCACAAGAAAGTGATCTCCAGCTCCACACAATCAGCATCACATGGTGGCATGGCATCTATATTCAAGTCCGCACAGTGCTCCCAAACTCAAAGGGGCAATTTCGCCGAACATGAAAGTTAAAGTGGCAAGCAAGTCAGAGAATCAAAGAAAACTAAGGGCGATTATCGTAAGGCCACTAGCCAATTAAATATTCTTAAATTGACAAAAATAATAATTATATTCTTGAATGGTCTGGGACTGATCCCACTCCCAAGTCCTAAACAGAACTCTGCTGCCTCAAAGTTACAGCCCTTTTTAGAACAACAAAGAGAGACCTGGATGCCTCTGCTTCTCCATCTGATCCAAAGCTAGCGACTTTTCTGTCTCCTGGGAAAATTTTGGATCGCAGGAAGTAAAATCCGAGATGGGTTTGACTGAATACTTGAGGTCAATCGATTGGGAGCAAGAAGCGTACCCAGCATATGAAGATTTCACAATTCTTCTTTTGTTTATCCTCTACTTCCCAACTGTCCGATTTTTTCTGGATAAATTCGTCTTTGAGGTACTCACTCTGCTGTACATCCACATAAATTTGATTGGAGTAGCTAAAGTTTCCATCTTTTGTAGTTTACTGATGTGCTAACTTTGTTTATATTAGATCGTCAATGATGTATATGACCGGAATGCACTTGTATTTTGATGGGTTGTGTTTGGTTTTGGATTGTTTGATAAGCATACTTTAGTTATTGGATATCAAATTGTTCAACATGATATGTTATGATCTTTATTTTTGAAGAGATTTGACTGGTTGATGGCTCATGGTTTGATGCTGTAACTAAAATCAGCTTGGCTATTTGAGAGTCAATGTTTGTTTGCCCTGTCTTTGAGTTTCCTTTAGATCTTCTTTCTGCTTCTTGTTGTATATTCTCAATCAACTAAAGGGAGATAAAGAGAACAACTTGTTTTATATGGAAAGTTGATAGGGTTCTAGCACCTTTAGAGAATGAGAGCTGCTTGTTAATGAAGACGTTAAAGATTGAAGAAAGGTTGTTTAAATTAGTCCAGGGTAGCTTTCATTTGCATTTCTTTCCATTTACACCTTCATTTAATTTCTTCATTTTTTTATCTACTGCTACTTTGTTATGTATTCATAATCAAGAAATGTGAATGTGATTGCATTTATTTCTCATAATATCTTTATTAGCTCTGTATAACATATTGCAGAGATTGGGGAGACGGTTAATTTTTGGAAAGGGACATCAGAAGCTGGATTTACAATCTGAAGAACAAAGGAAGAAGATTAGAAAATTCAAGGAGTCAGCATGGAAGTTCACATATTTTCTTTCAGCAGAGCTTCTAGTCCTTTCTGTAACTTATGATGAGCCTTGGTTTACTGATACAAAATACTTTTGGGTAGGGCCAGGAGACCAGGTCTGGCCTGACCAGAAAATGAAGTAAGAATTCTTAAAATTAGAATATATGTTACATATGTGTTTGTTTAGTTAAGACATTCATATGTGATGAGATTGACACTGTTGTACTGAATCATAGTTTGACTAATATCAAGAGCTGAGCTTTATTAAAGTCTATAAAATGACTACTTATGAATTTCAGGTTGAGATTGAAGGGAGTTTATATGTATGCTGCTGGATTTTACACATACTCCATATTTGCTTTGATTTTCTGGGAAACAAGGCGTACAGATTTTGGGGTGTCCATGGGCCATCATGTAGCAACAGTCATTCTCATTCTGCTGTCTTACATTTTCAGGTATGTTCTCATGGATTGAGTTTGTAGCCTTCTCATGTTCTTTTAGTCACAAAACCAAGGAAGCAAGAATACTACAACCTACCAAAGGTATGAAGGAGGGCTTATTTGAAGTCAAAACTTATTAGTGTGTCATCCCCCTACCATACCAGCACCATGGATATTAGGGTTAAAACATCGAAGGAAATAGAAATGATACAATGTTTTACACAATACATTTCATTTAATCATTTTCCTATTATTATCTGTTTCTTGCAGGTTTGCCCGCGTAGGTTCAATTGTTTTAGCTCTTCATGATGCTAGTGATGTGTTTCTGGAGGTTGGGAAGATGTCCAAATACGGTGGTGCTGAAAGGACTGCTAGCTTTTCATTTATTCTTTTTGTATTGTCTTGGATCATACTGCGTCTCATTTATTATCCATTCTGGATCCTTCGGAGTACAAGGTTCGTCTAATTTGACACCTAAATTATACTAAACTTGTTTGATTTTCTATAGCTCCTTCATGTTTGTCTTCACCATGGTCATAAATTAGTGGGTTCAGGAGAATATATAAAAGTGACTTTTCATCTTTTAGTTCTTGTTGGAATAACAGACGTAGTAGTGCTACAAGATGTTTTTTCCTAATTTATGTTCAGTAAATAGTAATGTCAAACTCCAGATAATGTTTGTTTTAGAAGCAGCAGTTTTGTCAAGTTCTTAATGTGTAGAAGAAAGGTTTTAAGGATGACAATGTCATGTCATGTGCAATTTTAGATCCCTTAGTTAGAGACAAGTAAATATTGCAACAAATCCCTTCATATAAAATGTAAGAGAACATGTTTGTATAAATTGAAAAGCAAACTATTGCATTTATGCTTTAAACTCAATTATTTATATGTCTCTTTTGCATTGCTTCCTTCTCTTTCTGGCAGCTACGAAGTTATCCTGGCATTGGATAAGAACAAGCATTCTATCGAAGGACCAATATATTACTATGTGTTCAATACTCTTCTGTACTGCTTACTTGTTTTTCACATTTTCTGGTGGGTGTTGATTTATCGGATGCTTGTTAAACAAATCCAAGCAAGAGGGCAGCTTAGTGATGATGTGCGGTCAGGTGAGTGAAAATCATGTTTGGTAGATGGTTTTCTAGGGTATGCATGCACATAATTGGATAAATTTTGAAACAACAATTAATTCCTCTGGAAGAAAATGTTGAGGGATTTGGAAAATAACCATATTGGTATCGACAGTCATAAAATGGATAGATGATAATGAAGGATTAGTTAAAACTTCCTTGATTGCACCCTCCGAAGGGGCACTACAGTGAGCTAATACTTTTACTGCAATTCTATTTTTGTGACTGGGGCAGCAAAAGAGTTGGTTAGGCTACTATTACAACAGTACCATGATGACTTGACTTATTTATTGGTTTAGCATTTGTGAATGATACGGTGTAAAGTTAGTCAGATGGTTTTGGGAGTCTTAAGTGAATGCATCATATGTAAAACAGTTTGTTATAATATTAATAGGCTTCATTGAGAAGAACATGGTGCCTTCAGTACAGTAGTTGTCAGTGATTTTATTTTATGACCTGGTGTCTTCTATTGTTCCTCTTAATTTGTCGCCTGATCTTTGTTTCCTTTGCCTATCATTTCTTCCCTGTGTAGATTCTGAAGGTGAAGACGACCATGAAGATTGACCGGGAAACACAATGTCACCCTCAGGCAAAGGTGCTCCACAATATTGGGGAAGCCATTGGGATTCCCCAAGAAAGAACCCACATTCTCATATTGCATTCATGTAGAATAAATTTGAGGCCGCTGTTTCAAAATTTTAGTAGGATATGTCATACACAAAAAGAAATGGGACACCTAAAGTGATGTCCTCAGATGCTGTGTGTTTTTTTTCACTTTGCTAGTTAGACTGAGGAATGCTGTTTCATGTGATTTGTCCTGCAGATGGGGAACGTCTTACGTTTACACATTTGATGTACTCTTTCGATGGTGAAAAATATTTTGGTCAAAGAAGTGCATCGTGACAGAAAAAATTGTATGTTAACTGAGATAAGATATGGAAGCTGTGCAGGTTGAAGGAATAGAATGGCAGAGGGAGAGAAGTTTAACTATTGACTGAGCTTTTGGCCCATTTGCTGCCTTAAATTTGAGTCTGGTGACATGATTAATGTATTGCAAGGAATTTGATATGTGATTGGAATTGGTTATAACTGTAGACCTTTTCAAGTCAGCTGTAAGGTCTTGTGAATGCAATGGATCATTTATTTTCTGAAGTGTCCGTATTTGAACATGATTTTTCTTTTCTTTTTCCTTTGAGTGATTGATTGATGGTCTAAGCCATCTTTACATTTTATTTTATTGTTTTAATTTTTTCCAAGACTTTGGTTTCCATATGTTGGACTTTTAATTTACTGAATTTTTGAGAGGGCTGGTGGTTCCAGACTTCCCACAGAGATTACCCAAAAAAATTTATATACATGCAGTACCTAATTATAGATTTTGTTCTTGTCATTTTCTTTTTCTTTTGAGGCAGATTCTTTTTCATTTAAAGAGAAAGAAATGTGAGTTAAAAAGAAATAACAAATGAAGCTGCTGTTGATTACTGTACTGATACTCACAATATATTTTGTGACATTTTCTACTTGCATTTTTCATGTTGACACCATTATACGACACCGTTTTCGTATGTCAAGTTTTATGGCAGAAAATCCGACTAGAATTTGAACTTATAAGTTGTTAACTCGGTGCGACGTCGTTTATTATTGCGCCGCACCTTCTTCAACTAGATAGACAAGCGGACTTGAAATTCAAACCTAAAAATTTACAGGCCATGGAAGATGTACTGACAGAGATTCCGCCACCTTCGAGGTTCTTCCAGGAAGATCTCAACAACTTCACACCTCCATCACCACCCCTTCCCTCGCCTTTCCTCTTGCTCTCTCAAAACCCTAACGAGGCTGCAGAACCGCCTCTTCGCCCTTCTCTCCTCATCGTCGCCCTTTCCTCCCCATCTCTCCATCTTTTCCACAACGTCTCCTCCAAAACCCTAATCGGAACCCTAGTCCTCCCCGAGACCCCCTTCTCCGGAAACTCCATCAACCCCTCTCTCAAAGACAAGTCTTGCAACATCTACTCTCTCGATCGCCACCAAAACCCTAAAAACCCAACCCTCCTCGTCTCCTTCCAGTGCCCAATTGCCGCCGAGAGATGCCACGCCGTGGCCAAGTTGCTCATTTCTCAGCAGATTGTTCCTCAGAGGGTTCTGATTCTGGACTCGATTCAGAGCCGGAACTTCAGAGGCAAACTTTCGAGGGATGAGGCGGTGGCGTTCAAGCTGGAGACGACTTCGGAAAAAAAGGCCCCATCTTTGAGCTTGGAGTACTTTCCGTCGGCCAGCGTCGTTGATGGGTTGGGCGCGGCTCTCTTGGCTGCGTGTGAAATCAACAACATCAAGGCAACGCTTTGTGTGACATGGCCTCAATTTGGTGCTTCAGTGCTGTCCCTGATCAGATCCCTCATCTTTCCTGCGTTGGATTTGGATTTGAGCATTAGCCCTGGTGTTGATGATTATGTGATTTTAGGACAAGATAAGGATCACCATCAACCTTTTGATTCTGATTTGTATACTTGATGTTAAAAACTTGTTTTGGGTTCAATGTCAAGTTCTTCATCTTTTGAATGTTTGAAAAATGTCACTACTTTCTTTGTAATAATACTGAATCTTATGGCTATTGCTGCTATCTGTAATGGCTAAATCAAACTCAAATCAAAGCCTGTATTTAGTTATGGACGATGAGTTCGGGAAATTTCATTGGAACCCAAATTGCAAACCGGTTCTCCAAATCTTGTCAATGAGAGCTTTCAAAACATCCTTCCCCTGTTCATTAGCAAATCTTTGCCTGCATATGCTTCAATCAAAGAAGCTGAATTGTGCTTGTTTAACACAAGGGTTAATTCATGACATATTGATATTTGAGTGCAAGCATGTGGCCCGGAGACAATCTGAAAATGACATGTCGGCTTAGATATGAAGTGAGGAAGATTGCATTTGCATTCTTGTCTGTAAAGAAACAGGGACAAGGATGGCGTGCAACTTGACCACAAATTCTGCCAGAAACAAAAATGAAATTCGACTTTTTCAACCAAAACTTTATTGCAAGAAATCAATAACTAGAATTATATACATAAAGCACACCGCTGTTTAACCTAATCCTTCAAGTTGGACCATCCAACCGATGAAGTCCATGCCAAATTAGAATGAGAGAAATAATTAATCGTCAAACTTGTTACTTTTGTTGTACCGGACTAGATTAATATATAGGACCTTTTTTTTTATTTTACTTGAAGATGATGGTATTTTGCAGCTGGGTCCGATTCACTGTTAGATCAAGAAACTGAAGCTTGTCAGAAGGTGAAAGGGGGTTAAGCATTAGCTGTTATTGGTTTTTGTTTGGTGGCTGCCTCGATCTTCTTACGTAATATACAAATGGAAAAAGCAACACGTCTTATCACCCTCTGCTTGTGATATTGGAAACTCCTTCCTGGTGGTTGCATCCTCTCTTGACTCTAGATATCTTCATTCAAAATACTCAAACTTCCATGCAAAATTATTCACGCATTTTTTTCTACTTATATATATATATCTCACAGTCCCAACCATCTCTCCCACTCTTTTCAGTTGCCCAAGAAAGCCACAAGCAGCAAAACATGGCACCTTCCCTTTGCTTCAGAACCTTCATTCTTCAATTCATGCTTTTGGTTTTCTCCATTTTGAACACCAGTTTGCAAGCAAGTGAGCCTCCATTGACATTGGACTACTATGCATCTGCATGTCCTAATTTGTTCGATATTGTAAAGAAAGAAATGGAATGTGAAGTGCTCTCGGATCCTCGCAACGCCGCCTTGATTGTTCGGTTGCATTTCCATGACTGCTTTGTTCAGGTCCATAATGTTATCTATTGATGAATTACGTAGGATTTTTGTTTCTCATCATGCAATATTTTTCAATGATCATTATTTTTTCGTGGTTTCAAGTTGCTGCTGTATACACTTCAGTACTATAGAATTTATAGAAATTTAAGAGAACCATATTTGATTTATTGAATCATGCACGCAGGGATGTGATGGGTCAGTTCTGCTCGATGACACAATCACACTAACAGGGGAGAAGAAAGCTTCCCCCAACATACACTCTTTAAAAGGTTTCAGAATTATTGACAAAATCAAGAACAGTCTCGAATCAGAGTGCCCTGGAATTGTCTCTTGTGCCGATATTCTCACAATTGCAGCAAGAGATGCTGTGATTCTGGTACTAACTAGAAAACTCTTTTATATATATATATATATATATATATATATATATGAGTTCCATATATACCACCTACTAAAAATCTCTCTGATATATTTGAGTCAAGTCTTATTCAAAGCAGAGTTTTTACCCTTGTTTCTTTGCTTTCACCGTGCAGGTTGGTGGACCTTATTGGGATGTTCCTCTGGGAAGAAAAGATTCTATGACTGCTAGTCCTGAGCTTGCAGAGGCTAACCTTCCTACTGCTAATGAGGGCCTTGCAACTATCATTTCCAAATTTCTTTACCAAGGCCTGTCAGTCACAGATATGGTAGCTCTATCAGGTACTTGAGAAAAGGTCCAAATCTTATTGTATGTGATGTGACATTCCTCTTGCAACATGTACCTCGTAAAAGGGCCTTGTAAATATCATATTCATAGCATTATTCAGGATTTGATTTGGTAATTAAGTGACGCATTTCCTATTGAACATTTTGTGCATAATCAATCTTTTAGGGGCTCACACAATCGGCATGGCACGGTGTGCGAATGTCCGGGCAAGGATTTATGGTGGTGATTTTGAAGCAACCTCAGGAAGCAATCCTCTGTCTCAGTCGTACCTCAGCAGCTTGAAATCCACATGCCCACCTGTTGGTGGAGTTGGGGACAATAACATTACAGCCATGGACTATGTGACTCCTGACCTGTTTGACAATTCTTTCTATCATTTACTATTGAAAGGGGAGGGTTTGCTAAGCTCAGACCAGGAAATGTACTCTAGCCTGTTTGGCATTCAAACAAAGCAACTTGTCAAGCAGTATGCAGCAGACCCAGCTGCTTTCTTCCAGCAATTCTCAGATTCAATGGTGAAGCTGGGAAATATTACCAATCAGGACAGCTTTGCCACTGGAGAAGTTAGGAAAAGTTGCAGATTTGTGAACACATGAGCTGCTATGCTGCAGTTAGGCCTCATGAGGGAAAAAAGAAAAGGGTTCAGTTGGCAAACCATATTTATTTGTTATTACAAGAAATGATTAAAGATTTACAAGTTTTATGTTTGAAAGTTAATGGAAATTGGTGCTTATCCATGTTCATAATCTATCTTGACCCAAAAGGGAAAAAAAAAAGAATCTAATACAGATGATAAACTATTGACCCAAAAAAGAAAAAAGATGATAAACTAAGATAAGATGAAAGTAAACAATAATGCATCTTGGTTAGAGCGAATGTGCTCTCCACTTTGCACCTAAGTTCGAATCCCCATCCTAGTAATTTAAATTAGATTAAAATAAAATATCACTTGTATAAAAATAAAATAAAAACTATAATGTACCATGAAATAATAAACCCATCAAGCAAAGATGGGTGGGTACTGTCATGGGCCTCTCCAAGCTTAACTGAGACTTGATGGGCCAAGTTTGGTCAAGCAGGTTGAACAAAAAGAGGAAAGGTTCAACGAAAGTCAGGAGCTTAAAAGTTGGAGTTTCTTTTGACTGTTACTCTTTAAAGAGGTAAAAGCACTTTTTGGAGATTATATGTTGATTGACAAAGATTCTTTCCATATCTACAGAGAGAGTTCAATCATGCGCCATCTTTGTTTTCTTTTTGGTTTTCCTCAATCTCGGAATTGGGTTTTCAATTAATGATCGTAAGAATTAATTATTTGAACTGTGAAAGCTACAAAAAGCAACATATGGATCCCAATGAGAGAGATGATGGGCCTCTGTTACTGTTTCCTGGTAAGGGAAGGCTACTGGAGTGGAAAATATGAAACATGAATGACATTGTTTTGCTATTTTCGACAAATTACGCTATATTAAGTGAAAAAGTTATTACAACTAACATAGCATGATTGGCCGAAAATAGCAAAACAGTGTTATTCATATTGCACACAAGTGTTTCTCCTAAGAGAGGGGGAGCAAGCAATGAAATTATGCAATGCAAGGGCCCCATTAACACTTTGGTCGTCTAACATGTGCATAGACAACACCCAAGCCTTAGCCAAGTGGTACGACAACATCACGCAATTTCCATAGAGAAGATATTGCTTTATTATATGCTCTTTCCTGCTGCCACAGTAAGATATATATGTTTGTCTGGCATTCATGATTCATCCCCCTTGGATATATTGTGAGGATGTTGTGTTACTTTTGGGAATTTCTCCCCACCTTTGCTTGTAGTTTTGGCAATTTGTCAAATTATGGAGATGAATTTAAGTAGGAATTCGAATCAGTACCGTCCTTGCCTAGCTGAACTTGCTATAGCTGTGGAAAAAATTTTACCTTTCAAGCGGAGGGGAAGAAAAACAGTGTGGGAGAAAATTTTGACCACTATAATCGACGACATAGAGGAGTTTACAACCAAACAACTGTTAATAGCGCCATTGAATTCCAATGTCAGTCCCAATTTTCCAAAACAAAAAACAAAAAAAACAATTGACTCTTTAATGTCATGGTCACGGTGTAAATCAATTTAATTTCAAATGTTCACATTTAAAGTCAATTTTGTCATAAGTGTCACGATACATGTCTGTTTAGTTTCAAGTATTAATAATTAATCCCGGTTTAATTTATAGTATTATGATGATGGATGTTTAGTCAAAAGTGTTGTGCAAGTTAGTAATTCATATCATAGTCTAAAAACTTCAAATTTTTAATAAAATAAAATGACCCTCCTTGTAAGTTTGGAAACGCTTTCATGATTGACAAAGACTATTTCAAGTCCACCCCAAATAGTGGGTCTACCTTACCTCAATCCAACCAATACCAACTAGTTTGAATTGGTCAGGGAGAAGAAGAAAGGAGAGAGAAAAAAAAATAGTATTTTATGATTTTTGAGGTCATATGGTGGTTGACAAAGATTCTTTCTTTCTTTCTTTGAAGCTACAAGGTTGAACGAATGTGTCATCTTCGGTAATTCTAATATTTTCCTTGGTTTTCTTATGGTTTTCCTCACCTCACACACGCTCGGAATTGTTGCTTGTAACCATGGAAGTGCTGTGTGTGTAGGGTAGCGATTAGCACTTTGTTTGGAAAGAGAAAGAAAGATACTGATTGGGTTTTTCGGGTGATTGGTGGCTTGGATCGGGCAGGCGCTGTCTGTCAATTTCAATAAATTTCTTTATCTTTTATACCTTTTAGTCAGCGGCTGAGAATCCCTTTTGTCAATTGTGCATTAAAGAGCTCTCACTTTTTTTTTCCCGAATATGTTTAGATTGCTATTATTCCAATTTCCGTTGAGTTTTGAATTAATCATCATAATCTGTTGATAAAGATAAACACGAGATTTAATATTCAATCACAATAATAGTTCCATTGGGATTGGGTTATTTGAAAATTTTACATCTTGATAACATAGTATTACCGTCACGCTAAATAATTTTTTATTTCTGATTTTCTCGCGGTTGGCACGGGCACTGCCCATGTTACATTAGCACAGGAGCATGGTATACGGCCTTGCGCCTCTTGAGGCAGGCAAGGGCCACCCACCCACCGCGGCTTATAGAATATATGCAAAGCAAATGCGAGGGTCCCAATTGACGCTTATTTTTTCATGTAAACTTGGTTGGTGCATAAAGACCTAATTAGTAATTGCAAGATCATGCCATTGATGTTCGTACATACCCATTGGATGGGTGAGTTGATACTTGACAAAGCAGGGATATGTTTGTCTTTATACTTTTTTGCGAAGCTTCTCTCAATTTGGCTTGTAGGTTTTGGAAATTTGCCAACTATGGAAATGAGTTGAAGTAGGACAAACTTGCCTAACTAAACATGATGCAAAGCATGTTATGCGAGACACACACCACACACAATCATCCACGCAAATGAATTTCGATCACAATTTGGTAAACGTACAAAAATAATGAAAATGCTCATAGGCATCCAATGTCTTCCATTGATTGATTGATGGATAACAAAAACTAGGAGCCTAATGTGTTGTATTGCATGTTTGTTTAATAGTTTTGTTACACAAGGTTAATAGGCACTCAACCCAAATGCTATTGTCAATTCTATTTCTCCATTTATAGAAGAAGAAAAAAAAAGGAATACACATACATGTCATCTTCTCGGCTGCAAACATGCTAACAATTTTCAACTTAAAAGTATACAAACCAAATTTTATATTCAACCCTATTTCGCTATCATAAGACATGTTATATTGTAGTTTCATTACCTTTTGTGTTAGAGAATACGACACTCAGTGTTAGTCATGTTTCTCCCTTGATTAATAAAAATGAAAAATAATAATTATCTCGTGGCACAACGCATGTTAAAAGAAGAGTTTCGATATGATTAGTGTAAGATAAATGTACATTTTTTTCAATAAAAGATTCGCCTAAATATGTCTTTTACCCGTAAAGTTGTGTACAATTTCCACACTAAAAAATTAGTAGAAAAAGAAAAAGTAGCGCAACCCAAACTCTTCTAGTAGTTTAGGAAAAGTAGAGTCCTTGTCTATTGATGTAAATATCGAAAAGAAAAGAAATTTTTTTTAAAAAAATTTATTATAATTTTGTAAATATGCAAATAAATTGAAGTATTAAACACCTCTCTTCTCTTCTCTTCTCCTTAGACTGCTCTCTTTCTCTCTCGACAGTTTGCGGTTTCTCAAGAATTCCACTTCCCAACAAATCCAGAGGGAAAAAGAATCACACTCCTGTCTATTCCAGGAAAGGAAAAATATAAAGGAACATTAAATATTGTTAACGAGAAAGAAACCGACCTTCATAGGGTGGCCAGGCTTCTGAGTTATCGTTGCTGAACTCACTTCCACTCCTTTGCCCGCATAATAAGTGAGTCCGTCACTGCACCCATCACCAGAAGCACACACATTGGTTTGGTTTTGATCCATATCATCTTTGGAAATTTTACTCTATGCTTGGGTATTGGTTCTTTTGCCATTGCAATTTCTGGGTAATCATTAGTTTTTTGTTGTTTGATTCGTGTTTTGTTGTGGCGGTTTGCTTTGGCACTCGCTGTTAGATCCAAACAAGGCGTTAGAACAGAGTTGTTAAGCCTGTTTTACAAGTTTTTGTCTGTATGGATGTGTTTTTGTGTTGATTTTCTCTTATGCGCATGTTATGTTTGTGATTGTGTTAACTGGGTGATCCTTAATTTAAGATTCTGTGATGGTGGATATGGTTTGGATCAAGATTTTGTCCAGTGTATATTTGGAGCTACCAAAAATGTGTCTGCTGCTCTGTGATATGTGAAACAAATTAGTTAAAACTTATGTGATGGCAACTGACCAAAAATGTGTCTGCTCTGTGATATGTGGAACAAAGGAGCTAATGTTTTCATGGTAATGGCTTAACTTCGTGATCATGGGGTTTTAAATGCTCCAATTTCTTTATTCTGCACGGAAACTCGCAAGTATACACTGGGTTAAGGTTATAAGTTAGAGATGAGAACGTTGAACATTAATATTGGATGTCAGCATAGCTTTACCTTTGCTTATTAGAGTGTACCTTATGCAGTGTTCAGTGAATTCTTAGACAATGGTTTTAGGCTTAGTGCTGTCAAGTTCTTGAGTTTAATACTGTTGCAGTAATTCTCAACATTTAGTCAAAACAAAATTAGCAACATTAAAAACTGATCTAGTACGACACAGGGGTTTGTCAGGCCCTTATTATGCTTCATCAATCAGAGGCATACCATACCCTGAGTCACTTTAGAAGCTGAACCATTTTTGAAATTTTTTGATTATGTCCTGAAGTTATTAGCAGGAGTAGTTGTACTTATAATCAGTGCTGCAAACAGTTAATGGCCTAGGTTTGGCAAATTGTCCCTTGGCGTGACAGTCATACCTCACTAATGCTTAAATATTGCAGTTCCTTAACTTTTGTGTGCCATTAATTTCTCAAATTTCACCTATATTGCAACATAATCTGCATCCTCTTTTTTGGGCCAAATCAGCATTCTTATGTGTGCTCAGGTGTATGCGTCTTTGGCGCACATATGTATGTTACACTTCTTTGAGTAACTAGAAGTAGAAGCATTCTAGTCATGAAGAATACTGTGTTGGTGACCTGCTATTTAATTGTTACATTTTGCCTCTCAAGCTTGCACACTCACACTCTTTAGTTGTGCCATTCATGTTTTTGATGTTTTATCATTTTATATCTCTCTTTCTTTTTCTTTTTCTTTTTTTCTCACCAGAGGGTGCCAGCATAATATTTATGGCTCAAGATATGTCTGGTGTTGATTCACACCAAAGACGGCAAGGCCTTCTAAAAGATCAAGTTCGATTGGTTAAGAAAAAGGATTCTCATTATGAGATTGTGCCAATCCAAAGTCCCTTGTCATTTGAGAAGGGTTTCTTTATAGTAATCCGTGCATGCCAATTGTTGGCCCAAAAGAATGATGGGATAATATTGGTTGGAGTCGCAGGTCCTTCTGGGGCTGGAAAGACTGTGTTCACAGAAAAGATACTCAACTTTATGCCCAGTGTTGCTGTCATATCAATGGACAACTACAATGATGCCAGTCGGATTGTTGATGGCAACTTTGATGGTAAACCATCACCTTACTTCTTTGGAAGCACAGTAATAGAAATGTTTTTACATAAGTTTTCATAATCAGATAAGTTCTGATGTAATGTTTATGCAATCTTATTGAAAACTATGTAAGGTCCTTATTCTCATTATGTGATGCATGAACTTATGATAATTACTTTGTAGAAGTGATTATCTAGCCATCATGAGGACGTCATGAAATTTTCTTTAGATCTTTAGACAAGGCAGAGCATTATGCTTTTGGTTATATTAATTATTTCCCTTTTCTTCTCTTATTTCTTTATTTTATTTTATTATAAAACAGATCCACGCTTGACGGACTACGACACGTTACTCCAGAATGTAAATGACTTAAAAGCAGGGAAGGAAGTTCAGGTTCCAGTTTATGACTTCAAGTCTAGTTCCCGCACAGGATTCAGGTTGAACGCCTCTCCATTTAATGACCTGCATAGCTTAGCATATCCATGGATTTCTTTGAGAAAGCTTTTAGAAATTATATTATCTTAGGGTAGCTAAGGCTTTGAAACTTAAGGAGAACCTTTAAATGTCAATTTAACTCTAATTTTCCATTTCAAGTATTGGTATGACAGTCTGAGTGTTTTACTTGTTGGCCATGGATGTAGTGAATGGTGAATAATTTTGTGCTCTTTTGGGAGTCTGAAGGACCAAACATCCTTAAGAAGAGAATATATTTTTCCTTTTGTGAATCATACCCATTCCATATTTATAAAGTAGAGCCTTTCTGTGCTCCCTGTTGAAAACTTGAACCTGAATTTGGCCCTTTGTTTTATCATTAATTTAATTTGTTTAATATTTCTTGAAATAAGTGTTGGTTTTTTTTACTAGTCAACAAAATTCTATTTTTTATTGTCTACAACTTCACCTTTTATGCTTCCTGGGTGCTTGGATAGCACCTTAGTAAAGTCGTTTGTCAAAGAGATTGCTGTTTCTATAACTTTTCATATTTTCTGGTCTGGCTTAAATCTTATCTTGAATAATGTGCTGGTGACAGGACAGTTGAAGTCCCAAGCTCTCGGATTGTGATCATTGAAGGCATCTATGCTTTGAGTGAAAAGTTGCGGCCTTTCCTGGATCTACGAGTATCTGTCACAGGCGGTGTTCACTTTGACCTGGTCAAAAGGGTTTTGCGGGACATACAAAGAGCTGGCCAGGAACCAGAAGAAATAATTCATCAAATATCTGAAACTGTACTTTTTTTCCCCTTCTAGATATCTGTAAGTGCTTGATAAGTTGTTGCTTTTCCTGAAGTCTGAACTTCTCTCAGGTATATCCAATGTACAAGGCCTTTATTGAGCCAGACCTTCAAACCGCACATATAAAAATTATCAACAAGTTTAAACCCGTTTACTGGATTTCAAAGTCCCACTTACATTTTGAAGGTTAATATCTCCCTTCCTTTTTCAGTTATTGTAGTTGTGTTGGTATTAATTTTAACATTGAGTTGCTACATCTTCATTTACACTGAAAATTGAATGCTACCTACCTTTTATTTTAGTCAGCAAAGGACTTGTCAGCGGATCAGATTAAGGCTGTCTTTTCTGAAGATCACACAGAAGCAAAGGAGGAGACTTATGATATATACCTTCTACCACCTGGTGAAGATCCAGAATCTTGCCAATCATATCTGAGGATGCGGGATAAAGATGGGAAATATAGTCTAATGTTTGAGGTTTGCCTTTCAAAGCTTAGTTTCTGCATTTTTGCGTGAGAACGGATTGTAAAGGACTTGCTGGGGTTAAAATTAAATTTAGCTGCAATGTCAAAAGAGTCCCAAGCACTTGTGACTAAGTAAATTGTATTTGCATGATCTTGCATAATCACACAGTGTACTGCATATTTCAGGAATGGGTGACAGATAATCCATTTGTTATATCACCAAGAATAACTTTTGAGGTCAGCGTGCGACTTCTTGGTGGACTAATGGCCTTGGGGTACACGATTGCAACTATCCTTAAAAGAAGCAGCCATGTATTCTCCAATGATGGGGTGTGTGTAAAAATTGATTGGCTAGAGCAACTAAATCGTCGATATATTCAGGTACAGATAAACTTTTTTCTTTCTTCTCCGCATAGTCTAGATACACCGACGAATGAAAAGTTCTAAATTGCACAAATATGTAATGTGTGTTTATGTGGCTTTAGTTTCTGAATAAAGTTGAGAACGATTTTAAACATAAATTTATAGTGTAACACTTGAAATGCTGTGTCATTTTTTAAGGAAGCCAACATGACCATCAATACTAATTATGTCTTGGGAAACAAAATAAGGAAAAGATGGAAAGTATACTTGTTTATCAACCTTTACCCTAATTCAGTGTGTCTCTCTTGTTTTATTTATTCTCTATCTTCTCTTTCTCAATCTCTCTTCCATTTTTCTCTCTCATCTATTTTTCTCCGTTGAATTCTTTTTCTTCTTATTCTGTCTTGCTCTCTTTCATTATTTTTCTTTTCCTGCATTATTACGCTACATTGTATACCCATTGGGGATACAGACAACCCTGTAGACAATTGAGTCTCCTATCTGACTGTGTTGTTTAAGTGGTAACCTTTCTACATATCTTACTGTGTTTATTCAATGGAAGCCTGCCTTATGGTTCATCTTTTTCTTACTCTCACCTCTATGTCATTTTGTAACTCATATTGACGTAACTCTTGTGCATATTGACAAAAAAGGTGCAAGGAAAAGATCGTGTACTTGTAAGATGTGTTGCGGAGCAGCTTGGCTTGGAAGGTTCATACATTCCTCGTACCTATATTGAACAAATTCAACTGGAAAAGCTTGTAAATGAGGTCATGGTATGATAACTACATCTTATCCTCTTTATACGCTGAGTACCAGCCAGGCTATGATAAAGCTCCAACACATATGATGCCTTATCTTGCATCTGCTTTCCTGATCTGATCCTCTTGCAGGCCTTGCCAGATGATTTGAAGACGAGGCTTAGCCTAGATGAGGATCTTGTTTCAAGCCCTAAAGAAGCACTTTCCAGAGCCTCCGCAGATAGAGTTGCCATGAGAAATAAGCATCTCAAGAGGTTTAATTTTTTGTAATCCATCTTTAGTTTAATATCTTTGTGAAATTGTTTAGATGTTGGGAATGCATTTTAACCTATCTGCCGGCTCCTTCATTTGAGATCTCTGATATAGCAATGCATTGATCTCAACTGTAAATAAATAATTTTTCTGAGCACTAGCACAACCTCTTCGTTTGTGTTTCTTTTCACTTTTCTTCAAAGGTTCATCTAGAAGCTAGCTCCCTTAAGCTGATTGACCTGAATTTATTCTGGACAGTGGTATGTCGCAGTCATATACAACCCAAAGGGACAAAAGTACATCTAAGCTTACAGGATATGCTTCCAACAGTCAAAGGTTTGATGAGAGAAATTCAGAGTCATCAGCAACACTAGCAAGCCAGGTAGAGTCAGTTATAATGGTCCTTGTGTGCTTTTGGCATTTGGTTCCCCAGCAAGTTAATATATTCACTTATCAACATTCTTTTTTCTTTTTCTTTTTTCCCCACCTCATTTCTATTGTGGCAGGGAGTAGTTACTCAGCTATCAGAACAAATGTCTTCGCTGAATGATAGAATGGATGAGTTTACAAATCGAGTTGAAGAGCTAAATTCCAAGTTGGCTGTGAAGAAAAGTTCTCCTAGCCAACAAAACATGGCTCTTCAAGCTGAAACCTGCAATGGCTCTGTTCCCACTTCTTATTTCATCTCTGGCTTAGGCAATGGTTCTTTAACCGGGTCGATATTGCCAAATTCCTCATCTTCCTCGCAGCTGGCTAAGGAATCTTCAGTAATGGAAGAGGTAATGTCTTACTCATTTTACCTTGTGTCAAAACTCACTTGGTTTGTGAGCTAGAAGAGTAAAAGGAAACATATGAATGATCATAAAATCTTGCCCAAAATTCAATTCTTGCGTCTTGACTGGTTCATTTATCTTCTTCTTTTCTTTTTTTTTCTTGCCATTCTATCAGATGTCAAGTATCACACGGGGGCAACGTCAAATCATGCATCAGTTAGACAATCTCAGCAATCTTCTCCGGGAAAACATGGGAGAGAGAAATCGCCCAGTAAGAACTAACAGCAGGAAAAGCACCATTGCTCAACCTGATCAGCCCTTGACAGTTCCTCTTGCAATAACACTAGCTGTTGGAGTTCTAGGACTTATCATATACAAGGGTATCTTTACTCGAAATTGATGTAGTTTCGAAAATCATTAGACTGATAAACCTTTACTTTGTCCCTCTTAGGTTCCACTATAAATGTGTTGCAAGTACTACCCTTCTGCTCGGGAAAGATAGTTAACAAAAAGAGGTTATGCTAGAAGCAAAACAGAAGCTTTCTAGCTTGAGAGTTTGCAAAGAAGGGTGCCCTAGCAATTTTGAAATTTTGTGGCCTACTTCCATTAGTTTATAGTTATTACTTTGCTAGTTTCAACATTTCCAATGTAGAGATTGAAGAAAGAGAGAAATTTCACAATAAATCAATCTTAGAGTTCAATTTTCTTTTTCTCGTAGGAATGTTTGCCTTTGATCTATCGCTTTCTCAAGTGCTACTAAATTTTATTACTGCACACATTATTTGTCGTAGAGAATTGCATGCTGAGTTGGAGTGGTTTGCTTCAATTTTCAAACTAGGCTTTATGTGAAGAGTTCTACCACCTCTTGCTATACCCATAAATGTTTGTTTGACATTGTTGTTCTGGTTGGCAAAGAGACTGTAAAAATCACTATCTTGCATTTTTCTTACAAGAACTAAGAAATATTCTTAATTTCTCCCATTCTTTATATAGATAATAACCCTTGAAAGTAAAAGATCAGTATAGGCTAATAGAGACTTGGGTAATGGCCTAATAATAATGAGTAATGCTCTAAATTATTCTAATCGAGGAAAGAGAATCGGGTATAATGGATATACTGCCCTAACCAACTGGCATGCTTAACATATTTCAACTCCGACAATCATTGGGCCAGGCCTATAAAGTGCAACTTACGACCCAATCTTTTTCTCAGCCGGTGAGTTCTAAAACCCAACCTAAATTTCTTTTACCCAGAAGTAAAAGATTAAAAAAATAAAATCCAAGCCAGACGTCAACTGCGGCTGCGCTCTCATTACAAACTAGCCTAGCCGCTGATTTCTCTGTACGCGGGAGAGAAAATACTCCGGAATGTAAAATGAGCCACGCTCTAAATTCCCTGTTCTCAGTGTGCCCATGATAGAGTCCAAACCGCCACACCGAACCTCGGGAAGCTCCTGCTTTACCTCTTAACGCAGAGAAATAGTAAAGAATTGAAATTTCAGAAAAAAATAACAGAGCTCTCTCCTTCACGATTCTCCTCAGGCTCTGGGTACCTAACATTTCTCTATTTACTGAATGTTTATTTATCTTTTGCTGTATAGTGGTATTTGTTCCTTGTGAATTTCTTTAATTTCTTAAGTCCAAAGATCTGATGCCTGATTAATTGTGTTTGTTCGGCTACCCTGGAATTTTAAAGAATTTTGATTGATGTACATGGTTTGTTGAAAGGAGAAATATATAGCAGTAAACCCCTCTGCTCTAAGAACTCTATAGCCATAGAAAGCGGCGGAAGATTAAAAAAAAAAAAAAAAAAAAAAAAAAAAAAAAGAAAAAAAGTTTGGTTTTATGTTTGTTGTCGTTTTTCTATATGAATGCTGATGAAATTCGCTATAAATTAAGAGTACAAGCTTTATATAGGAGTCAGCTGAATTTTGTTTTCTCTCAGATCCTAATGATGTAAAATCTATAATTTGGGAATTTGAATATTGGTTTCTTTTCCTCTTTGTTCTTCATAAGCAAATAGAACATATGCAGAAAAATCGTGGGTTTTGCTCAATTTTTGATCTTTCTGTAACTTTTTGTAGTTTGATGAATGTTCACTAGAGTTTCTTCAACTGCCAATTGGTTTTGTTGCATTGATTTGCGGTTGATTTAGTTTGAATGTACGAATGGGTGATCTATTGGATCGTGATTTGATAAGCAATCTGCCTCAGAGCATTATAGAGAGCATTCTCACGCGTCTCCCAATTAGAGATGCCATAAGAACTAGCTGCTTATCAACGAAATGGAGATACAAATGGACTACACTCACCCATCTTGCATTCGACGAAAAATGTGTCACTCTATCTAATGACCGAACTCTTGTCGAAAGAAGCCTTGTAGACTTTATCACTCGGGCTCTCTTTCTTCACCAAGGACCCGTTCACAAGTTCCAGCTTTCTACTTCCTACTTGCAGAGCTGCCCAGATATCGATCAATGGATACTTTTCCTTTCAAGGAATGACATAAAAGAATTGGTTCTTGAATTGGGAGAAGGCGAGTGGTTTAGGGTGCCCTCATGCCTTTTTTATTGTAAAAAGTTGACCCGTTTGGAGCTATTTCGATGTGAGTTGGATCCACCTCCTGCTTTTAAGGGATTTTTGTGTTTGAAGAGCCTCAATCTTCATCAAGTTTCGGTTGCTCCAGATGCAATTGAAAGTCTTATTTCTAGTTGCCCTCTACTTGAGAGTCTGGCTTTGTCATACTTCGATAGCTTAGCTCTAAATATTCGTGCCCCAAATCTCAAGTACTTATGTCTTGAAGGTGAATTTAGGGACATATGTCTTGAAAATACCCCACTTTTGGTTGCCATATCTGTTGCTATGTATATGACTGATGATATTGCCGAGCACTTTGAGCAAAGTTCAAATTGCAATTTTATCAAGTTTCTTGGTGGCATACCACGTCTCGAGAGGCTTGTTGGGCATATCTACTTTACAAAGGTAACATTTTTATGTGATTTTGTTTGTTAATTATCCCCCTCTTTCAATCTTCAATGTAGGTAATCTACAAGTGCATATATGTTTCTAACAGCGATTCGGTTTTCATATGTTTTTGTTTCAAGTATTTGAGTATAGGTAATGACCAGGGAATCCTTCCGATTACTTATAACCATTTAAGGATTATTGAATTATATCAAGTAAGTTTTGAAGATATGAAAGAGATACTAGTTGTTCTTCGCTTGATTACGAACTCTCCTAATTTACAGGAACTTCAAATCTCGGTAAGTACTGTGAACATGTTGAAGTATTACCCTCTTGTTTTTTTCCATTCGTTTGTTTTACTCATGGACATTTTAGTTTTTAGTTTTACATTTCTGTTAATTAGTAAGGGTTACTGCCAACATAGGGTTCCTCAAACACTTTAGCAGCAATAGAAGCATCCGATTTGGATTTCTGGGAGAAACAATGCCCTTCCGATTGCGCATTCGGAAGACTTAAAGTTGTGAAGATGACAGATATGTCTGGAGTGCCACATGAGATGGAATTCATCAAGTTTTTGTTGAAGAAATCACCAGTGCTTGAGACCATGAGCATTACGCCGTGTGCATATGTTTTAGATGGACGTTTGAATATGCTGATTGAGTTGGTGAGCTTTAAACGGGCATCTCCTGAAGCAGAAATTTTATTCATCCAAGATTAAGTAGTGTCTGTCAAGTATGTTTGACGGAGCTGGCCTTTGAATTGTGTTTTGTATTTTTCTTGAGACTTGAGAGTGACAATTTGTTAATATTGTTCAAGGTCTCGTTCACTCATATTATAAACAAAACAAATAAAAGATCAGTTCTCATTTAATAACTGGCTGCATATTATAATGACTAATGATATTAAATATGAGTTGAAAATTCAGTTTTTTATTGTTCTTTTGTTATTTGTTTGTATGGGAGAAACAGAGACGTCCATTTCGTTTGTTTGCATGGAGTACGCAGCGATTTAAGTTTGTTCCTCCCAGAACAAAAATTGAAAATGTTGTTGGTCGTTTAGTGAGACTAAAATACAAGGAAAAATAAAAATACTGAGAATCCCAGATAAAATCCCCATCCTGTTGTATATACGGGAACACAACCAGTTTCTGGACTCAAAATTCCATTGAAATCGAGAAAACAAACAAAATTCTGTCCTAGAACATTATTGTTACAATCTCAAGAACCCAAGTTGGATGTTCTGAGGAAAACTATTCACTCAAGATCAATCGGAAAGGGCATGTGACACTCGATCTACACGTCAGTTTCTCATATCAGATTCTGTACAGTCGAAGTTTTAACACAACTCTTTGGAGCTTCAATTTGATGCTTATGATAATATACAACAAACTCAATCATTTCTGACTCATATTCATGGTATCAACTTCCATTCCATTATGGATATCATTTTTCTCTGCTTTCTTTGTTGTGAGAGTAAGTATTATCTTGGTCCAGAGAGTTCCATTGCTTGTGCAAGCAATGAAGAGTCGTCAGTAAGATCAGAGTAGCGCTCGGAAGAGGAAAATTCATTGGCTCTGCACCTATTTGATTCAGCTCTCTGAGAAGCTTCCCATTTCTCTGCAAGTCCATCTCCTTCGAGCATTCGAACGACTTCGGACATCTTGGGTCTTTGACTGGGAAGATTTTGAGTACATAAGAGAGCTACTTGAATCATTTCTTCGAGCTCGATTGGATCATAATCATTTTTCAGTTCCTTGTCAACTAGCACATCAAACTTCTTTTCCTGTTGGATTTTCTTTACCTGCAGTAAAAAGTGTTGAGTTAACTACATCAACCGAAGCATAAACAACCCTCAAATTTCTTTTGGAAACAAATCCAAGGAAAACATCTCTGTCTGGCTCACCCAGTCAAGTATGGCTCCTTTCTGGTTTGCCGCTTTCCCAAACTCCAGAGCTCTTTGGCCTGATATTAATTCAAGTATAAGAATCCCAAACCCAAAAACATCAGTCTTCTCAGAGGACTGGCCAGTTGAGAGGTACTCTGGGGCTATGTGCCCCACAGTACCTCTCACGGCAGTTGTAATGTGTGAATCATGGTGATCCAACAGCTTTGCCAACCCAAAATCTCCCACCACAGCCTCACAGTAATCGTCAAGCAGAATATTTGCAGCCTTGACATCCCTGTGAATTATCTTGGGGTCACACTGCTCATGCAAGTATAACAATCCCCTTCCAGCTCCCAATGCAATCCTTTTCCTTGTACTCCAATCCAGGGCTGGCTTGGCTACAACAGAGGAAGTAAACTATGACTGTTTTATTGATGTATCAAATTTGTGTGTTTAATCATCACTAAATACAAAGGAATTCTAACCAATAAGAGACTTTAATTAAAATTTTGCAAGTAGGTAAAACAGCATAACATCTTACTCTATGTAACATGTTCTAAACAGAGTGCAGATCAAAGGCTTTTTACCTTTGAGACGCGAAGCAACACTACCATTGGACATGTAGGGATAAACCAAAAGCCTCTCTTTGGCTGTCATGCAAAATCCATAAAGCCGGAGAAGGTTGCGGTGCACTGCTAGGCTGATCATCTCAAGTTCTGTCTGAAATTGGATTTCACCGCCTATGGCATTAGCATCCTTGAGCCTTTTGACCGCTATTACCGTACCATCTCGGAGACATCCTTTGTAGACATTTCCGAAACCACCCTTGCCAACCAAGTTTTTGCTACTGAAGTTGTGTGTTGCAGCTTGAAGTTCTCTGAAGTGAAACGACCTCAGGTTTCCAAGGCAAACTTCTTCATGATGTTGTTCTGAAATTTCTAATTAAGTGTTAGAAAATACAGCTTGTTGAAAGTCTAATTAGTCTTTATTCGCATGCACAAAAGTATACCAACCATTAACATCTAAGAATATCTGTTTGTTGTGTTTTTGCCTCCACCAAAGAAGGAAACCAAAACCAAGAATTAGAAGACAGATGCAGCCTAGGCTTGAGGCAAACGCTAAGGCAATTTTGTGGCTCCTAGGTCTCCCAGCAGGTTGAGCATCTTAAGAAACAATAAGAAAAGCAAGTTAGGGTATTTGCAAGAAGTTGTTGAATCGTGAAGATAAATAATACCGAAGGAGAGCAAAACGAAAAGTAGATTTTTAAGTTCAAAATAGAACCAGAAGGTAACATAACCTTAAAGCCAGTGATGGCACATAAATTATATAAAACATAAGTGTTTCATTAGCTTAAAACCAAAGCCAAAAGGATGATAATATTTCAAGAAGTAGAGAACTTCAAAGTTTGAAAAGTAAAAGAAACCGGCAATAAGCAGGAACTATATACTTTGTGAGTTATTCGAGGGAAAAGCTGGCGGCATCCTCGTTGTTTCAAAGCAGTCTTGCTTTATTCCAGCGACACATATCAGAGGATTTCCCACAGCACTGTGTCAATTCAGAAACTAAATAAATGAGTTTTAGTTATTCATCTTCTGTATTGAAGAGGGAAACAAAAAACTGGGAGGAGGAAAAGAAACATTGAAAAGACTCACTTGAATGTTTTAGCAGGAAACCTGGGTACTGGACCACTCAAATTATTAAAAGACATGTCCCTAAACCATCGAACAAAATCCACAGAAACCTTAATTAAGATCATATTTCAACAGGAATAGAACGTATAATCAATCTTGATGTGTGAAGTTTGGAGATAATTATTACAGAAAGGCCAGCTGGGTCATGTTAGCAAAAGATGAAGGAATTGCACCGGAAAGACTGTTATTGTTTAGCCGCCTGCTTGCAACACAAATAACCATTATGACCATCCACTAAAATACACTTCCAAACTATTTGACTATGTTTCTTTTCTCAGTGACTGATACTTTCAGTTTTGGAAACAAAATTTCTGAATTGAACTCACAGGTATTGTAGGCTTTTCAAGTGGGATAGAGTGCTGGGAATTTGACCATTGAACAAGTTGCTGGACAGATCAAGTGTTTGAAGCTTTTGGAGCTTCCCAAGCTCTGGGGGGATTGATCCTGTTATATGGTTATCCTGAAATGTTCTGCAAAACACATTTTTCAGTAAAATATATAGGATATTCAGATACAGATATATTGCTTTAAAAATAATTGATTGCTCACACAAGCTGAAGATTTGTCAAGTTTCCTATGCTTGGTGACAAAGTGCCTGATAAATTCTGGCTTGGAGTTCCCCTGCACAAAAACCATTGCAAACTACATAAGATACTTATTTATTAATGCATGGTGCATTTTTCAATTTCTTAATTAGTGTTTTGGTGTTTTCCAGCACTACTTACAGGCCAATGACTAAACCATCAAGAGAACAAGTGACCATATTCCAGATGCAGGGGTCCACAGAAGTTTCATCCCAATTTTTAAGAACGCCACGAGGATCCTTCAGAGCCTCTTTAATGCCCATTAAGGCTTGCACTAGAGAAGAAGAAAAACAAAAACAAAAATTGTTTGTGTCCTGGTTTTTCAATGGCTAAGCAAAAATGATCAAAATCTGCAGAATTCAGTTACCTTCAGGGTTGACACCCTTTGGAGAAAGCAAACCAGTCACAGAAGTCGTCCACAAGCACAAAAGGGCCACAAAGCACAAAGCTTTACCTTCCTTCCTAATCTCCATTGAGTTGCAGGTCCAAAAAGAAGAGGTACCCAAAATATTATGATATGAGCTCCTTCTTTTCCAATGAAGAGAAGTAGTTTGAAATTTTGAAAGCTTCCACAGAAGCAATCTGCAACTGGGTTTATCCGATAAACTTCAAAGTTGAAACCTTTGTGTTGTAATGCGTATGATGATTTGCATCAGAGGCAAAAAACCAGTATAAAGCCTCGTGCTTTGCACTACCAGAATTGCACTCACTCACTCAAGGCTTACTGACAGACCCAAGAGCCAAGAAGCAGAGTTCTGGTTTGGTTGTAAAAAGACTTAAAAGAGAAAGAGCATGCCTGGCCTGCCAGTCACTGGTTCAGTTGAGAAAAGGAAAGGAGAGAATATATAAAAGCTAAAGACGAGCAAGCAACACTCACTAACCAATTCTAGATAAGTGCAAAAGAAAATTCCTTCAATCATGTATTGGGTTAAAGAAAAGGGACCTGCATTTTTAATTATTTTATTATTCTCCTGATTATAAAATGCAAAGCAAGTGAAGTATTACCTGTTAAGCACTGTAAAAGTTATAATTAAGGCACCTTAATCAAAAAATGACGCTATGGTCAGCTTTAGCTTTTGCTGTCAGTTAGAGAGAGAAAGAGAGGGAGAGAGAGAGAGAGGGGGAAAATCTGCACAGTATTTGGCTCTGATATGCTAAAGCTTCCATAGTGGCTCCCTGATTGAGAATCCAACATTCCACTAACTTGGCCATTTATATTGATTCTCAAATTCGGTGTTATATTTTTCTAATAATTATAAAATAAAGTTGAATATATAGGCTCAAGGTCACGTTTTCAATCGATTCTGTTTCGTTTTAACTTGACCAAACTGAATAAAGAGACTATCATCATCGAATCAAAAAAATTCCATTTTAATAAATGTTCTTATTAAACGATCATATTTTGTAAATGGTTTGTGTTGTGGGAAAATGGGAACCCATCAATTCAACAGAACAGTCATAAAATTTACCTAGAGCAAGTTCTGAAGTTGGTTTACTTGTTCAAAAGTAAGATTTTCTCAAAAGAAGAAGAAAACAAGAAAATCTCACTCACAAAAAAACTGTTTGTGCTAAAGATAGACGAAGGGATCGGTTGATGCTTACAACATTACACTCTGTCTTCTCATTCAACAGACATCCCTTCAATAAACAAATCAAGAGTAGCCACTTTTAAAAGCAAAGCAGCTCCTCCTCTCGTTCTCTCTCTGGTTAAAAGTAAATAAACATGCAATTTGTGTGGCCCCTACATATCTGTCCTCCTCCTGCCGATGAAGAACCAACGGCTCTGGTCTCACTAGGCAACACAGTGCTTTACGTGTGCCTGCGGTGCACCCAAAATGGGAATGTGGGCCCACCATCTCCAGAATCAAAATATAACACCAGGCCAAGTGAAATGAAACAGGGATGGCCTCTGATTTGGAACGATCATTTATACTATTAGCATATGCATACAGAGGGATATATATATATATATGTGTGTGTGTGTTGCACATTAGCTGCACGTGCAATGTAGACCCCAAGACTCACAGTGCCCGTTGACTTGATGTTCAAACGTTTCTTTGGACGAATTGCCTATTGTTTTCATGATTATCAATCTCAGATTCTATAGTAAAGTTGATCCAATGGTTATCATTTGTGTTCAAACATAAAGATGATTAAGATGGGAATAGCACCTTATAAAGGCGTTTGCAACTTGACAAAGCAACTTAATTTGAGGGGCATTTTTTTAATAATCCGCACGAGTAAGTTTTCAGTGGTAATATTTCGTTTCTAAGTAAAAGTTAATGTTGTTCATAAACATATGCAAGCTGTAAGCTCATATGTCTCAACTCTTAAAATTAAGTTTACCTCGAAACCTAATTGATTAAGGTAAGTATGTGCCTCTTACACCTAAATTTGAACATCTTTTCGTACATTAAAATAATTTAAAATATCCACTATTGTGGAAAAAAGAATTACAAAGAACTATATCACTTCAAAGTCCGAAGAAAAAAACCCACAAAACCTAGATGGAAATCTGCACTTACAATTATAGCTGCTAAATGTTGCTATGCGATGCATGGCGCTTGAATTTCTCTAATTAAAAATAGATAAAAATGCATGGCAATCATGAATGATAAAATAGAACTGGTTTTGTGTCAAGTAAAGATTCCTAATACGACTTGTCGTCTGTGGCCCCTTCATGTTCACTGACACGCACTAATCTCCCTTGTGGTTGGAACATGCAAGGATGGAATTGATTAAGAACCAGAGGGACTTTGGAGTAATTTGTGCACAAATTGTCTTTCACTTGACAAAGATATGGTTCTGCTGTTCCTGTCAATTGGGTCATCTCACGTATCTGTCTTCCTTCCCTTGGTTCCATATCCAGTTCATTTCATGCCTTAATCACCTCACTCTACCAACCAACCCTTTAATTTCCACCTTTTTTTCTCTTCCATCCCCTGATTAGCAGAATCCATGTCCAATTAACAATCAAGGAAATTTCCCAGCCAGTCAGGTCTTTGGTCCTCTTGGAGCCAACAGGGAGTCAAACTAGTGTGAATTATGACGAGAAAGTTGACCACAATTGTAATCAAGATCATATGCACTACTAAAAGGAGGGGCTCTAGCTCCCCAAATGAGTAGGTAATTATTGTTCTTTTTTACCACTTGACTAAGCTTGGCTTGGCTTGGTTTGCTTGAGTGGATTAATATAGCTATTGCTTTTTGAAAAATTTGTACCATCACATGCATGATTTTGTTTCTGGTTCTATTGCTCAAAAGATGAGGACATTGAATAAATGGATAGTCCTCCCTAACCCCACATTGTCTCCCTACCCTACTTCTTCCTCTCTCTCTCTCTCTCCTCTCTCTCTCTCTCTTTATTTTCTTTGAGTACAAGTGATTGAGAGAGAGAGGTTACCACAAATATTCATTGGGTGTCTACGATTTTCGAACATCTACCCACATGGTTCCTTTCTCTTTAATAATAACAAAAGAATTGCTCATTTCTGAACGCATTCCCTACCCACTAGAGTTTTGTACCAAATACAGAGAACTCTGTCATGATATCACTGTCCATGTTGTTCCACCATGCATTGTGTATGATTCTCTCATGGGGCCATCTTCCTCGTCATGTATGTACCTTCAATGCCCTTGCCTTGCCTTGACAATAATTCAAAAGGACAAGAGAACTTCCTCAACTCACTTTGTAAATAAAGTGATACTGGATAGTTTCAAGTCTTTTTTTTTCTTTCTTTTGTTATGTTAGAGGAAATCGAACTTTGTATCATAATTCTAACTCATTAATTATCTTATTCTCCTTTATCATTTGAGCAAGTCCTAAGGGATTGGATTGGTTTAAGATAGTCCAATACTAAAACTTAGTGAAGGTCTTATGAAATCCCCATGATGAGAAGCCCTTTTCTCAGTTAACTTAGAAATCGAACCTAAATGTTGTTGGTTTTGTGAATTATAAAGGCGCCTCAAAGGGATGTTCATCAAAAGGACTTGATTGTCAGTTTCAATTTTAGTTAAAGCACACCCCTTTTTGTTATGGCTAAATGGAAGAAATTCCTTTTCGAATGGTGCCAAGCCAACTAAAAGCTTAGGATACCTTCTATCTACGCCATCAACCATCTTTATTTTCCTTTTCTTGTGCACAGATGACTTTACATTCTCTCCCGTTCTTAGTAGCCAAAGAAAAGCTCTCTACATCCTTATACCACCCAAAAAAAGGGTGGAGAAAAACTGAAAGTAAGCTTGCTTTATATATTTTAGAAGGAAGATGCTATATAGTCTACTCTCTTTTCCATGAGTCTTTCAACTAACACGAGATCAGATTCACACGAGTCCATGAGTTGGGAAATAAAAATCTAAGAGGAAAAATATATATATACATGTATATTATTAGTATAGCAAAGGTAAATACGAGTTAATCCTCTAGCAAAGGTAAATACGAGTTCATCCTCATGAGAATTGAAACCAATATTAAAGAGATGCACTAAATATTTAACTTGTAAAGCAATAAATTATTTTTCGAATTCAATGCAAATAAAATAGAACACAAATTGAAAGAGAGGGACATTATTACTGTGAAGACGTCATGTATTTTTTACCATTCCTCTCTACTTTTCACATTATTTATAATGATGTCCACACGATAATAACGTGTGGACATCCGAATGATAGAATAACTGTATATGTATTTCTTCATGATTGGAGTGTTGGGGGTATTAAGTTCCCTAATTCTACGGAAAAACCAAGCAACCTAGTTTGTGAAAATAAAAAAACAATATATGCACCAGATTTTCTCTGTTCATTTTCTATTCAATCAGTGACAACTTGACAAGTAAGGCAGTCAACAGTGTTTGTGATTTTATCCATACAACTTGATCCTGTTTGTTTGATGGGGTGTCCAAAAGTAGAATCTTTGCCTCTTCAAATGAAGATCACAAAGTTAAAGGCTCTCTCTCTCTCTCTCTCTCTCTCTCCTCTCTCTCTCTCTCTCTCTCTCTCGGCCAGCAAGGCTGTCTGGTTCACACAAACCAAACGTCCAAAGCTAATGCGTAGAACCCACTTTTTCTCAATAATTTGATTTAACATGTTTTAGAAGGAGAGCATCTGCAATAAGACAAATGTCATTTAGCGCACAGTGAAAATTAGGCAAGACTAAAACAAACCTAACAAAGATTTTTCCCTAAGAAAACGTTAAAATAAAAAGTTAATCACTTTTTTGCAACCTTATTACCTGGCCGGCTGGCTTCCATACATACATGACAATTCACAGGGCAATAACAGAACCGAGGCCTCCTCACAAACCGAAAGCTTTAAAAAAGCACCCTGATGACATGACAGATAGAACAATAGAGGCCAAGTTGCCTAATCCATCTGCTTCTGCAATAATTGATATTGCAAACAATTTTAACCATTCATACATATAACATACCTCAATTTCTATATCATTTACATTGGACCGACCCCTTGAGAATTATGAATTATTTGTCTCCCTTGGTCCCTCCCAATATTGGCAACATGTTTCAATTGCTTTTCAGCGGACAGGTTCTGATTAAAGCCTGTGCTATAAAAAAGAAAATAAAAAATGTTAGCACGGGCACACGGCGGAGCCACAGAGATGAAAGATTTGAAAAGCCAGGCCCAGGACAATAGCTGATCTGCTAGCTGCTGTCTTACATGTACACAGATGAATAAAGCAAGCTGTGTGTCCCTGAGAAGCTGGACCCTCTTATCTCTTGCTTCCAGAGACGACCAAACAAGCAAGCAAGCTTATACAAATACAATGACACATTTTCTTATCTATAGATACAAATTACAATGCATAATATGTGTTCAGATTCAGATATATAAAAGTTAACAACTTGGTGGTTCCAGAAGAACTTTCAACCTGACATGCACAGAAAAAAAATATATATATAAAAAAAACAGAAATGTTCTATGGGGTTCAAATGTCTTTAGGGCCATACATACTTATAGTACTGTGTTGTGTGATTGGGCCTCTGGATCTCTCTTCATGAGAAATGTTCAAGGTGGTTTTTTTGCACTTGCTAATTACTTGTAGTTAATCTTGATGGTCCAATGTGGAAGTATACCAAGGGTCTTGATTTTCTGCAGAGGTGAATGAAAAAGAAAAGGGAAAAAAAACAAAAAGATTCGATGAAAAAGGAGGGGGAAGGGTTATTCTTCCATTTGCATACCCAGTAAAAGATTATGGGCTTCAAAAGATGAACTTGGTAGGTATGAGCATGACTCATGAGTGCGAAAGAAGAATAAAAGATAATCACATTTTGCCAAATGAATATTTTGATGTCAACAATTTTATTCTTCCCTTTTTTTCAAATTTCCCATATTGTTTTAAAAAAACAAATGTGTGAAATTTCCCAAAATTCAGATGGAGATGGAGATGGAGTTGTCAAATTGTCAATGTCAAAAGTTGAGGCTGGGCAGGCAGCGGCTCATCTATGTTCCAGAGTTTAGGGGACGCGGGCCAAGATTTTTTCATCTTGTTATCTACTGTTAGTCAAAAGTTAGGTAGCCTTAGTTTTCTTGGGATCTAGCAAGCTAAGCTAGCTGGCCCTGCATCTCCAGGCAACCGAAAAACAAAATAAGTTTGGTAGCTTGCCCCGTTTGTTTGACTAACAAACAAGGAGGAAATCGAAAACAACGCAAACGCCATAATGAATGGCGCGCGCGCCCCGCTCTCGGGGTTTGAACTTTGAAGTTACTTGACGGGTCCAACACAACAAAAATTAACATATGGGCCAAAAGAGCCTGACTTTCAATATCCATCTCAACATCCATGCAGTGCAGCCCTGCATAAAGTTCAGAGTGAATAATTTCAAGGGGCATCGAAGCCCAACAACCACATTTTTGCCATCCATACGATCCAAACCAATTTACAACCCAGTAAATTTTCAAAGAGAGACACCACAGATGAACTAAATGTATGAATTGCCAAGGGGACAGAAACCCATCATCATAATAATCAAATAAATAGCTAAACATAACCAAGGATGATTAATAACAGATGTCTGAATCAAACAAACAATAACTAGAGCCCACCAAAGGCTTGTGCTGTATCAAGAGAAACAACACTTAACATGAATAGAAAAACTGCAGCAACAATAAAAGTAATTGAAGACAATTTTTAGACATGCTCTAGGTTTTTACCATTATCAGGCCATTGCTGATAATGGTAATTTATTATTCGTAATCAGAAAATGCCGACCATAATAACTTTATTGTACTTAATCTTCTTCCTCTTCTTCATCTCTCCAGCAGCCTTTAAGAGTTGATCTAGGAGAACCACAGCGCTCAGTCTTGAGGAACCTATTGTAGACAATGGAACCACCCATTCCAAGCTCTTCGTGGCTGCCCTCTTCGCGACAGTATCCCTTCAAATCCACTGAAGATAGTTGCTGGAGTGACTTGGTAGCAACATCAGCGTGCACAGCAATGGAGAACTCCCTCGGTTGGAAACAAGTCAGGACCCTCTCAACCAACTGGTTGATATTCACATCTTTCAGATCATATCCAGCTGTTTCAAAACTTGCATAACTGAAACCATCTTCGGGTGTAACATGAATGGTCGAAATTGCAGCTCCTTCAATGGAATTCATGGAATAACCACAGGGGTCAAACTCAAAATCGCAAATATTAGAATCTGGAAGGATCTTTCGGATACCAGAATCGTTTGTCATTGCAGCTGCAGAGCTTGATTGGGATTTGTAGAAGACAGAAGCCTTCTCCCTATCCAAACCAGTCATGCACATTTCTAGAGTGTAAACAGGGTCAGCTAAGCTTCCTGATTCAGCAGAAGCAGAATACACATGCCATTTCTGAGGTCCATCTGACCGGCCCATCACATACGCCCTGCTTCCTGAACCAAGCTTTCCAAAGTAGCCGTCAAGGACAGAAACTTCTTCTGAGAAGTTACGATGAGGGTATGACTGTGCCCCTGGAAAAATGAAACTCCCGCGAGTGTACTTCACAGCTCTCACAGCAAGGGAAATGGTTTCAGCCAACTTCAGGAGAGGCGGGATCACAAGGAGCAACTTAGTTGTCCCACAAGTTTTGATGATCATCTTGTACGGATAAATAAAGAGGCTTGACTCAGAAAGAACATAGGAGTCCACATGATCATTTGACAATGAAGAGACGATAGTGCATTCAGCTTCGTCAAGAAGGGCATCTATCTGAGCTTTGGCCAGAGATCGAAGACCCCTTCCTTCAGGATCAACGAAGATGCTCGGTTCAAAAAATGATATTTCTAGCCTCTTTTCGAAACCTTCAAATCCAATTGCAGAGACCGCCATGGCCATATCAACTAACAGGAACGATTATAGTCGCAAGAAGACCCAAAAAGCAAACAGAATACGGTCGCAAAGATACTACAGTCGCTAAGAGAGAAGAGAGGAAGATGCTGATCGAAGTAAAGACACAAAAACCAACTAAAAGCAATAAAAGTTTATGAACCACGTCTTGTGGTTAGGTTTCCAATCGAGGAATATCAGGATGGTTTGCGAGCGCACTGCACAAGATGGAAGCAGAAAGTTAGCATTTTTCATGTACAATGATTACTTCCACAATTAACCCAGCTAGAGGGAACTCATAACCAAACTCTACAATAAAATGGCAAACCGAAACTTACGTTGGAGTAAGCAGCAGATCTGAACTTCTTGATTCCACCGTTGGGTCGGATGTCTTCGATGCTGTATCCAAGAGGTGCTTCATAGAATAAGGATTTACTACTACTAGAATTCTTTTTACCACCTTTAGACTCCATTAGATCATTCAGTTCTTCCTGTTGACAGCCAACCAAAAAAGATTTCAGTAATCAGAAACAAATAATTAAAAGAACTAAAGTATAGATCTACATGTAGAGAAATGTGGAACAAATCCCAGTAAAGAAATTTTCTCAACATCACAACATGTAGCTTACGAAACAGATTGAGTCTATATGTTCAGAATCCAAATTATTTTTCCACAAACATGCAACATTTTTAGCCCAAATGATTTTTTTTAAAACAATACAAACTATTAGATTAGAACACAAAAAGGGCAACAAATTTCTCGAACATTACTGGTACATGACAAAAAATCAGTCATTTAAGATGGATTTCGTGGACAGATTTTAATTAAAATATTTATGAAAATACGAATATATAAAATCATTGTGCAAGTTAAATCACCCTAATTGATGCAACAAAAGGAATTCCAAAACACAAATTTTAATCCAGCCCCAAAAATCCAAACCCATATAACCCAACCAGTTCTACCGTGGTAAACAAAACATCAGATAAAAATGAAAACTTTAACAAAGAATGATAGCATATGCAGGTTATCAAAGGTTCCTCATTTTCCACACAGAACACATGGACAAATAATCAAATACCCATTGAAATGAAGAAAAGAAACAACAAACATATGAAAAGGAAAAACAATCGAACTTACAAATATGAAAAATTGTTGGGCGTTCTCTTCGAACTATAAGCCAACGGCGTTCGACCTCCCCGGAAACCCCTAGATGGAAATCAATAAGAAAATCGAACGAACCAGCGGGCGGCGAGAAAATGCAGATATCAAAAGGGAGGCGGATCGAAAACCCTAGAAAAATTTGATTGTTGCTGTGGCTGTTTTGTTTTTCTGGAAAATGATAGAGGTATGGAGCATATTTATAGAGTACGTGAGAATGCTTTCCAAGTTTACCCCTGCTTGATGGTGAAAAGACGACCATGCCCCTATGCTCTCAAGTCTGGTATGATAGGCTGGCGACGACGTTGATTCTTGGAAACAGCCGAGCCTTTCAATGATAACTTTTTTTTTCTTTGGTCAAAACTTTTTTATTATTCACGGATCATGCATTCTTTCCGTTTCTTTTTAACTTTTTTTAGTTAAAAATAATAATTATCAGTAATCAAAGGTTTTAGGGGCAAGAAAATTTCTTAATAGCAAATAATAATAATATTTGAAATATGGAAAGTTTATTTATCTTGGTAATTCAATATTTGAAAGTTAGTAAAGTTGGAAAAAAGTTTTAAAAAGGCATGTAAGCAAAATTTATCGCTGATGTATTATGAGGTTCATATGTATTCACGATGTAGAATTGATAAACCATTCATTTGTCTACTATTTTAGGATTTAATTGTCTACAATTATTACTTTGAATTTTTCTATTGAAATGGGAGTAACCGTTATAATAAATAAAAAGCTAGAGGTTAAGGATTTTAATTTTATTTATTATAAAAATATTGTAATTAAACAAAATTAACTCAGATGCTACAACCAGTGAAGGCCTAACTTTTTAGTCTTTTTACTTTTGGATTGGTGAAATTTTTGGTAGGGTTGGGATTCGAGTATGAATAGAATAAGGGAAAACGACAAAGACAGACAGAATCAGATTCGCGTGGGAGGGCTGAAACGGCAGAGAGGCCTATCTCTACATTTAGATTTGTGGGGCCACTTTTTCGCGATAAGATTGGTGCGCGGTGAGGGCTGTTTTAAACACAGCCACAAACCTTCTGACACGTGTTCGACCTGTGTGGCTGTAACTTTTTCCTTTTTTTCGTTTTTCTTATTTTTTCTCCTCTAATTAGCTAACTTGGTTTTCTGTCCACCCGTTCCACTACTCTTTGTCGTGCATGGGCAACTTGTCAATTATTGTAAATTTTATGCCTCCCTTATTTTCCTGCAATGATTAACAGAAAAAGAAACCTAATAATTTCAACAGCCACCGGATTTTAAGCATTTTCCTTGTAATTTCAACAACTTTATATATATGTTATAGGAGTGTGGGAAACATATGGAAAGTATGAATCACAATAATTTTGCTAGTTTTTAGTTTTTTGCAGCTCATAAAAATACATATAAAAAACTAAAGCAAATAGCACAAAAGAAAGTTTTTCAACTTGACTTTTAGGCGAGTGATTTTACGTTTGAAATTCCGTGATAACATGGTAGTGTGTGTTCCTGTCTCCTTCTAGTTTAGCGTATCTTTGTACTAAAAAAAACACGTCTACTTTATTCTGAAGAGTTTGTTGCTCAAATAGTCAATAATTCTTATTTAGGCGGTTAAAGTCATGTACGAATATCGTTGTCGATATATTTGTAAATAAATAAAACCAAGAAGTTTGTGGAAGGGCAATTAGACCAAATCCCTTAGTAATTGGATTCCTACTCACCACGATTCACAAGATTTTAAGATGCCATGCCGAAATTTCAACACTAACTTTGCTAGGATTCGGGAACATATAGCATATTATATGTGTAAAGAACATCTAGCCGGTTTTCTTTATTTGCTTTTTGTGATTAAGAAACAAAAAAGAGGGGAGCCAAATGAGAGCGTGGAGTATTTAACAACGTTATCTGTGACTTGGAGATGTGCCCTTTGGGGCCGCCGCCCTTGAGATTAGTCAATCAATCCCTATTCCTTAAGATATTCCTTGCTCCTTGATGAAGAAATTGAATTAAATTAAGTATCGGCCTGCCATTCATGTTCAACACTATTGGCACTGTGTAGGTATTGGGCTTCATCAGCATCACTTGGATCTGGACAGAAACGTGGGATAAGTTCTAACGCACTAAATTAATTCTTGTATCTTGTGGACTATTTGCAACGAATGAAAGAATCTGAATACGTTCATTTGGCCAAATCATCTTATTTTATAGAAAATATGAAATTATATTCATATCGAAGCAATCTAACATCAAAATTAAAACAATTATAAGAGTTGATGAGTTTTTGAATATATTGCCCAGCTACTAGTGCTATATTGAATATCGAGTCATAAACACTTCTAATGCTTAAACGCTCGTTAATACTGTTGTTAATAAAAATGAATTATCCGAGAATCAAGGCCCCTCCATGATTAGTAATAATATTATTCTTAAGTAAGTATGGAGATGAGATGTTGGTGAGCTGTCAGGCACTTGAAAAGCTCCAATTAAAATGAAAATTAGGTCAGCTATTGAAAGATTTTTTGATAATCATAACCCAATTATAGTCCGTATGGCTTTTGAGTTAGGAGAAAGGAAGCAGCAAAAATGGGCTGAGGCTAATCAGCAACAAATAATAAAGCTTCGCAGCTTGGATACTCAAGATTGAGGAGTTTCAATTTAAAAAGCCAAGCCATGCTCATAATTTATTGTATACGAAGTACTTCACCAAAAGCAATTTAATTTGTTTAGCATTTTAGAGCATCTCCACCCACAAGGGCTAAGTCTAAGGCAAGGGCAAGCAAGGGCTGTCACTATTCACGTGAATAGTGTCAGCCTTTGCATTTGTGGTTCCACCCACAAGGGCAAAGTCTAGGGCAAGTCTAAGGCAATTACTATTCATTGTACTTTATTTTCTATTTTTTTATAGTTTAAACCATTAATTTTGATAATCTTTTGTAATTAAATTTTCGGATAAGATTTTCACCCTCTAAAATTGTGCCACGTCTGATGTAGAATAAATGTCAGATTTTATCGCTTGAGCTAGAAAAAGGACGTAGTGGGAATTTGCAGATTTGTCGTCCGAGCTCCGATTAGGACGCAAAATACCATTTCGGAAAGGGAACGATACCACGAGTCAAACTCACAGCTTTGCTGTGATGTATGATGGATTTTGGCATTTTGAGGTCGTTTGGCCTTCCAAAACGGCATTTAAAGTTTCGTAGTTAATTTTTAGTATTTTAGATTTTAATAAAAATTATTCAAAGAAAATTCCTTTTAAAATTGTGCCACGTGTCAAATGTTAGATAACATTTTCAGATATTTTAAAAAAATTTTAATCTCAGATTTCAGATAAGATTTTCACTCTCTAGAATTGTGCCACGTGTCAAATGTCAGATAACATTTTCAGATATTTTAAAAAAATTTTAATCTCAGATTTCAGATTAGATTTTCACCCTCTACAATTGTGCCACGTGTCAAATGTCAGATAACATTTTCAGATATTTTAAAAAAAATATCATCTCAGATTTTTGATAAGATTTTCATCCTCTCAAATTGTGCCACGTGTCATCTCTATCTTCTAAATCCGTCTATAAACTAGACCTGATTTTCAAACCTCTCACACCATCTCTTATCTATTCCTTCATTTCTCAGATTGTAGAAAACACATTCTACTCTCAATGTCAAACTTGTTGAGGGTGTTGGAGAGGCAACGGAAAGAAAGGGAAGAAACAAGGCGTAGACGTGCTGAAGAAGATCGGGAAGCTGATGAAGAAGAGGAACTACTGCTTGCAGCAGCGGTGTGTATGATGGATCAATCAAGGCAAAACCGTCGTCCTCGTGCCCCGAATGTGGACAGACGTAGGGAGTCTCGGGGTAAGAATCTCATGGAGGATTATTTTATCCCAAATCCGTTATATCCTGCTTCTAAGTTTCGAGAAAGATATAGAATGCAACCACATTTGTTCCAAAAAATCATGCATGATATTTGTAATTACGACACATACTTCATTCAAAAGCATGATGCTGTTGGAGCTTTAGGTCTTATCCCGGAGCAAAAACTGACAGCTGCTTTGCGGATGCTTGCTTATGGGGCATCTGCAGAGCAGGTGGATGAGATTGCAAGGATGGGAAAATCTACTGTCCTAGAGTGCTTGGTGAGATTTTGTGATGCAGTGGAAAATTTGTACACGAGGGAGTACCTTCGCAAACCAACGCCAAGAGACCTGCAACGGCTTCTACAAAAAGGCGAGGCCCGAGGTTTCCCAGGAATGATTGGAAGCATCGATTGTATGCACTGGCAGTGGAAGAACTGCCCTACTGCGTGGCAAGGGGAGTACGGGAATCGGAAGGGCCAAAAAAGTATAATTTTGGAGGCCGTAGCTTCATTCGATTGTTGGGTTTGGCATGCCTTCTTCGGGGTTGCCGGTTCTCAGAATGACCTCAATGTCCTTGGTCAATCCCCAGTGTTCGATGAGGTATTGCGAGGTCATTCCCCCCAGGTGACGTACCAAATCAACAATACCGTTTACTCTGGTGCGTACTACCTTTCCGACGGAATTTATCCTAGGTGGACGACATTCGTGAAAACAATTCCGAATCCCCAATCCGAGAAGGAAAGAAACTTTGCTTCCTTTCAAGAAGGTTACAGGAAAGACGTGGAGAGGTGTTTCGGTATCTTGCAAGCTCGTTGGGCAATTATTAGAGGTGCTGCTCGGATGCTAGATGAGGAGGTGCTGCGGAGTATTATGATGACTTGCATCATCCTTCACAACATGATTGTGGAGGATGAGTATGACTATGATGCTCAAGAGGTGTTTGAACCCGATCCAATGAACACATCGTTGACAAGAATATATGAAAGGCCGATTGGACCAAATGGACTACCACTGGAGCCCGAACCCATACTTCGGGATGGTCAATTCAACAACCCCATGATTGATCGGTATCAAGAAATGCAATCTTCATATGTTCACGAGATACGTCAACGTGACTTGATCGAGCACTTGTGGGAGATCAAAGGCAATCACAATGGATGAAGTCAAGATTAGTGCTTTGTTTGGAATTATGCTTTGTTTTTAATTATGCTTTATTTTGTGTGTGGTTTTTTTTTTGGAATTATGCTTTTTATTATTATGCTTTTATGTATGGTTTGTTTTGTGTGTTGTTTGCAATCAATGAAGGTTTTTTTAAATTAATATTTGTTTTGATGCTCAAATGTTTTTAATAAATAGTCATTTAATTTAAGGCTTTTTTGATTGAATAAAAAGGGAACAATTCAACAAATTAAAGGATAAGGGAACAATACAACAAATTAAAAGGATAAAGGAACAATACAACAAAGTAAAGGATAATACAACAATACAACAACTTAAAGGATAATACAACAATACAACAATACAACAACCTAATGGTTTTCATCATTTAACCAATCCGTATTGCTAGGTCCGTCGTCATTGAAAAGTTTTTTCCTCATCACATCTCTTCGTCGTACCTTCCAATAAGCCTTTGTTTCGGGAGACATATGGCTCGTATCCATAGCCATGATTTTCATCTCTCTATCCTCTATGTCTTTTCTTGTGCCATTTGTTGTTGGAGAGCAAATGCTTCCTCTCGTGCCTTGTCCATTTCATCTCTTTTCAAGTCTCTCTCGATTCTTAGTGTGGCGCTCTTAGCTATTTGCTCCAATAAGGTTACACAATCATTGCTCGAAGTGGCCCCTCTCTTGGCCTTTGCCGCCTTTCTCCCAATAGGTCTTGGCGGACGTGGCACAAATGGTGACTCCGTTTCCATTGGGGAGTCCAATGGAGAATCGGTTGATGTTGAATCGTGGAGTGGCGTCTCATTCATCACAACCGGCGGACCGGTGGGAATAATTTTGAACCTCGAACAATCCTTCACAATTTCCCAACATTGGAAATGCACGAAACTTTTTTTGCCTTGCCCCATGGCACCGAACCACATTTGTGCTTGTACCATCTATTAAAAATAAATAATTGGAAGTGCAAGAAACAAAAATTATTATGCAAGAAAATATAAACTATTTTGAAATGCAAAAATAAAATTGATTATGCAAGAAAATATAGACAAATTAAAGGTGCACCAAGAAAAAAAAATTATGCAAGAAAAACAAATAGAATATGCAATAAAAAAAAAGTGACATTGAATTGATTAAAATGGCAATTATAAATATTTTACCTCATCGGTCAAATTTTGACCGCTTTGAATGTTCGCCTTTGCTTTTGTCAAGGCATTCCTCCATTTCCCTAACTCTTTATTAAGAAGTTTCCATCTACTAGACAACGCCATTTCGGTCCGAATAGAACCCGATCTTTGACAAAATTCTCCATGAATTTTGCTCCACATGTGATGAAACTTCATTTCATTACCCGTGATAGGGTCATGACTAATGTTCACCCAAGATTGACACAACGCAATATCTTCATTCGTTGACCACGAGCCTCCGACTTCAATAGAAGATGCCATTTGTTTTTTTTTATACAAATGGAAAGTAGTAGAAAGAGAGTAAAAAATATTGGAAGGAGAAGAGTTTGTATGGAGAATTGGTGTGGAAGTGAAAAATGTGAGTGGAGATGAACAAAAAAATTGGAAGGAGAAAAGTTTGTATGAAGAATTGGTGTGGAAAGTGAATAATGTGAGTAAAGAGTAAAAAATATGGGATGGAGAAGAAATTGTATGAAGATTTTAGTGTGGAAAGTAAATAAAATGGTTAGGTATTTATAGAGAAAAAATACAGAATTTTTGGGTATTTTTTAAAAAAAAATTCAGATTTTTTTCGATTTTTTTTGCAATTTTTTTAGCCAAAAAAACGAGGACCGTCGGATTTCTGGAAAATTCCATCGGAGAGTCCCCGTCGCGCCACGTGGCGCCCGCCCGTTGGAGCTGTCAGGGATGACGTCAGCGCTGGCGTCACGCTGACGCCAGCGCACGGTAAGTCAAATTTTTTTTACCGTTGGCGCGTGAATTACACGCGCCAACGGTAAAAAAAATATGAATTACCGTGCGCTGGCGTCAGCGTGACGCCAGCGCTGACGTCACCATCTCGGGCTTCAGCCCGGGCAAGATTTGCCCTTGGGCTTCCTCGGGCTCGTGGGACCCGCCATCAAACTGGGCTACGGGCCCTGCGCTGGAGTGAACTCGGGCTGCCTCGGGCAGCCTTTCCCCCCTAGCCCGTGACGCGCTGGAGATGCTCTTAATATGGTCTGCAATCTAACGTGTTGGGCCTCTCTTATCTCTTCATCTAATTGTTGGGCTTTGAGGCTTCATTTGGCCCATATGCAATCCTCTTCTTGTTTGGCTGAGCTCTTTTTTGTTACATGATTAATAAAATCAGAGGAAAATTAATTAATGAAATCAGTGCAATTCCTCTGTTTGACCCAAAAATAAACAGGGGCAACGTAAAGTGCATAAGGTTGGCGTGCAACTGGCATGTCTAACTTCCTACCGATCCTTGATTTTGTGTGATGCTAACTAATTAAGGTGTTGTAACAACTTGTTAGTCCCTCTTTCCTTCCTTTTCTGAGCCGATTTTTTTTAGGAATGGAGCGGGAGAGAGGAAGAGGTCGGGTCAACACAAATTGCCCGATTAGATTTTTGGCTTGCGAGAGGACTCATTCAATTTCGGATAAAATTGAAAGTTGGATCAAGTTAAGAAAGGCAAACATGCACGCGCTGGGCCCTAGCAGCTTGCTTCTTTTGGCCCGATCGTGGTTTGTGTAGGCATGCCACTATTAGAGATGAGACTAGCCCAATAGACTTGGTATATGTGATGTAGAATGTTTTGTTTGATGGACGTGTGCTTGTTCTGGACCTCTAATCAAGCCATTGTTCTCCATATAGGGTACTGGCTCGGATAAGTTCTTTTCTATGCCTCAATTAAGAGGATTTCAATATTCTTTCAATCATGTGTCTAAGACTTGGAAAGTACGAACAGTACCTAACCAAACAGAAAACTCGATGTTGTGGTCAATGCTCCATTGATTGGACTCGGAGACATAATTTGGGCCCGAGATAACCCCGAATTGGGTTAGGACTTAGTTAATTCGGGCATGAACAAACCCTTGTTCTCAGGTTGATAAAGCCATGTTCAGACGTAGAACCCTTATCTTGGGCATGTCCAGTAATAAACAGTTATAACAAAATATTCAAATATAAAAATGTGGGAAAGTAAATTACTGGAAAGTAAAATATGAAAAAGATAAATTGCAAGAATGTAAAGTGCGATCAAGGTAAATTGCAAAGAGAATAAAGTTCCAGAAGCTGGAGATTTCTCTATCTAGCTTCGGTATGATAACAAGTTAAAACGAAAGCCAAAGATTTCTCCATTTAACTGTTTTTAAAAGAAAAAGTTACAATATTAAGGAGATTGGATATTTATGTTATCCAATCTCTATAAGTTTTAGTTGTTTAGAAGAAAACTAGATTGGCTTTTTAAACAAGAATCATACCATGAAGATGGCAGAGCAATAAAAGATAAACGTAGGAGTTGTCAATTGGTTATTTGGGCAGCAAGTTGGCTATTTGAAAATCTTGAAGTTTGTTCAAGTGTTTATAAGACGTTACATATGATTTTGGAGAGATAATCCTCGAATGTTGCTGTTGAGCCTTTATATTTATAGGCAGAAATTTTGAATCGATGACGGTAAAGGCTGGAGGACAATACTCGAGTGTTGTCCAAGGTTAGCTGCAGATTTGTCCTCGTGAGTCGATCCATAGGTGGGAGAAGAGGTCTCTCAAATACAAATACTGGTTTCAAGGGATATCCTTTTGATTTGTCGTCCTTTCGCTGCTGGAAAACCAGTCAAAAGACCACTCTTCTCGGTTTTGGCGTCAATCAACCATCTTGCTTCCTTGCTAAGACCCATATTCAGAAGGTCATGTGAGTCAACTTGGGAACGGTTACATGTTTATTTTTCTGACTTTTGTATTGGGCTTTTATGCAACTCTTTATAGTAATGACATGTTTATTCATTTGAAGAAAAAAAGAGAGTAAAATACTTTGGCATGTGTCAGATATATATAATCAATTTAAAAGTTTCTGATCATACGCCTTTGAGGCCATGGTTTCATCAACAACAAAAAATTAGCTGTTGTAAAATCACACTAGAGACTAGACATACCATAAGCTCATGAGTCAGAAGACTGGGATCATTACTCTTTATCCCACAAATGCTAATAACATCCTATTGGCTTGTTGCTGACCATAACAAGTTGTAAGATAAAGAGTTGTAGGGACCAGTTCATACCAAATCATGCAATTCATATGCAAATTGTGCAAAGGAAAAGTTGGACCTGAGCACATACGGGGTGGGGTGTGTCACCCATAGTTATCGTGCCTCAAACGAACACCACTTAATTTTGGCTATGGCAAGGTTCAGGCCCAAGGGAAACTGGGAAAGCTATGTACCCTTGTTTAATTCACAACATCAGTAGTCTGAGGCAGTGTGTCAGTCATCTTCGTCTGACCTTGATAAATATATCTTTTGAACATTCTATTTATGAATCCATGCCCGTTAGTTGTGACTGGTGTCGTCTCTGCAGCCAAGTGATGTACATGTACAGTATAGCCATTTGTTCTATATCATTGTAACCATTCTAGTCACAAAGCATACATGCCTCCAGCACAAGTTCATGGTGTACCTTCGCTGCTGTAAATGATTAGAGGCGCTGGTATATGTTGAACAGTAAGTAATATCATGATTAATATTTCCTCCAGATTCCATAAACATGAAGTCCCATTTTCTTTCTATGTCAAACACAAAGTTATGAATTCATTAAATCAAAAACTAATCAGAGAAATGAGAAAGATCTTATCTGTTAGGCAATTTATCTTCATTCAGAAAATGGAGTTTTGAATATCTTCATTGGCTTATAGGCCTTGAACTTCTTCCTCATGCATGTGGACAAAATCCACAAGATTTATTTACACTGAGTTTCCCTGTACCAAACGATTACATGTCTGCCAAATGAAATAAAAACTGAGACCAACCTTTAGGAGACTTGAAAATCGTGGAGAATTTTTAGAGGAAAATTGTCTAATAAAATATTGATACTAAAGATTTATATTACTTATTTTATGCTATGTAGATAATCAAGTGAGAGTGAAACACCCTCCTTTGAAGGATCTAGTCTCCCCCCACCCCAATTCAATTGGTTTTTATGGCAATTTAATCAGTCCAGATTGATTAGGTTGACAAATTCGCATTCTAGTGCCCTATACATACGCATGTGACAACATGCGGAGGCTGTGCGAAGTCCACAAAAAGTATTTTAGTCCCTATAGTTTGTCATTTTTATTATTTTAGTCTTCGTAGTTTCATTTTTGTCAAATGAATCTTTGTAGTTTTTTAATTTTGTGAATGTTATTTTTATAATTTTCAATCCGAAACAATTCAAGGATATGTTTCAATTTTTGTCAAAATTTCTCCCAATTCCGTTAAGTTTTGACTACGTGCCCCTCACGTAGAGGGGTGTTTTGGTCCAGTTGAGCCAAATTCCTTCAAGTTCACTCAAATTTTAACCCAGAAATGCAAATTTTTTCGAACCCCAAACTCACACCTAAAGTGAATAAGAAGAGCTTCAGCTTGTGTTTTACCGTTGGATGGGCTTGAGTGAACTCAAATACCCCTCCACGCCACACGTGATCAAAACTTACTGGAATTTGGAGAAATTTAACAAAAATTGAAATGTGTCCTTGAATTGTTCCAAATTAAAACAACATAAAATTGACAAAATTGAAACTACATGTCCTTCATTTGCACCGAACAGTTATATATACTGAACTCAGTAAGTTATTACCTTCAACCATAAATGGCAAGTGGTTGGGATATAATAAATTGTCATGAAACCCCAACGTCAGGTCCTTGTCCATGGCAGTCAAAAGGCAATGCTTTCGTGGCCAACCACTCTGGCCAGCCCTATTTGATGGTAATTTCTGAGGTAGAGCGCATAATTAGCAGCTGCTGCTAATGGCAAGTGAGTTCATATACAAAGGCAAGTGAGTTAATAGGAAGTATTTTATTCTGTGAAGTCGTTATAAATAAGAATTATTCCATTCTGTGAAGTTGTTATAAATAGTCTAGTATAAGGGAGCCAGAGAATTAGTCACAATATCTGCACAAAATAATTTGAGCTGCCATGGGGCCACCTTTTGTTTCAGTCTTATTGTTCATAGTCGTAGCCGCTCTTGATGTCATTCTATCACCTAAACCGCCGGCGGCGGCAGCAGCATCAGCAGCAGCAGCTAATTATGTGATCAACCTCCGAAATTACCATCAAATAGAGCTGGCCAGGGTGGTTGGCCCCGAAAGCATTGCCTTTGACTGCCATGGACAAGGACCTTACGTCGGGGTTTCAGATGGTACAATTCTCAAATGGCAAGGACCAAGCTTGGGTTGGATAGAGTTTGCCTTCACCTCCCCAGACAGGTAAGATCTCTTCAACTTCTTCGTTTTTTTTGTTGGTCAACCGAGAGATGTTTTGAAAACAACAGTATGCAAATGTTTACAGCATTGATCTTACTTCTTGTTTTTATCCTTTATTTGCTAATGGAAAATAGCTCCGTATTGACTTTGCAAGTATTGGTGAACTACAGATTCCCAACCCAAAAAAATTCTTCATTTTGTTTTTTCTTAGATTTCTAGTGTTCTTTCGTTTGGTCGTAGTTTTGAAATTTGGGGTTATGCTTTACTAGTTATCAATCGAGCCGTGAGGCCTCGTCACTACAGAAAGTTGACTTTTTTGGGTTGACATTATTTCAGCTGTAAAAAAATTAATATGTTTTTATTACTTATTAAATAGACTTTTTATCACAAATGGTCTTTAACGTTTACAAAATTATCACAAATGGTCCTTGAGGTTTTTTTTGTGACATTAATAGTCCTTAACGTTAGAGCTTTTTATCACAAATAGTCCATGCCGTTAGAAATTCTGTTAAGTGTCTGATGTGGAAGATAAGTCATGTCCAATCACATAGTAACATGTGGATTAAATAAATATTTTTTTGATGAAAATCCATTTAGCCTCTCTCTCTCTCTTACCCTCTGCCCTCTCTCCTCCCCGTGCTCTCCCTCCCCCTCTGTTTCAATTTGCAGACAGCATTGCGGTCCCATTGAACATGCTATTACAATTCAGGTTGATAAAAACAAATAAACAAATAAAACCCTAAGAAACTTCAGAGTACATGAATAATTTTATCTTGATATAAATGATATGTAGAAAAAATTGAGTGGAAACTGGCTGAAGGGCTCATAGACTCTTTGTATGGAAGGAGGATTTTAAATGCCTATTCTATAATCATAAAATCTGTTCCTAGAAAAGGTTATGGTTCTTGAATGCCTAGTTTAGTCATCTCCCATGCCAGAGAAGCTAAAGTGGTATTGAAAGGGTTTCCCTCCTATGATCCTCAGTTCCATATCTAAATGGAAAACTGTGGCTCAAGAACATTGACCATTTCTAGGAACATACTTTTTTTTATTTATGAAAATCCATTTAGCCGCTCTCTCTCTCTCTCTCTCTCTCTCTCTCTCTCTCTCTCTCTCTCTCTCCTCCCTGTGCTCTCCCCCTGTTTTTTTCTTGCCTCTACAACCAAACGAACACAAAGATACAGTTTTATAACTACATATTTTCTCTACCACTGTATATCTTTTTTTTTGCTGCTGGCAATGGGCAAGAAAAAAACAGAGGGAGAAGGAGAGGACAGGGAGGAGAGAGGGAGAGCAGAGGTATAGAGAGGGGGCAGAGGAAAAAACAGAGGTAGAAGGAGAGGACAGGGAGAAGAGAGGGAGAGCAGAGGGAGAAAGAGGGGGCAGTTGGTGGAGAGTAAGGGCAAAGGGGAAGAGAGACGAAGTAGCGGAAGGGGGATGAAAAGTTGCAGAAAAAAATGGAAATTTCATTAAAAAAAATATTTATTTATTTATTTTCATCCACATGTAACAATGTGATTGGATATGTGGGTTTTATTTATCTTTTATGTCACATTTAACAGAAATTATAACGGCAGAGACTATTTTTGATAAAAAGCCATAACTTAAGGACCATTCATGACAATTTTGTAAACGTCAAGGATCCTTTGTGATAAAAAGGCTATTAAATATGCTTTTTTCAACAATAATACTTTCATGTAATTTTTTTTAAAATTATTTTTGAAGTAGTGAATTTTTTTGTTAATCAGGCCAAGGAAATTATGTGATGGGTCAACCAACGCGACAAATGAACCCATATGTGGTAGGCCATTGGGCCTCAAGTTCAACCCCAAAACTTGTGATCTGTATATTGCAGATGCCTACTTTGGGCTCCTCAAAACAGGCCCTAATGGTGGTAAGCCGGAGGTACTTGCCAGTTCTCTAGGAGGGGTGCCCTTCATGTTTACAAATGCTTTGGACGTTGATGAAGAAACAGGCATTGTCTATTTCACAGACACGAGCACCATCTTCCAAAGAAGGTATATTATCTAACTGCTTACTTCTTATTCTTTTTTTTTCTTCGTCCCGCAATGTGTCTAATGATCTGAACCGTTCATTTTATCTTTTTTAAACTTTGTTTTGATCGTAGGGTATGGATGCAGTCAATCCTAGCCGTTGACAAAACCGGGAGGCTACTAAAATATGACCCTTGTACAAAGAAGGTGACAGTCTTGCTCCATGATTTGGCTTTTGCAAATGGTGTGGCTCTAAGCAAGGACAAGTCTTTCATCCTAGTAGCCGAATCTGCCCCCTTCACAATCCACAGGCTTTGGCTTCGAGGCCCCAAAGCTCCTGCCTTTGAACTTTTTGCCCAACTAGAAAGGCCTCCAGATAACATCAAGAGCAACAACAGAGGAGAATTTTGGGTTGCACTCAATAGTGGAAGAGGAGTCAAGGAAGTAGTGAATATTGCGACCTCGGACAAATGGTTGAATGTAAACGATCCTGTAGCAGCAAAGTTTGATGAGCAAGGAACAGTTGTGCAGGTGTTGGATGGAGAGGGTGGTCCAGCTCTGGAATCTGTTAGTGAGGTTGAAGAAAAAAATGGGAATTTGTGGGTTGGGTCGGTAGTGAAGCCTTATGTTGGTGTAGTCAAGTTTTAGGTATAGCATATAAACATATGATATTCTGAATTTCATAAATTCATAGGCATAGCTTTAGCCCTATAGCCTATAGCTTTTATTATTGATACATTTCTTTCGCAATATAATCTGCTTGAGATTTAACTTCTACACACAAACGGCTTATAACTTAAGTGATTAAGAGTAAATTACTCATCCATCCAAAGTACCTTATACATTCACATTATGAAATTTAAATTAACCTGGTAATATTATGCGCTCATTCTTTCACCCAGAGCCCAGTCTTCTACCCTTCACCTATTTCTGTTCCTTCTCACCGCCAATTCTTACTATACTTGAGATCCTAAATCTCTAAATTCTTACTATACTTTAGAACTCTCTGTTTTCGTGGCCAATTCCCACACATACATCTGTTCTATGTATGATACCAAAAACAAATTCACAAAATGTAAGAAATGGAAATCGACATTTGCCTATATTCAATTGTAGTTTGTGATATACATGGCAAGAATGTAGTCATGAACAATGATGACTGATGTGATTACACAAGATCAAAGATGGTCTCACCTGAAAACATGAAACCATTGTTACGAATTTTTCTTTCCACCTATAATATATGGTACTATAGAGTGTTAATTTATCAATCCCACGAAAGCAGTCATATAGCCTTCTCTAGCCATCTTGGCAATCTCAATGATGATTTCATTCCAAGCCTGGTAAGGAACACCGAATACAATAGGTGCAGCAAGAACATGAAGGATCCACTGTTGATCAATACCTGTTAAATTTATAAAGCCTTCATACTCTAGTATATAAGTGTGTGCGAGAGAAGGAGAGAGACAAAGGGGGAGAGAGTACCAGAGTGCCAAATAAGGCATATATCACTCCCATCGAAGGGACTGTATAGATGCCCGATGCAGTGAATATGAATGTTAGAGAAGCATGAATGTTTATAGTGATCTGCAAGCAAATTTGATCCACCAAAGAAAACAAAACAAAAATTGAAACTCAAATCTAGGTATTGCATCAAACTAATACCAGATAAAGGATAGTCAATTACCAAAGCAAGTATGTTTTCACTTATCAAGAATGAAGATATCAAAACATAGCCTACAGCGCCCAGTGATCGAACCTGCATATACAAAGAATTTTACCATTAACTAAAATCTTTAAACGAGATAAACATTGCTTCAAACAGATTTAATGAATTCAAGGCAGAAGGGAGAAAACACTACAATTGTGCACAAGAGAATTGAAAGACCCCAATTTGCTCCTGACCTGAGAAGATGCAAAACAGAAGGTAAAACTGCTAATCAGAATGACATGGACAAAAAAGTAATCCATACCCACTGCTTAAACTAATTTGAATTACTTCATACCTCCATAAACCTCCCATTGTGAAACCAACTAAACCATGCTTAAGCTGCACAAGAGAGAATCTATTAAGCAAGTCAATAATCAATCAGTATGGTGGGAAGAAGAAAATTGTTATAGATCCTAATTCACAATATAAAGTACAACTGGACAAGCAGACTCACCAGATAAGTTAAGGCTTTCACTGGACCAGACAAAACTAGTAATAGCATAGTTGTTGCCACCTAGCAAGACCAAAAAACCATTGCAATTATGTAATGCAAACGTTGTATCAATCTCTAAGTTCAAACATGGTGGGTTATGAAAATATTCACAAACCATAGTTTTTCTTCCAGTAGCGATGCCCCATCTCATTGAGGTGATCACTATTGGCAACGAGAAGAAGCATCCAAAATAATTCTGCACAAAAACCAAACCTTATTGAGATAATGTGTACTAGAATGAATGACATAAGATATACGGATAACCATGACAAAAGTTCATACATAATCCCAACCAAGTGCACAAGTTAATTACAATTCCTCTGTTTTGGTTTATCTCTGCAACCAAGCAAAGCTGTTGAAACAAAGTGGCCTAACATAAACTAAAGTATCTAAAATGTTCAAATTATAAAAATCATAATGAAAAACAAATAACTTCATGTAAAGCTCGCTGCTTTATAAGCAATAAACAGTAACAAAAGCGTTAAATACTACAACATAAGACAATTGAAACTGTTAATTTGGGTTGTTTGTCTAAACTGATTCAAACCCATATTTCATTATAAGTCAACGAACCTCAATTGCGAGAGAATTGCTGAGGAAGTACACCAAGCCAGTAAGTGCAGCAAACATGGAGCACTCCACCAATGCTAATGTCTTCTTATAAACGACGCCGTCGGGCGATAAGTCTTCAAGCTCGGGTGAAATTTCAGTGCTTTCTTCTTCATTTGTAGAAAATGATGATGCTTGACTTGCTGATGCCCTAAGAAATTTGAAGGTGGGGTTGGATAGTAAAATTGGGGGAAGCGAAAAGGGGTTGGGTTTGAGAGAAATTTTGGTTCTTCGAGAGGTGGGAGAGATAAGGTGAGGAAGAGGGAGAGAAGAGTGGAGAGGGGTAGTTTGGGAAATGAAGAATGATGGGGTGAGGTGGTGAATTTGCAGGGGAACCATGGAGGTCACAGAGTGAGAGCTCTGAGAAAGTGAAAGATTGAAAGCGGGAGAGGAGCTTTAGATTGGGCTTAATTGGCTGTGAGGATATTGGGCCTTGTTTGGTCTTGGGTTGAGTTTTGCTTGTGTTTCTACATTGGGCTAAGGGCAAATGAGTCTTTATTGAGGTATCCACCCAACAATTTCATCAGAATTACCCATGATGTAGAATTCCTTGGATATTATCATCTAAATCATGGATTCTTGAAGCCTTACTCAAAAAGTAACATTTCTCTTTTCCAATAGTTTTCGATACAAACGATATTGATGTTGGCGGAGGGTGGATTCGAACACATGACCTCGAGTACAAGAATAACTACTTTTAATTACTTGAGTTACAAACTCATTTTTAATCATTGGAGTTACAAACACATTACTCTATTTTCCAACTCTTGAAATTTGTGATTTTTGTTCAACCAAAGAAAAAATTTATTTGTTTGGGAAACAATTCCTTCAATTAAAAAATGCTTACATTCTTCTTCTTTTTTCTTTATTTAGTTACAACCGTCCAATCTAAGCATTGAATCATAAGCAAAACTTAGGCAAAGGCACATGGCATTGACACCCCAGAGAAAGTGAACGTCAGACAGCAAGCATGTCTTTTTTACAAATCTGCAGGTAAAAATTGCACTTAATCATGAGCACATTCAAAACAAAAGCAATCTTAAGATCCCCAAGACAATTAAAAACTCATGAACCGCAACGCAACAAAATAATTAATGAAGGCAGAGGCAAGGCCAATGGAAAACATCATGATTGCCACACTTCCATGATCCAACATATTTATATTAAATTAAACAAAACATTCTTTTGGTTTGGTAAAATAATTGTTTGTGTGTCCCAAACCACAAACGGGGATCTGCATGCGCTGGGCTGGCTGGGCGTGCGAGCTTTGCTATTATGTCTCCAAACCAGACGTGCTTCTGGTTCTACAAGTTTTCATTTTTGTGGTTCAACCCAAAATTATTTCAAAGTAAAACACGCAATTGGACTCAGTCAAGTTCATTTGTTATTTTCTCTTTTCTTGTGCGCTTCAAATTAGGTGCAACAAAAGGGATTAGTTCCTAACTTCCCTGTCCATTTCAAATCATTTTCTATCAGTTAATCAATTAGAGATTGAAGCTTACCTAACTTTAGTATTGGAGTCCCTATAATTAGAATCAAAATACAATAAAATTTTCCGGTGTGAAACACACAAGATACACGATTGTTCTTAACATGACTCATTTACAGTTCTTAACATGACTCATTTACAATTGAGGCGCTTATGACTTATATGTTATAATATACACAAAACATAAAGAGAAAATGAAAAACAATCAATTAAGGAACACCCCACTTTCTGATCAGACAATGTATAAGTTGTGATGATCAAACAATGTGAATGTGAATTTTTCTTTTTTCACACATATCGGTGTCTTATAAGTTATGTTTATGACTTACGAGAGACAACTCATTTACGATTGTTCTTAGTATGACTCATGTAGAGATTGAGAGACACTTATAATTTATACATTATATATACACAAACAAAGGTATATAAAAGTTGTGATGATCAAATAGTGTGACTGATTTTCTTTTTTCACACATGTTGGGGTCCCACGGTTTATGTTTATAACTTATGAAGAGACAGAGGGATATGAGAATCTCTACAACTCCAACTCTCCACGGCACGTCAAAGGCCGATCTCATTTGCTTTTGTTTGTTTTGATACACAAATGTGACAGATGCAACCATCGTCATCATCATCATACTTAGCTTTGCGACTTTTAGGGCTTGATTTAGCAGCGGCCTAACCCAGGTTTTGGATTTTAACACTATCTTTCATCAGCATGGACGTTCATGGAGCCTCAGATATCAGAGTCGTCCATTGCCATTTGAAGTCTCCAAAAGAGAGGCCTCGTCGGGTCAACAACATAGGCTGAATTGTCGGTGGTACACGTGGTCAATATCCACGAGAAAACGACATTGTATGAGATTGTGTCTCAGTGAATGATTGTAGAATGTCAAAAGCAAGTGGACAAATGAATACGCCTGTTTCCCTCATGCCACCTCTCATGCACTAGGTTTAACCATCACACCACAAAAATTTACCATAAATTTAGTGGGTTAATAATACAACAAAAAATGTAAAGGAGGGTCACCACAAAGACTGAGCGGACGACTTTCAACCGCTAATGCATTGTAGACTTCACATGTAGTAATAATTTGAAGTCGCTTTATCAAAAACATGAGAAGAGGAGTGAGCGACTCTCAATTGCCAATGCATTGTAGTCTCCACATGCATCAATAGTTGAAGTTGCATACTCTCGAACATGAGATGAACGATTCTCAACCATTGATAAATTGTAGACTTCACATACATCAATAGTCTTGAACATGAGAGACTTCCCTAGACCTCTCTCTGAACACAAATAAATTGATAACAGAAAAATAATTAATTTTTAGGGGATAAAAGAAAGTTGACAAAACACATGAGAGGATTGATGGATCTAGACCAGATGATCAAATGACTTTACAGTGTTACTAGGTATGCGGAGTAGGGAACTGTGGTTTGGTGGGTCTGGTTAGCATTGATGGTAGAAATGCACGCAGTAGTGGTAGAAATTTATGAAGGGGCTCTCAGTTCACTGATTTTACTCAAGTTCGCTGTAACATTCACTTCCCTACACAATAATGCCTGCAGGGGTTTAGTGCTTTCTTGCATCACTCCTTTTCTTCTTACCACTGTTTGCTGAAAAAGCAAACGTAAAGTTGACGCCTCCTTCATCTATCAATTCATTTCACTTCAATTCAAATTCAATCACTCTGAAATCTCATAGCATTCTCCATACCACTCTGATTCTTGAAAATCCCAAAAAAAATCTCTTTTATCACTCTTTCATGTTATCAATTCAATTACCATTCTTTCAAATTCAAGCGCACATTGCTTTCTGCCTTTCATTGATCTTCTTCTAAATCTCATCGAAATCAAAATCTTTTGTTTTATTTGACGTACTCTTTTTCATTTGAAACTTTATCTTCAAGATTGAAGCGGCAGGGGAGCCATGAAAGACAGAGGCAAAGCTGTGGAAGCACATAACAACATTGACATGGAGTACTTTTCTTCATCTGAAATGCCATGTAGAAAACACCCCAATTCATCATCAGTTGGGATATGCGCTTACTGTCTTAAAGAACGTTTGGTCAAGCTCGTCTGCTCAGATTGTGGCGAGCAGCGTCTCTCTTCCTGCTCTTGCTCTGAGATCTCATCAAACCGGAACTCATGCACTGTGGAGGTAGGTAGCGTTGGCAGAGTCTCATTTCTGATCGAGAATGAAAAGCATGAGGTTTTACAATCAAATTCCAAGGCCAACAAGACCCAAGAGAAAGAGGATGTTGTGGTGCTCAGGAGAAGCAGCAGTAGCTGCGTTGAGATTAAAAGAAGTGGGTTTTGGAGATTTGGGAGGTTGTTTAGGAAGAAAAGATCAGAAAAAGATTGTGGGAACCAAAGTGTTGTTGGGTTTGATGAGAAAAGTGAGATGTGGCTCGTTGATCATATGGGCGTGTCAAGGTCCAGGTCTCTCTGCAGTTTCAGGGGCGGTGGCTTTTTGGATCAGAGGATGGTGGAGAACATTTAATGGTTTCTGGGGCCAGGAGCTCAATTTCAGCTGCAAGAAGTTCCAGTGTCACTACTGCTGGTATGGTTTTAGATTCTGGAAGAAAAAGTGGGTTCAGTGAAGGAAGAAAAAGCGGATTCAGCGAAGGAAGAAAGAGCGGATTCAGTGAAGGAAGAAAGAGCGGGTTCAGTGAAGCAGAGCCAAGAAAAAGTGGTTTTGATGGTGAAAAGAAAGATGAGGTTCTGGCTTCTGAATTGGGTACTGATTTTAAGGGTGCCAAGAAGAATGGCCTTATGGAGGCTGCTGATAAGGGGTTCAGTGGGGCAACAAGAAGAGTTTTCTCACTCAAGGAGAGTGATTTTAGTGGCATGGATGAATCAGGGTTTATTGACTTGAAGCTTGATTATTCAACGGAGTCCAAGCCAGAATTCTCTGCAATGAAGATGGGAAATATCACAGATACAGATTCTGTATTTGGAAGCATGAGAGGCAGTGACTTTGTGGCAAATGAATGTGGAGGTCCATTTGGAGGTCTAATTGGAGATGGTATTTTCAGCCATGGAGGTTCTTGTAGAATAACAGTCAATGACAGAGGGATCAAGAGGGGGAGGAAAAGTTTGAAGGGTTGGAAATGGATTTTCAGGCATCATCCAAGCTGGGGAAGTACTAGGAAGAAAGATGAAGATTTAATGTTCAAAACCTGAGATAAAAATGTTCATGGACCACAAATGACAAATAACTGTGTTTTTCTGTAGCTTACAAATTGTTGTCTGTGTTTTTATCAGTTTTTTTCATCCTTGTATTTATGTTGATGTTGTTAGTAAATGTTAAAGGAGGTAGCTCATACTAACTGGGGATCTTTGCATAATATAAAGAAAAATAAAGTTATGGTCTGGTCTTTTATAAAATTTAGAATACACTAAAGTTTAACCAAGGAAAATCTTATGAGCAGACAGAATATGTATAATACTTTTTCTCAGAAAATAATGTTACCAGACAGTGTTGAGTCGCTTTTGTTGTATTCTTCTAAATGTAAACAGAGGATTGTTTGAAATGCATTTGTTATTGTTTGAAAGGGGCCAAAAAGACAAAAATCACATCCCTATTGTTTGAAAGGCTTGTAGACCAAGTAGGTGTTAGCATTCATTTGTGTTGAGATCTTCTATACTTTGAAATTTCAGAGAAAGCCCAAAAAGAACATATCCCCTTTTTCTTTTTCTCCGATATCAATAAAGGATAGTATACCATCCCAAGAGAATATATATAAACAGATGAAGTTTGGTGTTGACCTTTTTCATTTACGACAATTATTTTTTTCTTCGAGAGGGTATTTGAATACATGATCTCCGGTGCAAAAGAGGTAATTGTTATTAACCAAATGAGCTACAAACCTCTTACATTTAAGACAAGATTTAAACTCTAGGTTCCGCTTCTTTGTCACCACACCTTGATTTTACTTCATTGAGTTATGGACTTGTGAACGAGGGACTGATCCTCAGACCAAGTTGAATGTTGGACCAGAGCGCATGAGAAGATCCCTTTTTATTTTCTTCTTTGCCTTGGAAGCAACAGCAATGAAGTCTTGTAGACCTTGAATTTTTATTGAAGGCTTCAATGGTCAAGCCCGATTTATTTCAGGCCCAAACAATGTCTATTGTTCTTCTGTCACAGACATATTCAGCAAATTTTGGCTTTATTCTCTCCCCTGGATTCTAGCTAGCCAGCCATTAGCTTGTTTGATACTAAAATGAAGTAATAAAGTTTGGAAAGTGAAATAAAACGTCAAACATTTCAACATCATGTCCAACCCACCAATCCACAAGAGCCCTTGGCCAATCTACAACCACACGCTGGCAAATCTTATCAAGAATTGCAGACCAAGTGGTGGAATTTGTTCACCTAATTATTAATGACATTCAACACGTCAAATAATAGTCAACCATTGACTATGTCAATTTCTGTATTCACTTCTTCTCCTCTGGGATGGGATCGACGATCCTCCAAGAAAACTTACAAAGCATAAGAATTTCTTTACTTTTTGTGTTAAGAAGAAAAAAACAGAGAGACAGAGAGTCTGCGGCAGAATCAGAATGTATGTGACAAGGCCTCTTTCCATGTTCAAAAACTCCCCTGCTGATCTCTCATTGCCTCCACCGGAGGGTCCAAACTCTGGTATTCTTGTCGTCCAAGATGAGGAAGCTACATGCTGTTTTGGGTTATTCAACAGCGAGATGATCAAAGACATGCCTCTCCCTCAGAACAAGAACCTGGAGCTTTACTATGCAACAGGGTTTTATCCCAACAGAAATTTGCGTTTCCACAAAGTTCTCTTCATCCCAGTTCTTAATCAGCCTTTGTCTTCCAACCGCTACTATGCAATTTATCCATATGGGAAGGATAGAGGGTAAGCAAGCACACATAAAACAATCCCATATCACATTGATTTTTAAAATTTAATATGAGGGTTTATACTTATAACTGTGTTTTTTGGTTTGTTTGTTTTGCAGTGAAGGCTACACAAGCTCAAAAGAGGAGGATTTGGAAATGGACACGTGCTGCTCGGGCGGCGGTCGTAACGATGTACTACCGCAGCATTTTGATCCCCGGAACTTACATCAGCAATATGAGATTCATCTTCAAACAAGAATCATTAATGTGTCAGGTGGTTTTGTAGCCAAATCAATGGCTCAAGATGGGTTTCCTCCAGAGGCATTGTGGAGGAAAGGGTGGAAACTCAAAAGCTCAACGTTGCAAGAATTCGAACTAGGTGATGCACCAGGACTAGACACCGCCCTCCGTGCCCGTCTTCCAGATTTCAATTTCCCACTAAAGCCTGTGGTTGTAGGGAAGTGGTATTGTCCCTTCATGTTTGTTAAGGAAGGGACACCAAAATCTTTGAGAGATGAAAGAACTAGGTCAATGTATTATGAGATGACACTTGAGCAGAAGTGGGAACAAATATTTGCAAGGGATCATCATAGTAACCACCATGATCAAAGCAATGCTGTGACTGTGGATGCTGTTGTGCAAAGTGAAGTGGTTATGGTCGCAGGGAGGGAAGCTGTGTGTGATGAGAGAAGCGTGGGTGATGGGGTGATGGAGTTTAGGAGTTTGAACAATGTTGGAGAAGAGACAAGGGTTGGGGTGAGCTTAGCAATTGTTGAGAGAATGAAGTGGGAGCAAGGAAGGGTTGGGTGGGTTGGTGGGGATGATGAAGGTCTAGTGAGAGTGGAGAGGGTAGAGGAATATGGAGGGAAGGGTGAGTGGAACAAGTTTGGTTGTTTTGCATTGACTGAGAGGTTTGCTTTGAAAAGAATGGATGGAAGCTTGGTATTTACCCATGATTTCAAGCACACTCATCAGATTAGGAGCAAATGGGAATGAAAAAAAAATGCACTTGTTGTATGCATACCAAAAATTTCAAATTGGGTTTTTTGTTTTCTATACATTCTTGTAGCTTGTGGACTCAGTATGCCTTCTGAGAAACTATTTGATTTATGGAAGTGTAAACCAAGACTTTTAAATCACAGGAATGTTCACATAATTTTGATCAATGTGTTTACAATGTCCCCTGTTTTGTTCCTAACAATTCTTATAAATTAAGGCTTCTGAGTTTGACCATTCCACTGGATTGAATCTTCAAGCATAACCAGAATTACCAAAACATTGGACTGATTCTCAGGTCAAAGCCAAATTCGAGTTCAAACATATCTTCTTCATACGGCTCAAGTTTTTCTAATGATAAGGATGACTCAGAATTGAAAGAAAATATCCAGAATTCCTTACTTTTGGACTGCTTCGAAGTTCAGATCTTTTTGATTCACAGCCAATCATTGGTCTTCCACTTGGCATCAAACTGTTGGCATTCTCATCTTAACGAAAGAAGCAGGAAGAAAGCTCAAGACGAGGGTAATTTCTTCGCAGCTTCCATGTCAAAAGGTGAACGAATAAATCCACCTTCCTTGTCAATTAAGTTCCATTAGACATGCTCTTAATAATAGTCAAAAGGTTGATTTGCACTACGAATAAATTACCCATAACTTGTGCAAATTGTATACGCAAACTTGAAAACCTTTCATAGTATAAATAAATCAAGATTTATATGATCCCTGGGACCAAAAAGTACAAGAAGCAAAAGGTTGATCAAGAAATTTAGAGAGAAAATGTACGTGACAAGGCCTCTTTCTATGTATCTAAGGGACCCTTCCATGGTCACCTTGCCACCCCCAGAGGGTCCAAACTCAGGTATTTTGGTCATCCAGGATGAAGAAGCGGAGCCTACAGTTTGCTTTGGTTTGTGTAAAGGCCACGAGCTCCATGACCTGCCTTTCCCTCAGAACAAGAATCTAAAGCTTCGCTATTCCACAGGAGTGGGAGAAAACCGACATGTTTCTCATTTCTACACTGCCTTCATTCCAGTTCTTAACCAGCCATTGGCTTCGAATCGGTACTATGCTATACAGTCGCGTGGAAGGCTTAAAAGGTATGCATGCTATCTCAAATTGAACTTAATTCTAGTATTGTAACCAATCCATGGAAAATAAAAATTGAATGAACTCACTTGCAGGCAAGCATACACCTGCTCAACAGAGGAGGACTTGGGAACCTGCTGCTGCTGCACTTTTGTAAAGGACGTACCCTCACAGCCTTTCAATCCCAATAACATATACCAGCAATTTGAGATCCAACTCAAAGGAAGATTCAATCGTGGCTTTGTTGCCAAAGCCATAGCTTCAGATGGGTACACTCCAAAGTTTCTTGGAAGAAAAGGGTGGGAAATATATACCTCAACTCCTCGTGACTTCGATTTAGGTGAAGCACCGGGTCTTGACACAGCACTACGTGCCCGCCTTCCAGATTTTGATTTCCCATTATCGTTTACAAGCTCAAACCCTGTGGTTGTGGGGAAGTGGTATTGTCCCTTCATGTTCATCAAGGAGGGTACACCAAAAGATCAAATGAGTAGGACCAGGTATTATGAGATGACACTTGAGCAAAGATGGGAACAAATATTTGCATGTGACAGTAGTAATAGTGAAGGCAAAGCTGTGGTTGTTGATGTTTCTGTTCAAAGTGAGTATGTTGCTGTTGCTGGGAATGTGGAAGCTGTGCATGAAGAGAGGGATGTGGCTAATGGGCTTATGAGGTATAGGGGTTTTAACAATGTGGGAGGAGAGAGCGGTGTCGGGTTGAGCTTAGCAATTGTGGAGAGGATGAAGTGGGAGCAACAAAGGTTTGGATGGTTTGTGGGGAATGAGAGGCAAGTGAGAGTGAATAAAGTAGAGGAGTTTGGGGGAATGGGAGGGTGGAGGAGATTTAGTTGCTATGTTTTGGTTGAGAGGTTTGTATTGAAAAGAATGGATGGAAGCGTGGTCCTAACTCATGGTTTTAGACACACTCATCATATCAGGAGCAAATGGGAGTGAGATTTTTGCTCTTCTTTTGCTTTGGGATGGCAAATCCATTTTGCCCTGTTTTGATCAGTCCCCATTGATCCTTGGAGATTAGCATACATTGTTATTTGATCCAATGCAGTAATATTTTTTATTTTTTGATGTATTTCATTAGCTTGGTTGAAATTTTCAAGATTAGCCGTCCACAAGAAGTTGAAGGTTAACTGATTAATCAAATTTAAATCTGTATCCCTATGATGTTTCAATTCAATCTCATCTCAGACATTAAGCTTTAAAAAAAGACCTTTCCAGCTTATATGGTGATTGAGAAATGCGTGAATCTCCCTGGTAGGTTCTACAAATTCTGGCCCTTGGGTTAAGATTAACGACACTGGCAACACAAGAAAATTAACTCTAATATTATCTGCACGGAACAATTTTGTAAATTATAATTAAAAGTTTTTTTGGATGTGTTCATTAGCTTGGTTGGAATTTTCAAGATTAGTTGTCCACAACAAGTTAAGGTTAACTGACTATATCAAAGTATAAATTAAAATTTATCATTGTAGAGAACCCACAAGAGCCCTTGGCCAATCTACAACCATATGCTGGCAAATCTTATCAAGAATTGCAGACCAAGTGGTGCAATTTGTTGAATGATATTTTAGTCTTTCTATTTTCAAGAAAAATATAGAGAATAAAGACACATCTCTCTCCCTTTCACACCCACCCCAACCCCACCCGCCCCTAAAACACATCGCACAGCTCTCTTTGACCATGTATAAAAATTTTTTATAAAAATTTTTCTATTTTTAAAAATATCCTTGAAAATGGAAAAGACTAAAAAATTAAGGTGACATTGGTCTTAAAATTTTCTTTTAAGATGACAAATTAAAACTGGAGTATAAGTTTAAGTTACATGTCTACAAAATATCAATTATTAATAGCATTCAACACGTCATAAAATAGTCAACCATTGACTGTGTCAATATCTGTATTCACTTCTTCTCTGGGATGGGATCGACCCTCCAAGAAAACTTACAAAGCATAAGAATTTCTTTCCTTTTTGTGTTGAGAAGAAAAAAGCAACCCCCCAGCAAAATGTATGTGACAAAGCCTCTGTCTCTGTATAGAAGGTCTCCTCAGTCACTGTCGTTGCCACCACCGGAAGGGCCAAATTCTGGTTATCTTGTTCTCCATGACGACGAATCGGTGGAGATATCATGTTGCGGATGCGCTGATGATCGGGTTAAAGACCTGCCTTTCCCTCAGAACAAGGATCTAACAGTTGGATATGGCTCAGATGATGACGAAGTTACATTCATCCCAGTGCTTAGTCAGCCCTTATCTTCCAATAGATACCATGTGATACTTCGGAGAGGGAAGCATAAAGGGTAAGCATAAATTTATAAATATTTATATGATTAATTTTCACGCAGCGGTGTTACTGTCACACTGAAATGTTCTCTATACAGTTTAATAGCTGTGTTGAGTTTAATTTGCAGGGAAGCGTGCACAAACTCAAGGGAAGAGGACATGGAGATTGTCTGTTGCGGCTGTACCAATGTTCCAGATGCTAAACCAAAACCACTGGAACCATCAGACGTAAATCAGCAAGTTGAGATCGTTCCTAGGGAGCGTGACAGGGGTTGCTTTGTTGCCAAGTCTGTTGATCCAGATGGGTTTCCTCCTTCCTTCTTGAGAAGAAAAGGGTGGACTGTGACCATGCACACACCTCGTCATTACAGATTGGGTGAAGCCTCAGGACTCAACTCTTCACTACGAGCAAGCCTTCCGGGGTTCAATTTTCCATTATCACATGACTGCTCTCAAGCTGTGTTTGTTGGTAAGTGGTATTGTCCTTTCATGCTTATCAAGGAAGGAGGGGTGAAGCTGAAGGACCAAATGAAAAAATGCATGTTCTATGAGATTAGTCTTGAGCAAAGATGGGAAAAGATTTTTGATAGCATTAATGAAAATGTTGAGGGAAAAAATAAAGGTGCTGTGTTTGTGGATGCCTTTGTTCAAAGAGAGGTGGTTTTTGTTGGTGGAAGTGAAGCTATTTGGGATGAAAGAAATGTGAGTGGTGAAGGGTTCATGTTGTTTAAGAGTTTTGATGGTGTGGGAGGAGAAACAATTGTGGGATTGAGCATGAAAATTGTAGAGAGAATGAAATGGGAACAAGAAAGAGTTGGATGGGTTGGTGGGAATGAAAGACGAGTGAGAGTGGAGAGAGTAGAAGAGTTTGGGGGGGCAGGAGGCAGGTGGAAGAGATTTGGTTGTTATGTGTTGGTAGAGAGGTTTGTCTTGAAGAGAATGTCAATGAATGGAAGCTTAGCACTACTCACATATGATTTCAAGCACACACACCAGATTAGGAGCAAATGGGAATGACAGAAACTTAAACTTTGTCGTTGCCATTCTCATTAGCGTTCTCATTCCACTGGCATCGACCTCCACATTTTAATTTGATTGGAACTTTCAAGAAGCTGCCCACAAGAAGTTGAAGATCAGCTGTTTAATCAGATTAGCAAAGTAAATTTTCATTGTAAGGGCATCCCAGTGGTTGGGGCTCTAAAAGAGATTGATAGAGCCTCATTCAGGGCTCCCATATTAAGAGTTTGATATTTTTTTTATGATGTAATTTAATTTAGGTGCTATTTTTGTTTTTTGTTAACTTATTTATGTTAGTTTTATTTTTGTGAACATTTCAAAAAAATAAAAAAAAATAAAAAATTTGATAAAATGGTTGAAAAAAAAAAAAAAAAAAAAAAAAAAAAAAAAAAAAAAACCTAGCCGTTTAGAACTTGAGGGTTGTAGCCTAAGTCAACTTTACCACAAAAAAACAAAAAACAAAGAACAATGAGACAAGCTAAAATGGGCCAAGTTTGTAACAACTCCTTGAAGGAAAAAAAAAGGGAGTTTCACTAAAACACCCAAAATGGGGGTTGAAATTATAAAAAAACCCAAGCACTATTTAAACATATAAACACACCCAAAACCCATCATTACACACACTCAAAACCCATTTATAAACACACCCAAAAAGTTGACTTTGGGGTTGATTTTGGGTGTGTTTCTATGTTTAAATAGTGCTTGGGTTTTTTTATAAATACATGTTTAGGATTGAGTTTATTTATAAATTTGTAAAAAAAAAATCATCCCCAATGATGCAAATTTGAGGCTTTAAATGGTTGAGCCCAACCGAAGTTGAAGCCAAATTTGTTTACCCGGTTGTAGTCCTTGAAACTCGGTGGGAATCACATCTGGAAAAAGCTGCCAGCCCAACAATTTTTTGGCTCACTTGCCTTGCGACTCAACAGAGTCATACTTGCCCAGTGTGAAAAGCCTCAGCATAATAGGAAGAGGCATAAAAGCATGGGCTAACATAGTGAGCCCAGTTTCAACAATGTGTCTATGTTTTCATTCAACAAGTTTATTTTGTTCAGGATGATGAGGGCAAAAAACAATGAAAAATGCCATGTTAAGACCAAAAAGTCTGAAATTGCTTATTAATATATTCACCCCACCGTCAGTTTGAAATGATTTAATCTTAGTAGTTAACATATATTCTTAACAAGTTGCTTAAATTGAACAAAAATATAAAAGACATCAGATTTCAATTTAAGAGGAAAAATCCAAGTATAACATGAAAAATCATTCACAAAAATCACAAAATAACGAAAACCATAAATAGATAAAAGTGGAGACCTTCAAACATCAGAGTGTACAAGGTCCAAAGGACTTGAAGTCTCTGAAGAAGACAATTCAAATGAAAATTTATGACTCTTTCCTACAGGAAACGAATGACACAACGAAGAACTAACTTTGCCAAGCAGCATTTGTTTGGAAAGGTGAATTAAGTCTTCAAGTTTGATGTTTGTTTGTGGATAATTTTTTAGTGTTAAGGTTACACTAATTGTTTGTGCCTAATAAATCACGGTCATAAATTGATTGAAGGGACTTCCTCTCGGTCCTGGCGCCTACCATTTCGTTAAGCATTTCGCCTTCCTGAAAACAAAAGAAAAGCTACAAAGGCAGAATCCTCTCGGCCTCGCAACCGCAGTATTGAAAGCCGAAGCCGAAGGCCGTAAAAGACACGGCCGAAGAAGCTATGGTTAAATCGTCACGTGGCCTCAGGGTCCCACACCCCATTTAATGAAGTAATGCCTCTGACTTTCGCAGCAAACCCACTAGCCGCAAGAAGCATTTAATGCACAAGGGAAGAAGGGAAGTGACTGAAGTCAGGATTTGGTGATGGAAATGAGGTTGGTTAGGTGCAGACATTCTCACAAGTAATCTTACGACTTGAGGTAAGATCACCAACCACCAGACCAGGGCATTAAATGCGTTCCCACGGCCAAGGGGGCAGAACCCACGATCAGGGCAGTGGCCAAGATTTACCGGGATTTATGGGAGTCACACCACCATGCTTCACAATCCCAAACCACCATGCTTCACGATCCCAAATGCCGATTTGACTACCCACTTGCCCCGATCAGGCTCCACCACGCAGGTCTTTTCAGTCTCAATTATCCCTCCAGGGCTCCTCCTATAAATACTAAGCTCAGGACTACATTCAAAGGGTTCAAACACCAAACCAAAAGCCTCAAACGGAGCAAATTATATTTTCCTGTAATGCACTTTCAATAACTTTATTTGCTTTCCTAGGAGTAGTGGTAGATTGTAAGGAAAATCCATTCATCAATATATCATACGACCCTTGATTTTCAAGGCGCCGGAGCACCATCTCTGTTATCGTCCCATTCACCCCATATATCATACGACCGTCGCTCTTTGAGCAAAGCGCAGGAGCACCGCCTAAAACCCGCCACCAACACCACCACTAAACGGCCTTGTAGCTCAGGCCGTGAACCTGACAGCCGAGATCAGTTCCTCTCTCGGCCACAATCGTTTGATTAGGAGTCGAACGCAAAACAGGTGCATCATTTAACCATCTTCTACCCGAACCTCATCATCATCTCGACACATGGTAGATCGTGCTGGCACGCCCGCGCACAGCCGCACCGCATCCAAAAGAAGGACGTTACGTGTTGACGCACATCCGCTCGACCAGGAGCACCAGGCCGCGAGATTTGCGCAGAGCCAACACTTTTGGCACGCCCGGTGGGATACTGTCAAAAACTCATAGTGGAAACTAGGGCACATGCAAAGCTCAAAAACAAAACAGTAGAAATGACTTCCGAGGTTCCTAAGTCCACCTCAACAATCACTATCACCGAGACCGAACACGCGGTCAGAATCTCGGCCAGCGTTTTAATAACGACGAATCGCGCGGCCGAGTCCATGGGAGAGCAAGCAGTAGTGGAGGATCTGATGGCTAAGCAGGCCTACAGGATAGAGACATCCTTTATGGCCGCAATGGACAGATTCTCCTCAGAGCTACGGACGCTATTTCAAGAGAGGATGCCGGTAACGTCATCCGTAACGCCTCCTAGAGCCAGACAGAGAAGCCAAGAGCACGAAAGGTTTGAGCCCTACGGCGAAAGCAGCAGCCTCGGCGTCTCTGGCGGCACCCAAGCGTCAGGCTACGACCAGAATTCTCAGCCGCCGACAAATAGCTGGGGGCAATCCCAGCCAACATGGGTAAATCCCGGACCGACCTGCCCAGCAGAAACGGCGTACTACCCACTCCATGCTTTGGCCGTGTCACTGGGGCAAAGCAGCCCCACGCATTCCGCGGTCCAGCAATTTGGCCCAGTTCACACCCTGGCCGTCCAGACCCATCCTGGTCCAAGCAATGCGACCGCTGCTTCGTCAAAGCAATACGGTCAGAGTAATCCGACCGTTTCACCATTACATGCGTCGTTATTGCCGTCAGGCTCCCATCTTCAATACGGTTTGGTCGTTCCAACAACAACACATACGCACCCCAGTCAAACCTACGACGCTTATCTAGTACCGCCCAGCTTGGTCGCAACGGCCGAACCCCCCATTCAGGTGGCCCAGCAGGTAAGGCCGCAGAACGAAGGGCAACAAGTTCCAAGGCTAGCCGCGGCCCAGCAAGAAGCGCCCCCTCAAGGGCTCCGATTCGAAGACGTCCGGCGAATGATCGAGGACGGCCTGGCTCAGAGGCGCCCGGAAGCGCCAAGGTATACCAAACCATACCCGCCAGAAATCGATCGAACCCCTCTTCCCCAGAACTATCGGTTGCCAGAATTCATCCTATTCTCCAGGGATGGGCAGACCTTTTCCATTGAACACATAGGCCGCTTCACGGCCCAGTGCGGAGAGGCCGATTCGGACGCCCAGAGGCTCCGTTTATTCGTTCACTCTTTGACTGGCGCGACGTTCTCGTTGTTCATAAACCTTCCACCGAATTCGGTGAGGGATTGGTCTGACATGGAAATGATATTCCACGAACATTTCTATCAGACCAACCGGGAAATAACGGTCGCCGAGCTGGCATGGATGAGCCAGGCGTCAGACGAATCACCTCGCGACTACCTGTATCGGTTCAAAACGTGCAGGAACTGGTGCCGCACGAACCTACCGGAGAGGGAATTTGTCAAGATGGCCGAAGAAGGATTGGAATTCGAATACCGGAAGAAATTCCAGGGAATTGAATTCCGGGACATGCATGACTTGATCAACAAGGTGGACCGATACGCATCCCTGTTGAAAGAAGAGGTGCAGAAGAGGACGGCTTCAAAAGGGACTTACTATCAGAATCCCGTTGTCAGCTATGCCGAAGCAGACGGCCCTACAGAGGCCGAGAGCGACAAAGTTGAGATGAGCTCAGCTGAAGTCAGCATAGACAAGCCATTCGTCTGCAAATGACTTGTCAAGGCCGACAATAATCGCACAAAAATTCCCGACGCCAAGTTCACGACTCGAGAAACGAAGGCCTACACTTTTGATTTGACCAGGGCCGAAGCTATCTTTGACCTACTGTTAACCGAGAAAAAGGTCAAATTGTCCTTCGGCCATAAAATTCTGAAACCCGAAGAGCTCAAAGGAAAGACGTTCTGCAAATACCATAGTTCTTGGTCTCACAACACCAACAACTGCGTTGTTCTACGAGACGTCATCCAGAAGTTGATAGAAGAAAAGAAGCTCAAATTCCCCGAAAAGGCGGCCATGCAAGTCGACTCTAAGCCATTCCCTCCACCTGTCATCAACATGGTCAACGCTCAGCTCCAGGCCGAATATAGGGAAGTTCGTCGGCCTGCAAAAGGAAAAGAGTCGTTGGCCGAACCAGAGCCGGTACCGTGCAGTCGGTGCAAGTATGAGATCGGTTAGCTTAGATCGCCAGAGAACAAAAGGAAGGCCGCCGAGCCATCTCAACTGACTATGAGCAAATTCAGCGGCTAGTAGGACCGTCGGCCAGCAAGAAGAGTTGTTTTCGACCGACTAGGGGCACGAAGCCCCAGTACCTCGGCGGGCCACAAAGACGAAGCCGCTCCTAGGCCGGTGAAGACTTTCAAACCACCGGTCGTACAGGATGACCGTTGGTATCATGCACGGCCTGGGGGCAGCACCGAACTGCTAAAAAAAACCCAGTTGAGAAGGCTGCAGAGACAAGTTTAGCAGGCTAGGATACAGACGGCCCGGGTCGAGGGATTAAAATGCCAAAAGAAGATGGCGACTTCAGACGAGCCACCATTCGCGCTAATCGTTCCCCCTACTGCGGAGGTTGCCAGCGTCAAGCCTCCAAGGACGTGGCGCCCTAGGCAGGACGGTTATCTCCGCGGAATGACGACCGTTTCGGTTGAGCCAAGGGCCGCGGCCCTGGAGGAAACGGATGAAGGTATCATCGACGTCTACCACGGAAGGGACCCCCATTTTTCGGCCAACGGTTTTTCCTTTCTCATGGAATTCCATAAGGACTACTCGGCCATCGACCTATATGGCATGACCCCTGAAAACCGTGAAATCGTGGAGTTGGCTCTCAAATACGCTAAGGCAGAAAGGCTCCTTATTACCAGCGTATCCAACTCGGCCATTAAGGCCGTATACCAGGCACACGGAGAGGTCAGGGCAAGAGGGATGCCAGGTTACCGACCCGAGCAGGGAGGATTGGGGCCCAAGGCCCCTTTTAGCGGAAGCAATTTAGAATACCTCTACCGATATTTTACTGTGACTCCGGCCGACACTATCTTTGGTCTGACGATCGAGGAAAGGGCCTGGGTAAGCCATCTGGACGATTACTTAGCGGCCAGGGATGCGTTAGCTAAGGCTAGACAGGCCCTCGAGGAGGAAGTCGAGACCTCGGACCCCCCTAAGATCAGAGCCACCACAGAAGATACCCCTGGGACTGCAAGGCCTATGGTCAAGGGCCTCGACGACCTTTTCTTCGGTCACGAGGCCAAGGACGACTCCACGTTGGGAATCTGCAATGAGGACTACGAGGGGATCCTCGGGATGGTTGAGGAAAAAACCCTCGCCAGTGGCGGCTGTGAGGTCAACAAGGAGGCTGGTGGGGGAAACCAGCAGGATCCAAAGGAGGTCAGCATGAACATGGTTTTGGTGCTACCGTCTGAGTTTTCAGCCCCAAGAGGCCAGACCAACGGCCTGGATAATGACGTGGGCGAGGAGCAGCTTGATCAAAGGCAAAAAACAAAGGAAGAATTGTTGGCCAACGAGGTAATACCCAGAGACGAGCCAAACAAATACCGACACCTCAAGCCGTTGTACATCTCGGCTCATGTAGAGGGTGTGCCCGTGTCCAAGGTCTTCGTTGACTGTGGGGCAACAGTCAACATCCTTCCCTATTCCATGATGAAGAAGCTGGATAAGTCAAAGGAGGACCTCATCCCTAGCGACGTGGTCATGAGCAGCTTTGTGGGCGATAAATCTAAGACCATCGGGGTGTTGCCGTTAAAAATCACCGTGGCCGACCGGACAAGAGTCGCGGCCTTCTACATAGTCGAATCCAACATGGACTACAATATATTGCTCGGTCAAGATTGGATCCATCAGTCCGGATGCATACCGTCCTCCATCTTCCAACTGTTGTTCTTCTGGGACGGCCAGAGGGTGTCCATACACCCAGCCGACAAAAAACCCTTCGAAACCAACACCGTGCAAGCACGGATTTACGACGACGACATTGGATGGGTTGTCCTCACCGGCCACGATGCAAGCGGCCGGCCAACCAGGACAACGGCGCAGAAAGTGCTGGAGTTAGGCGCCGAGAATGTTCGACAGGATTCGGCGCGCGAAGTATTGATCAACCTCACTGACCTTTAGATGACAGACAAAGCCACTAAAAAGAAGGGAGCGGCGGCCATGACCGACTTGCTGGAAAGACTGCTGGAACATTGGGCAGAGGAATCCTTACAGCCAAACTCGCCGATCAACCTAATCGAATTCCTCCACAAATCAAATGAGGCGGACACTTTAGCCTTTGACGACTTGGGAACGGCGCCCGCCGAGATGGAGGATGACTACCCCGAGATCCAATACCCGTTATTAGAAATAAATGTAGGGACCGAGCCCGAACCACGGCCTCTTTTTGTAAGCCAGCTTTTGAGCCCTAAATTAGCAGCCGAGATTATCGGTCTGCTCTATGAATATAAGGATTGTTTTGCTTGGGATTATCATGAGATGCCTGGATTGCCGAGAAGTTTGGTCGAGCACGAGCTAAAAATTAGGGAGGGGTTTAGGCCTTTCCAACAGTCGCTGAGGCGATTCTCGTCCGAAGTATAGCTTAAGGTCAAAGAGGAAATTGAACGGCTCCTTAAAGCCGGCTTCATCTGCACGGCTCGGTATGTTGAGTGGTTGGCTAACATTGTACCAGTTTTGAAAAAGACTGGGGCTTTGAGGGTTTGCACCGACTACATATATCTAAACCTCGCGACCCCCAAGGATGAGTATCCCATGCCTATGTCCGACCTCCTAGTGGATAGAGCCGCAAAGCACGAGCTCCTGTCTTTCATGGATGGCCACGCTGGTTACAACCAGATCTTCATAGCCGAGGAGGATGTCCACAAGACGGCATTCAGATGTCCAGGCGCAATCGGGACTTATGAATGGGTAGTCATGCCATTCGGCCTAAAAAACGCCAGCGCAACGTACCAACGAGCTATGAACCTTATTTTCGACGACCTAATTGGCCGAACTGTTGAAGTCTACATCGACGACGTTGTTGTAAAATCCCCATCCAAAGCCGACCACGTGGGGCATCTCCGATAGACTTTCAATCGCATGCGGGCACACGGCCTAAAGATGAACCCTAAGAAATGTGCTTTCGGCGTCACCGCCGGGAACTTTCTCGGTTTCTTGGTTCACCAACGAGGGATCGATGTAGATAAAAATAAAGCCACGGCCATTATGGCAGCACCCCCGCCAAGGACCAAGAAGGAACTCCAGTCCTTCCTCGGTAAGGTCAACTTTTTAAGACGGTTCATATCCAATTTGGCAGGAAAAATCCGGCCGTTGACTCCTCTGCTCAAACTGAAAGACACGGAGCGGTTCGTGTGGGGGGCAGAACATCAAGCGGCCCTCGACGACATCAAGCAATATTTATCTCAACCACCAGTCCTTATGCCGCCGAAAAGAGGGAAACCCTTGAGGCTTTACATTTCGGCTTCAGAAGGCTCTATCGGTTGTTTGCTGGCCCAGAACAACGAGTCTGAGCGAGAACAAGCAGTGCACTGTCTGAGCCGCACCCATAACATGGCCGAGCTAAACTATTCACCGATCGAGAAATTATGCTTGGCACTTTATTTCGCGGCCACCAAGTTGAGCCATTATATGCTTCATTCGGTCGTTCAGATCATCTCCAAGATCGACCTCATCAAATACATGCTCACTCGGCCGATGATACGCGGCCGGATCGGGAAGTGGACGATGGCATTGTCCGAATTCACCTTCAAATATGTGGCTCAGAAGTCGGTCAAAGGCCAGGCATTGGCCGATTTCTTGGCCCACCACCCGGCTCAAGGGCAAGAGGAGGAGTTGGAGGTTGAGATCGGCATGGCCCGCATGGAGAAGAACTACCGGACCATGGCTCCAGTCCCGAGACCAGATCTGGGGCCGGAGTCGTGATCGAGTCCCCCTAAGGACAAAGGTGGTAATTTGCGTTCCAGCTTGATTTCAGATGCACCAATAATCAGGCCGAATATGAAGCACTCATCATCGGTCTTGAAATTCTAAAAGAAATGAAGGCGACCCGTGTCCTGGTCTACGGTGATTCTCAGCTGGTAATTAACCAACTGATCGGGGAATACCAGTGCACGATCGAGAATTTAACCTTGTATTTTGTAACGGCCCTCAATATGGCCGACGAATTTTCTAGGATCTCCTTCGTTCACGTACCACGCGCTGAAAACCATGAGGCCAATGAGATGGCCAAGGTAGCATCAGGGGTGAACATTCCGGGCAGTGACCACGACCGCGTGATAAGGATCGAGAAGCGTACCCTGCCGGCTTTGGCCGAGCGAGGAATGACGATGCAAGTATCATCAGCCGAAATTACCGACGAAGTCAAAGCGGCCGAAGCCAACTGGCGCTACCTCATAGTAAAGTATATGCGCGATCCCTCCGGTAACCATGAAAGGACTACTCGTTTCCGTGCTCGGTGTTATTTGATTTATCAGAACGAGCTGTATCGAAAAGGATCAGACGGTTTATTGCTCCTATGCCCCAGCGCCGAAGATATCAAGGTTATCATGGCCGAATCCCACAAAGGGATTTGCGGCGCTCACCAGTTCGGCGTCAAGATGAGATGGTTGGTCCGGAGGCACGGCTATTATTGGCTGACCATTTTAAAGAACTGCATAGAATATGCGAAGGGGTGCATCAAGTGTCAAATCTACGGCCCTATACAAAGGGTACCGGCTGACGCCCTCCACCTGGTTACTAAACCATGACCGTTCAGATGATGGGCCGTGGATATCATCGGCAAAATCTACCCAGCCACGTCCAACCAACACGCCTAGATTTTGGTTGCAACTGACTATTTCAGTAAATGGGTCGAGGCGGAGTCATATCGGTCCATTTCTAGTACACAGGTGGTCAGATTCTTCGAAAATCACATCGTCCACAAATTCGGGATACCCGAAACCATCACGGCCAATAACGGCCCAGTCTTCGCATCAGCCGTGACTCGAGAATACGCCGAAAGGATAGGGATCAAATTGGTCCACTCGACACCCTACTACCCACAGTCTAACGGACAGGCCGAGGCGAGCAACAAGGTAATCAAAGGCATCCTGGAGAAAATGATTGAGGAAAAACCTAGGGCGTGGCACGACTTACTCCCTAAAGCCCTTTGGGCTTACTGAGTCTCAAAACGATCGGCTACTGGCACATCCCCTTATGCCTTAACCTACAGCCATGACACCATCGTTCCGATGGAGCTAAAGGTTCGATCTCTCCGTGTGACCGAACGACCTGGGCAGGAAGAGAAGGACTATGCGCAAGCCATGGCTCGGGAGTTATTAGATTTGGAGCAATCTAGACTCGACGCTTATAACCTATGCAGGCACAAAAGCAGATCGCGGCGAGGTCCTACAACAGGAGGGTGAGGCAAAAGGCTTTCACCGAAGGTGACTTGGTATGGCGTGCCGTGCTTCCTATCGGGACTAAGGACCCTCGGTTCAAAAAATTCTCACCTAATTGGGAAGGGTTGTTTATTGTTGAACGAATCCTTGGCCGAGGTGCATTTCAGTTAAGAGATAGGGATGGGGAATGACACAACTTGCCAATAAACGGCCAGTATTTAAAGAAATATACCCCGTCATTATGGGAGACGGCCAAGAATGGGTTATGAGGTTTACAATCGACAAAGATGAAAGAAAAACATACATTCGGTCAGAAGAAAAAGGGAGTTATACTTCATTTAGATTAAAAGAAAGGGGTCGCGGTTACAAAAGAACGGCCGGTCATGGCCGAATGAAACATATAAGCATACATGTGTGAAAAATAGAGTACAATCTAAATCTATGAACGGTTGCTTCTTGATCCCCTCGCTAGAGCAGGCAGATGATTCTTCCCTAGGCGGTGCCTCCACCGCCCCCGTTTCCGCTGACCGCGGCCATAGCCAAGGCCGTCACTCGGGCCATGGCCGAGGCCGTCACTCTGGACATGGGTGCAGCCGGCTAAAGTCACGGTCGTCACTCCGACCATGGGCGAGGACGTCATTCTGGACATGAGTGAAACCGGGTTGCAATCAAGGCCGTCACTCCGGCCATCCCCAGGGCCATCATTCTGGGCACAACTATGGCTGGGTGAAGCCAAGATCGTCACTCCGACCATAGGCGAGAACGTCACTCTAGACACGGGTGAAACCGGGTTGCAATCAAGGCCGTCGCTCCGGCCATGGCCAAGGCCATCATTTTGGGCATAACTATGGCTGGGTGAAGCCAAGACCGTCACTTTGATCATGGGTGCAACCAAAGTGCTAGGCCAAACGAACGTGGCCAAGTTGGAATCGTTACACCAGGTCCTTCCATCTTCATCGATCGCATTACAGTTTCTCCACGGCCTCATAAGAAGGAAGGTCATCCTTCCCCAGGGCCGGGAAAGGAATCTCGGCCACACCATGGCCTTGGCCCACGTCGACTCTCCAAGACGAAGGATAGTTAGTGGACAGCAGGAGGGAAAAAACCATCTGGATCAGGCCACGACACGAGGATCCGCGGATATGGCTCAACCCTGGTTCTGGGGAAGCTACAGGGGGGCCACTAGAGCAGGTTAGAATGGAGGGGAAATAGTGGAGAAAAATGAAGAAGGCAAGGCTTTTTATATTGACGCTAGAATTCGAAACGAAAGGGCATGGCTCTCTCGAGAGACGTAACGGTCTGACAGTGCGTTTGAGTGCGCGATGACGTGGCGGAAGCCCAGAAGCCGTCGTTTCATTTAACAAGACGAAACGACGGCTTGCGCAATGATGGCCTGCAAGACGTGCTTGCACATTTAATGCGCCGACTGACCTACGCATTTAAAGCACCAACTGTCAATCATTTCAGGGGGAATGCAAAGGGTTCATCCCTTGGAATCCTTTCGGCCTCTGCCCAGGCCGTGACCGAAGAATATAGGGATGTGGGGCAATGTTTGTGCCTAATAAATCACGGTCATAAACTGATTGAAGGGACTTCCTCTCGGTCTTGGCGCCTACCGTTTCGTTAAGCATTTCACCTTCCTGAAAACAAAAGAAAAGCTGCAAAGGCAGAATCCTCTCGGCCTCGCAACCGCAGTATTGAAAGCCGAAGCCGAAGGCCGTAAAAGACACGACCGAAGAAGCTATGGTTAAAGCGCCACGTGGCCTCAGGGTCCCACTCCCCATTTAATGAAGTAATGCCTCTGACTTTTGCAGCAAACCCACTAGTCGCAAGAAGCATTTAATGCACAAGGGAAGAAGGGAAGTGACTGAAGTCAGGATTTGGTGATGGAAATCAGGGTGGTTAGGTGCAGACATTCTCACAAGTAATCTTACGACTTGAGGTAAGATCACCAACCACCAAACCAGGGCATTAAATGCGTTCCCACGGCCAAGGGGGCAGAACCCACGATCAGGGCGGTGGCCGAGATTTACCGGGATTTATGGGAGTCACACCACCATGCTTCACAATCCCAAACCACCATGCTTCACGATCCCAAATGCCGATTTGACTACCCACTTGCCCCGATCAGGCTCCACCACGCAGGTCTTTTCAGCCTCGATTATCCCTCCAGGGCTCCTCCTATAAATACTAAGCTCAGGACTACATTCAAAGGGTTCAAACACCAAACCAAAAGCCTCCCACGGAGCAAATTATATTTTCTTGTAATGCACTTTCAATACCTTTATTTGCTTTACTAGGAGTAGTGGTAGATTGTAAGGAAAATCCATTCATCAATATATCATACGACCCTTGATTTTCAAGGCGCCGGAGCACCATCTCTGTTATCGTCTCATTCACCCTATATATCATACGACCGTTGCTCTCTGAGCAACGCGTCGGAGCACCGCCTAAAACCCGCCACCAACACCACCACTAAACGACCTTGTAGCTCAGGCCGTGAACCTGACGGCCGAGATCAGTTCCTCTCTTGGCCACATTCGTTTGATTAGGAGTCGAACGCAAAACGGGCGCATCATTTAACCATCTTCTACCCGAACCTCATCATCATCTCGACACACGGTAGACCGTACTGGCACCCCCGTGCATAGCCGCACCGCATCCAAAAGAAGGACGTCACGTGTTGACGCACATCCCCTCAGCCCGGAGCACCAGGCCGCGAGATTTGCGCAGAGCCAACACTAATTGCGAAGAACTAAAAATTATTGAAGATATTATAATGAGCACACTTGTACATCACATCTATACCCTTTAGGCCATCCCAATGAGGGCTTTAAAATGGGCTGCAATCGGCCAAGTGATTAAAAAAAAGGGAAATAGCCTAAAAAGCCACGCATTTCATAATTTTAACTAAAAATACCACCCCTTCCCAATTTTTGTACAACTACCAGCTATAAATATAAAATTATTGTCCACTTATTGTACCCATATCAGTTTTTCAGAAATTGGCATCTCTCTCTAACTCTCTTAGCTCTATCTCTTCGACCCGTGTCTCTCCCTCATGTACCTCTCTCTCTTCGACGCAATCGTCTTTCTCCCTCAACGGTGGCTGTTCATCCAAGCGTGACTCCATCGTTGACATCCACGAAGTACTGTTTATAAACCTTTTCTTTGAAATTTGGGGTTTTTGCGAATTTGGTTTATGGTGTATGGATTTGTAAGAAATTGGTTTAGGGTTTTAGTGTTTAGGGGTTGCTCAGAAATTGGGTTTGGGTTTATGGGTTTCTATGAATTGGGTAATAACTCACACCCACTCTCACTCGGTCACATGCACTGTTCACAGAAATCAAACTCTTCATTTTGTCACAGAACGTTTGGGCTTAAGAGGAATCGACATATTGATGGGTTGCAATGTCATGATTCGTTTATCTCCTGTTGTGTTAAGAGGATATTTACAACAGTGTGTCTCGCAGGTGTAGGAACATGTAGCAAATTAGTTTTTCCCTTTGATGAGAAACAACCCCATTTTCCCATCAGAATTATGATGAAGTTTCCTTTTCCTGTTATCTGCTTTTTCTTGACCATCACCGAGGACACAGTCTACCATCTAGTACCTCCTCCCAACATAAACTCAGATGATTCTGCTTCGACTTCGAGTACAAGAGGTTGGGTGGTTAGGCTCAGGGAAGGAGAATCAGGTGAACCTAGCATGTTACATCCACTCTCCTCCTCTTTCCACATAAAGCGTTTGCCCAAGTCGGTGTTTGCAAAGCTACTAAACTTGTTGGAATTTTGAGTATTTGAATTGGCAAAAACTTACACCATGTACCACTCTGACCATTGTGTTAGTAGTTACAGAGTGGCCATATCACTGAGCCCTGATTGGCCTGCAATCATGGTTGTTGCGACTGGAAAATTGTACCATTCCAAATTAGGCCCTGACATTGAAATGTGCACCATGGTCGATACCTCTGAGGTTTTTGAAGATGTTATTTGTTTTGAGGGAAAGTTCTATGTTGTTTGCCACAATAGCACAGCTGTGATCGTTGATCCTTCCTTGGAGATGACACTGATTGCATCTCCGATAAGTCCTGATCATGGCAGCAGCGTCATTGCATCAAGAATTTAGTGGAGTCACTGGGGGAGATACTTCTAGTGGAAAGATACCCGAGTAGAATTAAACATTGTTTCGTTCCGGTTAAATTCAGGGTTTACAAGTTGAATGCAGTTGAGAGGAAATGGGTTGAGATGGAAGGTTTGGATGGTAGGATATTGTGTGTGGGTGATAAGAACTGTTGCGTCTGTTAGTTAGTTGGTTTGTTTGTTAGTACTTTAATGAGCTAGTTGGTAGGATAAGGTTGGTAGCCTTAATTCCCTAAATTGGGGGATTGACTTCAGGAGTCCCAGGGCTTGGAGAGGAAGACAAGGCTAGCTGTTTGTTTCTGTTTAGGGGCTTGGAGAGGAAGCCAACTCTCTTTGAACATATATTATTGTAAGTGGTTCAATGTTAATAGGAAAAACTGAAACCAGAAAATCTCTACAAGTTTTACATTCTATTTGGCAGCTTCTCCGTTCCTGCTGGGGATTTTCCTGGATGTCAAAGGAGCTGCATTTGTTTCTCTGATCCTTATTACTTTCCCAAATGTTACAGTAATTATATTCATTAGGAAGAAAATTTAAGATTGGTGCGTTCAACTTAGAAGATGGTAGTTTCTTGCCACTACCATATAATCCAGGCTCTTGTAACATCTTTTTGCCACCCTCAACTTGGCCTACGCCTAAAAGAAAAAAACAGACCACACTTGGCCTATAGGCACTGAGTTATGTAAATCTTAGTTAAAGTTATGGCATCTGGTTGTAATTTGGTTGCCTTGTGGTTGATCCTATGAAATATCACATATAATCTCTAAACCTGATGTGTTCGCATCGTCACTAAATACATTTTATAATTTTATTTTTTTCCTCTGAATTAGGCATGAGTTCATAGAAGGCAATATGCAGTCAGTGATGGGCAGGGAAGGTTTCCACTTCATTTATAGCAGAATGAAGGTTTTAGGCTTGTTTGTAAAACAGCGCTGGTTATGTAAGGTAAAAAGTGTTATGAATGTAGGTGAAGATTCAATCGATGAAATTAGGGTTACAAACTTATAAGTTGAGTATGTGCTTGGTGGCATTTGTAGCCAAACCATGAGATAGATGTTAATTTGCATTTGATGTTTGGTAGTATACAACAAAGGTGCTGGTTTGAATTACATTCAGCGGTTGCTTTGTGCAAAATTTTGCATTATTTCTCGCACTTCATCAAGTACAAGCCAGGCTTTATCTACACAAAAAAACAATGAAAGAGAACTTGTGCAATGCTTCCCTATACAATCAGAAAACTTGTCTTCCACAATGGAAAATCTTATCTGAATTGTTGCCAATAAACCATATATAAAAAAATATATAGCGTGAGGGTGAAATTCAGATATATAGGGATATTTCCAATTTCACAAGTAGGTAACCCTGTTGTGTACTACAATATCAAAATTAGTTGCAATTGATCACAGCCATGAAAAAGGTCATATTTTCCAATTTAATGTTGTCAAATTTATGACAAGGACACCGATCTTGCACCATCTTACAATTGTAGAGAGTAATTTTACTTTTTTCATAACAAAATATAATCGATACAAGCTCGCGTGTAGAACTTGCCTTAAAATATAACTGATAAAAGCCCATGTGCAGAACTTGTTTCTACAAAACTACTTGAAAAGAAAAAAGGTGTCCAAGAATCTTCAACCATCCCAAAATATTTTATCGAACTTTGGCCCTTCTCTTTTCAAGCATGCCAAAAATCATCCTGGTTTTGTAATATGTGGTTTGTGCCCAATTAATTTACCGGGAATCTTGCATTTTTGTACCCAATATTTGATAGCTGCCTTCTTTTGAACGACGATTCATTGAGGGAGAGAATTACTTTCCTTTTGAATATGAATCGATGTATTTGAAAGGTCAACATCAATTCATGGTAATATAAGGATGGATAACAATTGTTGTGTTCGTGATATTTGAATTCAGGATTACTTTCAACGAAGTGGAGACTGTTATTAGACCAAATGCCATTGACATACGATATAATAGCAATATTAGGCCAATATACGTGCACTACAGAGGCAATATTAGAGCAATATAAGGACAATACGATAGCAATAGTATTACAATATACATCCAATAGGGTGGCAATATGCATACACTATCTATGCAATACAAAGGCAATATAAATACAATAGAACAACAATATTAAGTGAATCTACATACAATACACACACATCCATTACAGACTACATTTTACACATGCAAAAGGAATCGCCACTGAACCTTAACAATACTATCCCGCGAAGGGAAAACGAAGGCAACAAAAGATCCATGTACTCGGGTGAGATGAACTGAAGCAGCACTCACCCTTACAACAAGTCCATCAAAAGATCCATGTCTTTGTCCTTTCTCCTCGCTGCATGCACGAGGCTATGATGAGCCATTCCCTCAGCACCCATATTCAGCACCTCCCAAACACCAGCTACATCAATTTCACTCCAATTGTAGTCTGGTGAGATGACCGAAGCATAATCTTGGAACATTTCGAAGCCGTTGTTGAAACATTCAACCATTTCATGGTTATATTCTTCAGATTTTGTGCAACTCCAACTATCATTTCAAAGGTCAACATCAATTCATGCTAATATAAGGATGAATAACAATTGGTGTGTCCATGAGATTTGAATTCAGGATTACTTTCAATGAAGTGGAGACTCTATTATTAGACCAAATGGCCATTGACATACGATATAATAGCAATAATAGGCCAATATATGTACACTATAGAGGCAATATTAGAGCAATATAACCACAATACAATAGCAATAGTATTACAATATCACCTATAAAAATATAATTATTGTCCACTTATTGCTGATTTTTGACATGTTCAGAAATTTTGTTCTCTCTTAGTCTCTCTCTGGCACATCTCTCTTTCTCTTTGGTATCTGTCTATCGCAGCTCTCTCTCTCTCTCTCTCTCTCTCTCTCTCTCTCTCTCTCTCTCTCTCTCTCTTTCTCTCTCTCGTGCAACTCGTTGTCTCTCTCTTTGCTCTCTTTCTGTAGCGCAACTCTTTCTCTCTATGTCTCTCTCTCTAGCTTCGTTCTGTCTCTTTCTCCCCCTATTCGCTCTCTTTTGGCATGCTTGAAAAGAGAAGGGCCAAATACAACAGAAAAGAAAATCCATTCAAGCTTATTGGGGAAAAAAAACCACGGAGAAATACATGAAATGAAAAACAACTCGACAGTTACTGTGAGATTGTGTACATAAAACTTGGAACAACCAAACCAATTAAAGCTAAGCCATCTCATACGTACACCTACATAAAATAACAATGTATGGTCATCTTCTTTAGAATATTGCAATCAACACTTGGTTGAGACCGACCTGCAAAAACAACTGGGTTAAGTACAGAGATAGAGTTTATGAATGGCAGTTCCAGAATTAAGACCTATGTTAATTTGTAACTGCCACCGAGTCAGTTCATAGTGCCAAATGCAGCTATCTGGCACACATATATGACAAGCCAAAAGAAAAAAAGCAAAAAAGAGGCATGACATAAATGGGAACCTCAGCAGAAAGCATCAGATATGCATACAAGCAGATTGGCTCCATTACAAATTCCAACCATGGGCTGGCTGGGCTCATGCCCGGCCCAAAATTTTGACAAAAAAAAAATACTAAGTAACTTGCCCAGCCAATAAGTAACTTGCCCTGCCAATAATTCAAAGGCAAGTAGCCCACTCACTTAAACAAGCCCACTTAAACAAAGAATATATGCACTGCAAGTGCAACAGCCAAAATTAAAATATGAAGTGAACCCGCGTGCAGTTAGCCACCAAACAGAAACTTCACTCTCTGTGAAAAATATCAGCACTTCCCTCTCCGTCTCAAGCTCAACCTTTAGCCACCATCAACTCAACTCTCAACTTCTTTGCAGGAGCAACTTCTCTTCTTGGCAACAAGTATTCTTCTCTCATTCTCTCATTTTAATTATCTTATGCTCTTTAATTTGAATAGAAAATATTCCAGGGTTTAATTAGGAATGAATTCTAATTGGGAGATTTTGTTGAAATTAATTAGGGCTTTGATTTTAGGAATTTTGTTGAGATATTTAATTTGTTGTTGGTATTGTTATGATGTTTAATTTGTTGTTGGTATTGTTGAGATGTTTGATTTGTGTGTTGTGTTGGTATGTTTGATTAAATGCATTGATTATATTATGATAATTAGTTTTGTTGTTGTTGACATGTTTGACTAAAATAATTTGTACATATTATTTATAGGTTATCTTTTATTATGTCGGATCACAATCGGAACCCCAAGAAAATAAAGAACTTGTTGTCTTTTTTTAAGAAAAAGAATGATGGTGGGTCATCATCTAATACGATGCCTAGCACTTCTTTATCTACTCCTCTAATTTGTGATGAGCAAAATCTTCCCGAGTCTCCCATTGTTGAGCCTCAAGTTGAAGGAGTTGAGAGTCAAAGAGTTAATGATGATCAAGATTTTAATATCAATTATCTTGAACGTGATCCAGGATTACGTCGTCTAATATGCAAATATTCAGTGAATGAACAAGATAATGTGTGAAGAGCATATATTCTTTTAGGGCCATGTCAACCCGAGTTAGAAGATTATCCAAGCCACTTAGAAGGGAAAATCTTACGTCGATTTAATAAAAAGTGGTTTGGTCAATTCTCTTGGCTTGAGTATTCAGTTGCTAAGAACAAGGCATTTTGTTTTCCTTGTTTCCTATTTGATAGGACTCAATCATTTCCGGCCTTTACTGTTGATGGGTTTCAAAGTTGGAAGAGAATTGGTGGGAATCATTGTGCATTTCAACATCATGTAGGCAAACTAAATTCACCACATCATCTTTCTATGCAAAAGTGGATTAGCTTAAAAAATCCTTATGTTCATATTGAAGAAGTGGTAGAAAAGCAATCAAATCAACAAGTGATGGACAATCGGTTGCGACTTACAACCACAATAGAGGGCATTAGGTATCTAGCAAATCAAGCATTGGCTTTTCCAGGCCATGATGAATCTATTGGCTCATCTAATCGAGGCAATTTCGTTGAAATCATAAAGTGTTTTGCAAGAATGAATATGGAAGTTGAGAAAGTTGTCCTAGATAAGGCTCCTCAAAATGCTCAGTATATTTCCAATGACATACAAAAACAAATCTTGCATATTTTTGCTACCAAGGTGAGGAAGACAATTTGTAGAGAACTTGGGATGAACAAATTTTGTATTCTTGTTGATGAATCACTTGATGAATCGGGTAAAGAACAAATGGCTATTATTCTAAGATTTGTTGATGGTCAAGGATTTATTCGTGAGCGTTTTTTTCGACATTGTGAGTGTTGCAGACACTAATGCCTTGACTCTTAAAAAAGAGATATGCAAAGTGCTTGGTAATAATGGCATTCTAGTGGAAAACATGCGTGGTCAAGGGTATGATGGTGCTAATAATATGCGTGGTTCATAGAATGGATTACAAGCATTGTTTCTTGAAGATTGTCCATATGCATATTATGTGCATTGTTTTGCTCATCGCTTGCAATTAGCATTAAATGGCGCAGCTAAAGATGTGAAAGTTGTATGGAGATTTTTTTTAATGCTGACTAACATTGTGAATTTTGTTAGTGCTTCTGCTAAGCGCCGTAATGAGTTAAACTTAATTCGAAAAACTGAACTCAATGAGTTGTTGGATTCTGGAGAACTTGAGACAGGTAAAGGACTTAATCAAACTCGTACTTTGAAACGAGCTGGAGCAACTCGTTGGGGATCTCATTTTGCCTCTATTACAAGTTTGATGAGTCTATTTAAAGAGACTAAATTACTTCTTTTGGAAATCAGTGATCATGGACCTAACCAACAGTTTCGTGGCGATGCAGAGAGTAACTATATTGCTATGATGTCTTTTGAATTTGTGTTTTCATTGGTTTTGATGGAGAAAATTATGGGATTGACCAATTTTCTTTGTCAAGCATTTCAGACGAAAACTCAAGACATTGTAAGTGCTTTAAATTTTGTTGAGAACACAAAAATGCAACTTGAAGATATGAGGGAAAATGGTTGGGATGATTTTTTCATGAGTGTGGTATTATTTTGTGAACTACATTGTGTTGATGTTCTTGATATAGGTGGTCGTTATATGACGGGCATACGTCGTTCTTGCCAACAAAAAGATTTTATTACAATTGAGCATGCCTATCGCATTGATGTATTTAATGATGTTATAGATTGCATGATGAGGGAGTTAAAGGATAGATTTCCTGAGCAAACAGTTGAACTTCTTATTCTTAGCTCAGCATTGGATTCGCGTAATTCTTTCATGTCATTCAATATTGAGCATATATGTAAACTTGCTCAGAAATTCTATCCTGCTGATTTCCTTCCTCATGAGTTGAAAGCTTTAGAAGTAGAGCTCAAATATTTTCAGAATGATATAAAACGTCTTCCATGCTTTAAGGAAATCACTACTCTTCCTCAGTTATGTCAACAATTGGTGAAAACAACTATGGGGGAAAACTACTATTTGATTGACAGGTTGGTTCGGTTGGTGTTGACTCTTCCTATTTCTACAGCAACAACGGAACGAGCTTTCTCATGTATGAGAATTATTAAGAATCGACTTCGAAGCACCATAAGTGATGAATTTCTTGGTGATTGTATGATCCTCCACATTGAAAGAGAGTTTGCCAATGCTATTGACAATGCATCCATAATTGAGGAATTTAAGAGTTCTAAGCCTCGTAGGGTTAGATTTTAGATTTAAATAATGTTGTTTTGTATTGCATTGCATTGCATTTAACTTTTGTTTTTATTTTAGTTTTTGTATTTGTAGATCTAGATGCATTTGAGGGTAAGACTCATTACGTCCCCCATGACTAGGTGTATCTTTTTATGTTTATTAATGAAATTCACTCGTACCGTCGAGTTTATTACATAAATTTTGCCCGATCGGCTTTCGAATCCTGGAACCGCCACTGATTACAATGTTCAAGAATGCAAACTCATGGTGTAAAGGTCCCTATTTGACCTCTTTCCCTTCCCCCAATCTCATGGTGTAAATATCCAAAACTGATTACATTTTTATCTTTTTAAAAAAATTTCTGGCCTCAAAGCAAATTACAAAGGAAACAAGTATAACTAACTAGAGCAGCTTCCTCTCCATAAGCCAAACCTCCCAAGAAAGGAACTTCTATGTCTCCACATTGATGATTTTCAGGTCACCTATGGATTCTACCTTCTCTTTTACAATTGTTTTTTATTTTTTGGCAAAGAAATTATTTGTCTTGTTCATTTGTGTATAAATATGAAAAGGGAATTCAGTTTAGAAAAGTAGTGTATGATTTTGGGAAAGTAAGCATGTTAGTACCTCGCTTGAACGCTTCCTTTTGGTGCCGGAGAAGAAACTGTGGTGCCCATCTGAAGGATTAAAAAGCAAAAGTTAAGTCAGGACAATCTCAAGGGTGATGCATTCACCCAAACAGATACATATTTTTTATGTCTTACCGTTCCCCTGCTTTCAGCCAAAAGAGGTAGGTTATAGCTGCTTATTTTTACATGAAGATTGTGATCCAATAAGACATTTTTTATCCTCAGATTATTTGATTTAACACCAGGAACAATCCCTGTATGCAGAAACTGAATACCCTTTGCAACTCCAATTGCAGCTATTATTCTCTGCGGCCAGGTAAGCTTCCGTCCTGGAGGTCCTTCTGCCAAACCAAGTGTTAGCAATGAATATTTAATTGCTGAAAATGCTAAGGCAGTGAGGGAGGAAATCAATCAAAGAAAAAGAAGAAGAAGAAGAAAGTAGTGAGTGGGGTTTTACTCTCCATTGCAATCTGTATGGCATGTATAAGAAATACTCTACTGACGCCTGAATCATCTGGATGGCACTCCAAGCAATGTCCAAGAGCACTAACCAAATGGCTATGTCTCAGTTTTGAAATCTGCTCAAGGAGGTGTGTGTAGACCTGTGGACTCTGCCTCTTTCTCATTTTCAAGCCTCTTATAGCAACAAAGGTTCCATCAGGGAGCTTCCCTCTATATATCTGGCATTGTTATTTTATTTTGAAGCAGTAAGAGTGAGAAAATTGCTTGCTGAAAACTCTCAAGATTTCTTGAACAAAGTATATTAGTCAATAGTGCATAGGACAATTTACTAGAACAAACAGATTCCAAATTCTTGTACAAATTCAAATGATAAGTATTGGACCACTTTAACATTTATAGTAGACTTTCCGCGAACCATTGCAATATGCATAAGATCTATCTGATGGTATAACATCAATGAGTATCTTCTCAGAACGAGCAGAGTTTCACCACCCCTTGAAAAATTCCCATTACCATTTCAGATTTGGATCCGATCCAATCGTTGAAAGTTTGATTCAAATTAAACAAAACTCAAAGGATTTTTTTTTAATAATTTGGTCGATTTGAAAGGCTGATATATTATAACTTAACAGGAGTAGCATATCTTAATATATGTTTCAAGGACACCAGGAAATACATAAGTAACCTTATTTGTTATGACATGGATATAATAAGGAGGTTAGTGTGTCCGACGCACCTAAATTGGAAGCATACCTTGAAAAAGGCTGCTTGAAAGGACTAGATGTGCTCCTGCAACCTCTGTTGAAAATTAGTCTTTTGTTCTCTTTCAATTTCTACTCTTTTTTCATTAAATGTGAGGCCACCTTGGAGTTTTAAAGGGAATCTTTACTCAACAGAAGCTTGTTTAAGGTGGAGAAGTCTCACGTTTTAAGCATATCAGAAGTTCTACAAAGTAATTCCTAAATCTATTTACATCATGCTTTTGAGGAGTATGAACTCTAAATTAAATCGAGATAACTATATCTATATACACATTCATACACACATACATATGTCAGTGTGTGTATTTAAGTTGCTTCAACTATGTAGTTCCTCAATTGTGTACCAAGAACTGGAGACTAGATGAAAATCAAGAACCTAGACACACAGGAGAACCCACCATGCATCGGTGAGCCATCGCAATTTAGTCCGACCTGTATATTATTTATTCCCGAGTAGTTAGATAAAGCTTGTTGAAATGTATCTTGTCCTAAATTGTATTTAAATTCAACATCTACATAATATATATTGTCTCTTATCTGAGGTTCTTCAATCCACAAAGGATCTTTTGCATATCCAAATGGATGGAATTATATAAGCAAGAAACATAAAATGTGAAAGCAGGTGCAAATTAAGAGAGAACATCGTATTACTATTACGATGTACTGAATTAGTTAGAATTGTTTTGCAACTATAAAGAATGAATACCTGTCCATGTGAACCTTCACCTAGTAATGTTGAATCATCAAAGTTATGGGTGGCTTCCTGAAGCTCCTCCAAAGCAAAAGTTCTATAAGCAGGAAGGCTAGCTCCCAGCTTCATTGTGTCTGATATATATATTCTGCAAAGAAAGGATTCTAGTGTTATGACTTATTATAAAAGGAATAGTGATGCTAATTTATTTACCTACTGCCAATTTGAATGAAGTGGTGCCTGGGGTTTTAATAAGAATAAAATTTTGAGCAGTCAATTTGAGCAAGAAAAATTGCTTTCCTGGATGTATAAGCCAGAATTGTCGAGTTTATCATTATAGCAAAAATGAAAGATTCACGATTTGTAACACGCTAAATTAGCATGTGAAAAATGCTTCATTTGAAACTGAAAAGCATGGACCTGAACAAGATTTACCATATTCCCCATATTTCTGAATATCAGAATATCCAAGGAAAACTATAAGGAATTGGTGGTACAATAAAATAAAATTCTCTCCATCTTAGTTCGAACCTAAAGACTCCAAAATAAACTAATATGTCTTTTTGGGGTAGCAATATAGTTTTTGGAAACTATTTTCTATAATTAGTAGTTCTTCCTGGAATTTTCTGGAAACATACATCAGTCTAGTTCTTGGACTTCTATGGAAATCATAACCTTCATGCTACTCAAATAAAATAAAAAGATCACATGGAAATGGTTGCTAATCTATACAGCAAGTTCCCTTTTTCATTTATTTTCTTCGCAAAATCAGCCTTGATCCTCGTACATTAAACAGAAGCAACAAAAAGTTGGTACCAAAAGGAACAACTATAAAAATATTTATAAAATAAAAAAAGTTAGAAAATTTAAACTTACTTGCATCAGAGAGTAGCTTAGCTGTGTTCACTGCTGAGACTGTATCTGAAATTACCTTGTTTGGGGAGTTTTAGTAGTGTGCTCACTATAAAACTTCTTAGCAGCCATGAAAGCTAAACCAACAACTGCAATTGCACCCACAATACCTCCCACTGCACTTGATGCAACAACGTGTTTACCATAAGTTCTCCTATGCTTTTCCTCACTAGGAGGTGGTATTCGCACAACCAGAGCTTCATTGTGGCACAAGTAAGAAGGGTGCTGCTTCTGATCTTCATTTACTAAACAATTCCCAGAATACAGAACAACCCTGCTCTTAGAATCCCTTTTCAGACAAGTGGGCAAATCCCTTGACAAAATTTGAGGATAAATTGACAAAAGCAAGCTCAGAATTGCAAGTCATGTTCTTATAGAGAAGTCCAGTGAGTTTATTTCCAGCAATGTCAAGATATTTAATGGAAGGCAGTGACAACCATGATGACAAAAATGGCCCTACAAATCCATTCAATGAAATGTCCAGCTTCTGGAGCTGATAGCAGGAGCCTAATGCAGTCTGGATTCCCAAGCGAAACTTGTTCTTTCTTAGCACAAGTGTGACCAACTTGGAAGGCATACTTGGAAAATGAGGCCCAAAATAGTTTTCTTCCAAATCAAGAACTTGCAAGTTTGTCAAGTTTCTGAGATCAGGCACTTCCCCTGACAAGAAGTTACTTGATAGGCAGAGAACTCTGAGAGTTTGTAAAGATGCCAAAGAATATGGCAAAGAGCCATTAAGCATATTGTTTTTCAGACTGAGAACAGCCAAGACTGGAAGTGAACTCAACCAACCTGGAACTTGACCAGTGAACTTGTTATGGTTAAGTATGAGAGTCTGAAGGTTCCTCAGATATGAAAGTTGGAGAGGAACTGTACCACTTAAGTAATTTGTGCTTACATTGAGAATCTCCAGTGAAGACAAATGCCCAATACTTGCAGGCATTGGCCCCCATAAACCAAGAGAAACCAGTGAAAGCACTTTCAAGCTTGGTAAGCCAACAAGAGTGGCAAAGAAATAGTCTGCTGAGAAATCACGAGGCAGTGGAGGAAAACCATTGTTGCCAATAATGTGCAGCTGGGTTACGTTGCCTTCATAACAGGATAGAGTCAAAGATGGAGTTGGTTCAATTTTGCAGAAGTCTCTGATGTTGCTTCTATGGCTGAAGCTGGTTAAGGCTGATGGGTAGTTGAGAAGCTGTTGGATCTTCAGAAGGGTTTGTGACTGAGTGTTTTGTTGTAGCTGGCTTGAAGGATGGAGAGAGAGGAAAACTATGATGAGCAGAAGAAGATGTGAATGGCAAACTAGCTTTGCCATTAGAACCATCAACAAAACCCAAGTTGCAGAAACAACACTCAATAGATGAATCTATTTCTCCCCTTCTTTCTCTGCTTCACTTCTTCCAGGAAGGCTTAAAACTTAGCTTTTGGGGGAATGAAAACCAGATTTTGCTAGCAAAACTATGATGACATTTTCAATTGCACCAAACTGACTTAGCCCTTCAAAATCTATCCTTCAATTTATTTTCCAACTTTTTTTTTCTTTTCTCTCTTTGGTTATGTTTACTAATTAAACATCTGAACCCAACAAACTTAGTGTGCTAATTATGGAAAATACTTCTGTACCACCTAGTTCCTTACAAAGTGAGAGTGGGTGTGAGTTATTACCCAATTCATAGAAACCCATAAACCCAAACCCAATTTTTGAGCAACCCCTAAACACTAAAACCCTAAACCAATTTCTTACAAATCCATACACCATAAACCAAATTTACAAAAACCCCAAATTTCAAAGAAAAGGGTTATGAACAGTACCTCGTGGATGTCAACGATAGAGTTACGCTTGGATGAACAGCCACTGTTGAGGGAGAAAGACCATTGCGTCGAAGAGAGAGAGGTACACGAGGGAGAGAGACGGGCCGAAGAGATAGAGCGAAGAGAGTTAGAGAGAGAAGCCAATTTTTGAAAAACTGATATGGGTACAATAAGTGGACAATAATTTTATGTTTAAAGGTGCTAGTTGTAAAAAAATTGGGAAGGGGTAGTATTTTTAGTTAAAATTATGAAATGGGTGGCATTTTAGGCTATTTCCCATTTTATTAATTGATTGCCTTCTCACATTTTGGGCTTGGTTTCTCCTTAGTAGCGTTTATTTCATCATGAACCTGATTATGAATTTTTTAAAACGCTTGGTTGTGTTTGTTTTCCTTATATTCGACCATACAATCAAAATAAACTTAAACTTAGGTCCACTATGTGTGTTTTTCTTGGTTATGCTTTGAATCAATGTGGTTATCAATGTTTAGATTTGTCCACTGGTGGTATGTTTTTATCTAGGATGTTATGTTTAATGAACTATCCTTCCCCTTTAAAGATGGTCTTATTTTGGCAAAGGATTCCCCGGTCTCCATGTCCTCGATTCCCCTTTATATTGATGATACCCATCTCCTTGCCTACTTCGTCTCTCAACCCGCTTGCCCTTTGTAGGGGACTTTTTCTTCCTGCAGTTATAATGGGCTGGGCTGCTGTAAAAGGCAGACTGAGGAGATTGTCCCCTTTGTTTGGTTTCGAAAATTAAGCCCCAAAAATAATTCGAAAGGGCAGTAAAGCCTTAGGAAATATTTTGGTTACCTTCATCAACCAAAATAATGGCTGCTTACAGGTGGTTTTGGCATGCTTACAGATAATCTTTTTAGCTCAGTGTGAGTGACATGTGGCATGAGAGCAAAATCAATATGAGTTTAGCACCTAGAGAGAATTTAGGCTTGCTTTATGAGAAAAGAAAGTGTTAAGGTAAGAAATGGGATGTTTTGTGAGGGATTTGGCTAAGGAAAGAGAAAATGAAGAGTAGAGTTCTTCTGGCAGCTGCCGCAGCTGCCAGAAGAATAAAATGAAGAAGAAGATGAACAGTGCACAAGGTTGCTGGGTTTTTGCAAGTTAGAGAGAAGGCTTGCTCTCTGAATCTGAGTTGCTCTCGTTAGGTAGGATAAGCCTCAATTTATAGCCGCTAGAAACCACCATTTTTCAAGAAACCCTAATGGCTTCTACCCATTTTGGCTAAGCTTTTTCCTCCTTTCTCCTCTTCTTCTTTGACTTCCCTATCTTGGCAAAAATTGCCTCTGTCTATTGGCACGAATTCAGGAAATTTGGGAGCTCAATGCCCCCTTTCCCGCAGCTATTCAGTGGGAACTTCCATTCTTGGCTACTGTTTTTTCTTCTTTCCTTCCCCCTTCTTTGGCCAAATCTGATGAAGGAAAGGAAGTGAAAATATATGCTGGTCCAAAAGGTGCTTCTGACAGCCTGCAGGCTAGTATTCCTTGGTTCTTTGAGCGTCTCTGGCTTGGAACTTGCTCCCTCATCTGCTGCAACCTCCAGCAGTCCTTGTTCAATGATTCTGTAAAACGTAATTTCTATTTTTTTAGCAAAGGGCTGTGGCTTTGTGGCTTATTTTGGAGTTTTATATGGGCCAAGGTGGTTCCCTAAGCAAGTGGGCCTTTTTGTTAAATATTGGGTTTTTTGGTTGTGTCCATAGGCTATTTTGCTTAGGCTATTGGGTTATTTTTCTCTCTTGTGCTCACCCACATGTTTGGGCCTAAGAAATGGGCTTGAGTCTCGAGGCTCCCAAGCAACCCGAGACTTTTCATTTCTCGGCTCATCAGTGGGCCTCATGTTGATTTATTACCATCCATGCCACAACCCACTCAAGCAAGCCCCGGGCATTTGAGTGGCTTGGGCTCACTTAGGCTTATAGCGTGGTTGGGTATGAGACAACGATTTCATGCTTGGCATGGCGTGTCGCTTGGCATGTTTTAATTTATTGTTCCTGAGAAGGGCTGTGATGTTTAATTTTGGTATGGGCTTGTAGACCCGGTATATTTTATCTCAACCCCTAGCGAATTTATTTATTTAGCGTGGCATGTGCATGCGGTGGGTTTTTGTGTACTCCGCTTTACGCTTGGACTGTCGTTCTGGGCTAATAATTTATTTGGGCCCAACCATGAATTTTTTGGGTCTCAACACCCTTCTCCTAGTTCACCTGACACGGCTCATTCCAATCTTCTTGATCTAGAATCAGCACGCCCATCATCTCACCCTGCCCCACCTCAGCTACCTTCCTATTCCAGCCGACCACCTACTGATTTGCTGTCCCCTTTTCATTCCATCTCTCCTGCCTCGATACTCACATGTACTCGTAATCCTACCCTTGCTATTTGTACCTTCCCCTCTCCTTCTACCACCCCGCCTAGTTCTCATTCCCATCTGGCTTTGGATTCCGCCTCTTCCTCTAATGCGCCACCTGGTACTTCTTCTCCTCCAACTTTGGTAAGTGCCCTTCCTCCTAGTAAGGTAACTCGGGCCATGAACGGCATCCAGAAACCCAATCCCAAGTATGCACTTATTTATGATGTCAATAACTTGTCTGTTGAGACTTCTTGTTACAGTCAGGCACATAAGTTTCCTGAGTGGTGTCAAGCCATGACTGAGGAGTGTACTGCCTTGCAACTCACTGGGACTTGGATATTGGTCCCATATCACTCTCTAATGAATGTTCTTCTGCATCAAAGGACGGTCAGATGGTACTATCGAGCACTATAAGGCTTGCCTTGTTGCTAATGGATTTCACCAATGGGAAGGTATTGATTATGGTGAGACATTCAGTTCTGTGGTCATTCATTCTACCATCTGTCTTGTTATTGCTTTGGTTGTTCATTTTCACTGGTCTATTCGTCAATTGGATGTTCAAAATGCTTTTTTGCATGGTTCTTTGACAGATGAGGTGTATATGAGTCAGCCTTCTAGTTTTATTGATCCTTAGAAACCTGATTATGTTTGCCACCTTAACAAATCCTTTGTATGGCCTTAAATAGGCTCTGCGTGCATGGGTTCAATGTTTTTCTTCTCATTTGCTGACATTGGGCTTTGTTGCCTCAAAAGATGATTATTCTCTCTTTATATTTACTGATGCCTCAATTTTCATTTATCTGTTGATTTATGTTGATGACATTCTGGTTACTGGCAATAATGATGCTAGTATTGCCTTGTTCATTGCTAGTTTGGCAGGTTGTTCTTTATGAAGAACTTAGGTCTCCTCCACTATTTTCTGGGCATGGAGGTGACTCATACTTCTACTGATGATCATTTGTCTCAGTCTAAATATATTTTGGATTTACTCAAGAAGATTAATATGGTTGATTGCAAGCCTGTGTCTACACCTATTATCTCTAGTAGACATCTTAGCCTTTTGGATGGTGAACCTTTCTCGGATGTCTCTTAGTATCGTAGTATTGCTGGGGCCCTTCAGTACCTTACCTTGACAGGCTCGGATATTGCTTTTGTTGTTAACCAAGTTTGTCAGTTTATGAATAGTCCTATCACTCTTCATTGGATTGCTGTCAAACAGATCCTCCATTATTTAAAGTCCACTTATGCCCATGGCCTCGTCTACAGACCCAGTACTATGGCTTTGACGACCTTTTCTGATGCCAATTATGCTAGTGATCTTGATGATCGTAAATCCACTAGGGGGTATTGCATTTATTTGGGTTCAAATTTGGTTTCTTGGAGCTCCAAGAAACAACGTGGTGTTTCTCGCTCAAGTACGGAGGCTAAATACCGTCAACTTGCCTACACAATAGCTGCTTTATCCTAGTTTCGTTCTTTGTTTGCTGACCCACGTCAACCTTTGTCTCATCCTCAGCTTTGGTGTGATAATATTAGCTTCATTTCTCTTGCTTCTAATTCTGTTTTCCATGCTTGGACGCATCATGTTGAGGTGGACTATCATTATGTTCGTGAACAGGTTGTTGCTCAAGCCTTACATGTTGGTTTTGTGGCCTCTCATGATCAAATTGCTGAAGTCTTCACTAAGGGGTTGTCGTTGCCTCATTCTCCTCCTTGATCTCCAAGCTTCGCATTGTTCCTTGCTCGCTTATAGGGATCTTGATTATGTAATTACTTGTAATTGATTGTAAAGTTATACACTTACCTTATGTATCTTGCTCCTTGTAAACGATATATATTGCAATATAAGCATGCTGGCTGTGGGTGTGCAGCAGCCTTTCATCCCTTGCTTGAGATTCCTTTCACCCTTCTTTCTTCTTATGCATCTATGGTAAGCCAATTCACAACGAAGAGAATGTCAATGAATGGAAGCTTAGCACTACTCACATATGTTTTAAGCACACCCACCAGATTAGGAGCAAATGGGAATGAAAGAAACGGAAACTTTGTCATTGCCATTCGCATTCTACTGGCATCTACTGCTACATTATTTCAGATTGATTGGAACTTTCAAGATTTAATTGCAAACAAGAAGTTCAAGATCAGCTGATTAATCAAATTAACAAAGTAAATTTTCATTGCAAAGAAGTATAAATGTGATGTACAAGTGTCCTCATTATAACATGTTCAATTTTAGTTCTCCGAGATTAGAATGACCGTAACATTCAAAAATTTCTCTGCTATTACAGACGTTAAACTTGAAGATTCTAAGCAGGTTATCTATTTGAGAAAGAGTGTTGCTATTTCTACCCCCTATCCTATTTCCCCACTCACCTTATTTTCAAAAATTTAAAGACAAATTTACCCATTTGTAAAATAACTTATAAGCACTATCTAATTTTTTGACACATGTCCAGTAACTTAACCTATACAAAAACTTCACAATTTTTAAATTTTGGATAAATTACTCAAATGATCCTCAAACTTATACTCGATTTACATTTTGATCCCTAAATTAAATTATTCGTTCAAATGGTCCATCAACTCTATATTATTCGCTCCATTGGTCCTACCGTTACATTCTGTCAATATTTCCATTAAATATGAGGGCAAATTGGTCATTATTTACCCTAAAATTAGGTTAAATTTAACATAAAATTAGACAGTAGGACCACTGGAGCGAATAATATAGAGTTGATGGACCATTTGAACGAATAATTTAGTTGAAGGACCAAAATGTAAATCTGGTATAAGTTTGAGGACTATTTGAGTAATTTACCCTTAAATTTTAATAACTAAAAAAGAAACAAAAACTTCACAACTTCACAACTTCAACCTTTAATCCTCTTTGGTTCCAGGGGGCCACCTCTCTAGTTTTCTCTTTCGGCTAATAAACCGGGCTCCTATCCCCTCGACATGTTGTGGAGAGCTTTCATCCCAGTTTTTTTGCTGAGTTTTGCTTCCTTTGCTTTTGCAAGGTTCTGATCTTTTCCCCAATTTTCTTGGGGTTTGCTCTCCAGCCTCTTTGGCTGGGTTTTTGAATCAATGTAGATTTGATGCCTTAATCTTTTGAGGATTTGGTTTGAAGTGGTTATTGGATCTATTAGAGTTTTGTTTCTTTTTGGAGGTGGAATTGTTATCATGTGGGTTTTTGGAGGAGTTGTGGCCTTCTCTGGCCGGTGAATGTTGAGCGGTAAGGCCCCTTCACTTTGGGTGCTTCTGGTTCCTTGTTAATGCAGAATTTGTTGGTCTTTTATGATCTTTTTGGAGCACTGGTATTGCAAGGAGCCTTTGGAAGAAAAGGGCGGGAAATATATACCTCAACTCCTCGTGACTCCGATTTAGGTGAAGCACCAGGTCTTGACACTGCACTACGCGCCCGCCTTCCAGATTTTGACTTCCCATTATCGTGTAGAAGCTCGAACCCCGTGTTGTGGGGAAGTGGTACTGTCACTTCGTGTTCATTAAGGACGGAACACCAAAAGATGAAATGAGTAGGACCAGGTTAACCGATTAATCAAACTATTAAAGCTTTAATCTATATCCCTATGATGTTTCAATTCAATCTCAGACACAGACGTTAAGCTTAAAAAAAGACCTTTTCAGCTTATGGTGATTGAGTAATGCGTGAACCTTCCTGGTAGGTCGTACAAAGAGCCAATGAAATTTGATTTGATTTGACTTCATGAACCCTATAATTAAATTAATACTCCTCGCAATCAAGCAAATTAATTACTCCTCCCTGGTATATGCTGCAAATTCTGAGTTAGCTTTGTTTGCATGACTAAAACAAATGTGGTACAAGGCATTTGAAATTCTTTGAGCCGGTGTCAAGAAAAGATTAACAACAGGAGACTCCATCAGTTTCTTAATTTTAAAAAATGAGTATTAGTCATGAACCTAGGAGTTTACGAACGTTCTCAAATGTTTGAAGTCACGAGACACAAGGAAATGCAATAAATAAATAATCTCTTGAATCAAATCGAAAGTGAGCTGGTCTTCGTTTTCTTATTCACCATCTCCTAATTCCTTTGGCAACAAGTAACACCACCCTATTGACACGTTGACACTGGCAACATAAGAAAATTAACTCTAATATTATCAGCACATAACAATTTAAAAAAAATTAGAATTAGATTAACTATGAACGTAGGAGTTTGTGTTCTTAGAAGTTTGACTTCATGAACCTATAATTAGTCCCCAATGATCCATGGAGATTGGCATAGTTGTAATTCATCAATTGGAATATTTTTTATTTTTCATTTTTTAAATAGGTAGATTTCATTCCATTGGAAAGTGGGAATAATGGGCATGTTATGCGTGGCCTCGTTAAAACCTTCTCGGAGAAAACCACATGGGAAAAACCCCGAGTAGGAAAGAATACCACACATGCCGAAGAAGTATAAAACTAGAAATAAATTACATAACATCAATGAACAAAACTTCCTGTAGGAAATTTGGTGGATCAATAACCCATTCCGCCACTCTCTGGGAGTACAGAGTATAGTGAGCCAAGTGAATTGCAACCCTATTAGCATTCCTTTCCGTATACCTCAAACAGACACTCTCTTGTCTGGCCAAAAGTGTTTTACAATCCTCAATTAAGCATCCTAAGTGGGACAGATTAGCTTGGCCCTGTATTTTTCTTTTATCAAATAATTGTTTTTTGGATATGTATTTCATTAGATTGGTTGGAATTTTCAAGATTAGCTGTCCACAAGAAGATAAGGTTAACTCCGATTATATTAAATTATAAGTTAAAATTTATCATTGTAGAGATGAGTAATAACATACACCCCCCAACAGACAGACATTAAGCTTAAAAAAGACATTATGGTGATTGAGAAATGCATGAACATTTCCTGGTAGGTTCTACAAATTCTGACTTATCTTTGCTGCTTGTATAGTATTATTTTATGTCTGAAAAGGACCAATGGAATTTGATTTGATTTATATAAGAGTAGAACAATGACATTTGAAGTATTTTAAGAGCCGGACAAGAAAATGAACTCTAATAATGTTGAGTAAAATTTTAAGCTACCCCAACAATTTATAAATACTCTCAGCACATAGGAGTTTATGTGGAGGTTTTCTATTTAAACCCCACACTTCTCTTAGTTCACCCCATGTTCTAAGTTCACCCCAACTTTTAATTTAAATTTTCACAATTTCTAAGTAAACCCCACTATCTTCCCAAACTACCCTTAAATACACCCCAAACTGAAAAAATAAGAAATAAAAGAGATTTTCTATTTAAACCCCTTCAAGTTTCAAACTGATATAAATTGTTGTTGCTTCCTATTATTCCTTGAGTTTTGCAGTGCATTGATTCCAACCTCTGAAGTGGTTGTCAATGAACAAGTAGAAAAGGAAGAGGAAAAGGGGGTCGAAGAGTGGTCGTCAATCAACAGTCATCAGGAAGATTGAAAATTCAAGAGTTGGTGCTAGTTCTTCCAAGACATCAAAAGACAGCATGACTCCTCTAAGAACTCCAACTACGGTGTGTCTCCCAATTTCTTTGAATTTTTTCTAAAAGCATCTCCAAAGATTTGCAGTTTTTCCAACAGTGCTTACTGCTAAAGAGTTTATCTTTGGAACTGCAGGTATCTAAGAATGAGGTGCACAAGCGTTGTACAAAAATTCAAGTTACCCCATACTTTCTAGAGAAAGAGAACAGTTTTACCAAAACATCAGGTATAAATTTAAATCAAAAATCAAAACAATCAAGCAATAGCCAATAGCCAAAAAAAAAAAAAAAAAAAAAAAAAAAAAAAACAAACGAAGGGAAGAGAATAAGATCATTATAGCGAAACAATCAACAAGTCTTTCCATCAACTTCCGCGCAGATTTCAAAGAGGTAGGATCGTCAATGTTCTACGTCTTTAAAAAAGAAAATTAATTTGGCATAGGATGTAGAAGAGTTTGTATTTTTTTTAAACTTAATTTGAAGAGTTGTGGGGTGTGTGTATAGATATATTAGGGTTAAGTATTAAGTTGGATAACTTTTTTTGTCTTTTTACACAATAATAAAATTTACAGCTTAATGATTTAAGTATTGGGGTGAACTAAGAGAAGTGTGGGGTTTAAATAGAAAAAATCTTTATGTGCGTTCTTATGTGAAGACATTTTCATCAAGCAAATTTAAAGCTAGCTGGTCTTCCTTTTCTTGTTTGTTGTCTTCTAATTCCTTTGGTAACAAGTAAACCCCCACCAAAATGTATGTGACAAAGCCTGTGTCTGTGTATAGAAGGTCTCCTGAGTCACTGTCGTTGCCACCACCGGCAGGTCCAAATTCTGGTTATCTTGTTCTCCATGACGACGAATCGGTGGAGATAACATACTGCGGATGTGGTGATGACTGGGTTAAAGACCTACCTTTCCCTCAGAACAAGGATCTAACAGTTTGATATGGCTCGGATGAAGACGACGTTACATTCATCCCAGTGCTTAATCAGCCCTTATCTTCCAATAGATACCATGTGATACTTCGGAGAGGGAACCATAAAGGGTAAGCATAAATTTATAAATATTCATATGATTAATTTTCACGAGGCAGTGTTACTGTCACACTGAAATGTTCTCTATACAGTTCAATAGCGGTGTTGAGTTTAATTTGCAGGGAAGCGTGCACAAACTCAAGGGAAGAGGACATGGATATTGACTGTTGCGGTTGTACCAATGTTCCAGATGCTAAACCAAAACCACTGGAACCATCAGACGTAAACCAGCAAGTTGAGATCGTTCCTAGGAGGGTCGTATCGTAGAGGTTTCTTTGTTGCCAAATATGTTGATCCAGATGGGTTTCCTCCTTCCTTCTTGAGGAGAAAAGGGTGGACTGTGACCATGCACACACCCCGTCATTACTGATTGAGTGAAGCCTCAAGACTTAACTCCTCACTACAAGCAAGGCTTCCGGGGTTCGATTTTCCACTATCACATGATTGCTCTGAAGCTGTGTTTTTTGGCAAGTGGTATTGTCCTTTCATGTTTGTCAAGGAAGGAGGGGTGAGGCTGAAGGACCAAACGACAAAATGCATGTTCTATGAAACTAGACTTGAGCAAAGATGGGAAAAGATTTTTGATAGCGTTAACGAAAATGTTGAGGGAAAAAATAAAGGTGGCTGTGTTTGTGGATGCCTTTGTTCAAAGAGAGGTGGTTTTTGTTGGTGGAAGTGAGGCTATTTGGGATGAAAGAAATGTGAGTGGTGAAGGGTTCATGTTGTTTAAGAGTTTTGATGGTGTGAGAGGAGAAACAGGTGTGGGATATATTGAGCATGAAAGTTGTAGAGAGAATGAAATGGGAACAAGAAATAGTTGGATGGGTTGGTGGGAATGAAAGACGAGTGAGAGTGGAGAGAGTAGAAGAGTTTGGGGGGGGACAGGAGGCAGGTGGAAGAGATTTGGTTGTTATCTGTTGGTAGAGAGGTTTGTCTTGAAGAGAATGTCAATGAATGAAAGCTTAGCACTACTCACATATGATTTCAAGCACACACACCAGATTAGGAGCAAATGGGAATGACAGAAACTTAAACTTTGTCGTTGCCATTCTCATTCCGCTGGAATCTACCTCTACATTTTAATTTGATTGGAACTTTCAAGAATCTGCCCACAAGAAGTTGAAGATCAGCTGATTAATCAGATTAGCAAAGTAATTTTCATTGTAATGAGTATAGATTTGATGTATAAGTGTGTTCATTATAATATCTTCAACTTTTAGTTGTTCGCAATTAGTGTAACCTAAACTTGTAAGATGACTTATGTGAGTTGGCACAATCACATGTTGTATTTATCATATTAGAACAAGATAATAGGGTTTGTATTGATCAGTTGTACTAAGACTCCTAGTTTTGACAGACTTGGTAGCTATATTATATTGATAAGGACTCAATTGCTTACGTTTATTAGTTTGTTTAAACACTAACTCTATCTATAATAGGAGAGATATGGTTAAGTTTTTATCAATATAAAAGGACCTGATCCCTGCACTCACAAGTCGCCAAGTTCTATTTTGGGCTTGACCAGCTAGAACATATTGAGACTTGTAGAGAGTAGAAGATCGTTCTTGTTTCATCTATGTATTCCTTGACAAGTATGTATCAGTAGTGAATCTGTTGTTAATGTTGCATAAGTCTTATGTTGTAATCCTTCGTGATGTTGATATGCCGCTATAGGTGCATTCTTACAAAACTCACAAAAATTTATCCACAAACAAACATCAAACTTGAAGACTTAATGCACCTTTCCAAACAGATGCTGCTTATTACTAAAAGACATTGAGACATTAAGCTTGTAGAGCTTGCTAGTGTAGGGTGATAAGGAAATGTGCGAACCTTCCTGGTATATGCTACAAATTCTGACTTGGCTTCGGTTTGAGCCGGAAGGACAAACAAACACCAACAGCAGACCAGTCAAGATTTGACAACACAACCACCACAACCAAACCCCCCCACCCCCAAACAAAAAACAAATAAAAGGCAAGATAAGATTAAGGCATAATTAATAGTGGAAAAATCTCCATCAGGAGTTAACGTACGTTCTTAAATGTTTGAAGTCATGGAACACAAGGAAATGCTATAAATAAATAATCACAGAAATCAAATTTTCATCAAGCAAATTGAAAGTGAGCTGCTCTTCCTTTTCTCATTCACTCTCTTCTAATTCCTTTGGCAACAAGTAACACCCAACTAAATGTATGTGACAAGGCCCCTGTCTATGTATAGAAGGTCACCTGAGTCACTGTCCTTACCACCCCCAGAGGGGCCAAATTCTGGTTATCTTGTGCTCCATGATGAAGAATCCGATGAGGTATCATGTTGCGGATGCATTGATAACCGGGTTAGAGACACGCCTTTCCCTCAGAATGAGGATCTAACAGTTGGATATGGCTCAGATGACGACCCTGTTGCATTCATTCCAGTGCTGGATCAGCCCTTGTCTTCCAACAGATACCATGTGATCCACCGGAGAGGGAGGCATAAAGGGTATATATATGCATCTTATAGACACTATTCTTATGATTTATTTTCACGCTACCGGGTCACACAGAAAAAAACTGAACTTAATTTGCAGGGAAGCATGCACAAATTCAAGGGAAGAGGACATGGGGACTGGCTTTTTCAATAGACGCTCTGTTCGAGATGTTAATCCAAAACCGTTGGATCCATCAGACATATATCAGCAAGTTGAGATACTTACTGGGGATAACTACTACAAGGGTAGTTTTACTGCCAAGTCTGTTGCTCCAGATGGGTTTCCTCCTAAATTCTTGAGGACAAAAGGGTGGATTGTGACCAGGCGCACACCTTATGATTACCAATTGGGTGAAGCCCCAGGGCTCAACTCTTCACTACGAGCAAGCCTTCCAGGGTTCAATTTTCCACTATCACATGATTGCTCTGAAGCGGTGTTTGTAGGTAAGTGGTATTGTCCTTTCATGTTTGTCAAGGAAGGAGGGGTGAGGCTGAAGGAACAAATGAAAAAATGCATGTTCTATGAAATACGACTTGAGCAAAGATGGGAAAAGATTTTCGATAGCGTTAATGAAAATGTTGAGGGGAAAAATAAAGGTGCTGTGTTTGTGGATGCTTTTGCTCGAAGAGAGGTGGTTTTTGTTGGTGGAAGCGAAGCTATTTGGGATGAAAGAAATGTAAGTGGTGATGGGTTCATATGGTTTAAGAGTTTTGATGGTGTGGGAGGCGAAACAAGTGTAGGGTTGAGCATGAAAGTTGTGGAGAGAATGAAATGGGAGCAAGAGAGAGTTGGATGGGTTGGTGGAGATGAAAGGCAAGTGAGAGTGGAGAGGGTGGAAGAGTTTGGAGGGACAGGAGGCATGTGGAAGAGATTTGGTTGCTATGTGTTGGTAGAGAGGTTTGTGTTGAAGAGAATGTCTGTGAATGGAAGCTTTGCGCTACTCACATATGATTTCAAGCACGCACACCAGATTAGGAGCAAATGGGAATGAAAAACTTTGCCCTACATTTTCCAAGATTCGTCTACATCCCATGTCCATGTAACGGAATGCCATAGTTGTATATGGAGATTGCTTTGCTGGTTCAAATGTTACCTCTTTGATGATATAATGACTATTATATACTTGAATTACTTAACACTTCAATTTAAAAAAAGAGAGAGTTTATAGGATGCCGTACATTGCCATTTGTAAACCAGCATGAGATGATTGAAGGTTTACTTCTTGCAATCACCATTAGATGGTTAAAGATGAGCTAACAGCGTATTTTAAGAAGCTAATGTTAGTAGAATGATCGAATCAGTTATTAAGACATTTTATTTTTCATATACTTAATAATGAAAACTAAAGGATCGAAGTTTATATTCCTAACTTAATTACATTATATTTTAGATAGGTGACTGGTAATAATTGGTCTGCAATGTGTAGTAATCAAACAAATCCCTTGGGGGATAATGAGATGATCGGTCATAATTTGAATCCCTTCAATTAAAAAAGAAAAAAAAGTAAAAAAGGAAAAAAAAGAGCCTCTGGGGTTAGGCCCATATAATGTAACTGAGCCCAAATATAAATGGCATTGTTTGACTTGGGCTTTAACCCATAACCGCGTGATTTTCCCAACCCTATATATTTGCGCTACGTAGTGCCAACTAATTTACGGTTGTGTCACTGCACTATACTAGAGTGTCGGAATCTCTCCCTATATAAGCCAGCCGCCTACCAAACTGCAAAATCCACTTCCACCTGCTTCTCTCTCCGATTCATTTCGAGGCGGGAAAAACAAAACCTACTCAGAACTGAAACATAAATTATTTAAAAACAAATATAGAAAAGTAAAAGAAAGACAGAAAGATAAAAGCTATTACTTCAACAGTTTAAATCGGATTAGGGTTTCGGTTTTGGAGTTACGATGGCGAATTTCAATATCGTCGTCGATGAAGATCAGCAATGGCTGCTCAATTGCTTGTCTGCTACTCTCGACCCTAATCACGAGGTTCGCTCATTCGCCGAAGCTTCGCTTAATCAGGCTTCTCTGCAACCAGGTCCCTCACCTGAAACCCTCGCTTTAATTTTAGCTTTCTCCTTTTTCATTGTTCCATTTTTATCTGCAATCAACACCCTTTGACGAAATTTGAATAAAATGAATTGTGGTTTGGCTTTTCTCATGCTAGGACACAAGCTGCGCTTTAGTTTTAGTTTTAGTTTGATTGGTCATTTGAAATTCTAGCTGAAATGAGGAAAAATGAAAAATGAAAAATGAAAAAAATGAAATTCTATATGAATGCACCTATGAGTTGGTCGCAAATCTAGTTGGTGGAGTGAATATTCTTTTGCATTCCATATTTGATTTCGTTATTCTGCTTATGGATCACGGCAACATTTAGGAATTGTTTGACGGGTTCTAATTGACTGAAGGTTTTGGAAGTGCGTTATCCAAGGTTGCTGCTAACAGGGAGCTCCCATTAGGGTTGCGCCAGATATCCTTTTTTATTATTATGGTTCTTTATGTACCATCACAAGCTTCTATTTTTATTTTATTTTTCTAATTTTGATTCTGTAGTTTATAGTTAAATATCTTCTCTTGCATGTCTCATCTTTGATAACAGAACAGGGATTAGGAAGTTGCCTGTTTATTAGTGCCATCGTCTTCTTTGCTCTCTTCTTTGTCTTCATTGTTTTATTCTTCTATGAGGAAAATGTAAAGCAAATGCGAGGTTGATTTTTTGCTTTAACCCATTTTCCCCTAAAAGATGAAAAGATGTGCAGGAGCTATATTTTGCATGCTGGCTTTGGTTAAGGTCTCACTGTTGCATGCAGCAGGGATTTTCTTTTTTTTCTTTCATTTATTCTCTTGTGAGGCTTAACATACTTGTACCTAGCTGCTGTCCTTCTTAAGCAGTTTATTAAGAAACACTGGCATGAGGCTGAGGAAGCATTTGAACATCCTGCTGTTTCAAGCGATGAGAAGGTATTTTCAGCTGTTGACATCTTTGGTATTTGTACTTCTATTGAAAGAGGATCCTTTTTCTTGAGCAATGAGCCTGTCATGTTTCACTAATTTTAATTACCTACCTTTGTATTTGTTGCTTTTTTTCCCCCTCTTTTCCCTACGTTGCTCTGGAGTTATCACTTATATGTTTACATATGTTTTTAGGGCTTACTAGTACACAAGTTTTTCTGCCTTCTAATTAGGTCATTTTTGCATTTTCAGGCAGTTGTACGCAGACTTCTGTTGTTGTCTTTGGATGATTCTCACAGGAAAATCTGTACAGCAATTAGTATGGCTGTTGCATCTATAGCAGTTTATGACTGGCCAGAGGTTTGGCCTGACTTATTACCGTACCTAATGAAGTTGATAAATGATCAAACTAATATGAATGGAGGTAAGCCTTCATTTGGCCTCTCTCTCTCTCTCAATGTGTAACCATACAGCACTAATTTGAAATTTCTATCTTTCTCATAAGGTTCTCAAGTTAGTGGTATTGCCTAGGGTAGTTGTTGGGGCTGTTTTATATTTGGGAGCTTAATAAGTTCGTTGCTGAAGATTTGTATTTGTTCTCAAATTTTGTAGTACATGGTGCTCTAAGGTGCTTGGCTCTTCTGTCTGTTGACTTGGATGATACAGTGGTTCCAACATTAGTACCAGCCTTGTTCCCATGCTTGCTTAAAATTGTATCATCTCCTGAGGTTGGTTTTTAATTTTTAATTTTATAATAAATTTATTTTTAATTTTTTTATAATTTTATAAAATTGTTTTATTTTTCATTGAATTGTCATTCATTCAAGATCTTATTAGCACCTGTGCTCCATTTTTTCAGTAGTTGCTTCTCAAAAGAAAGGGAATTAAAGCTTCTATGTAGAATGTCTGTTATGTGAGCCTGTGTGAATATTTCCATGTTCTTGTACACATAAACTGTGGTTTCTGAATTTTTTTCAGGAGGAAACAGTTTTCATGAAATTTGAGGCACTTTTCAGTAACTGAGTTGTTACCAATTTGAGATGTTTCGGAAAGATTTATATTTCATGTCCACATGCATTTTTGTTGCACATTTTTTGGGGGTTTCATATATGTCTTCTCATGAATGGACCTAAGCTATCTTATGCTTGATATCTTTTTGGCTGCTCGCCTCCCTTGACTTGTATCATGAGGGACAGATAGTGCTTCCTGTTTTATATATACAGACGTCAAATTTGTGGATATTTGGTTTCTTGAATACAAGCATCCTTCCATTTATTCTGTGCTTTGATGTGAGATTTGTTTGTGCAGATGTATGACAAATATTTACGCACAAAAGCTCTTTCAATTGTTTATTCTTGTATCTCCATGTTGGGGGTGATGAGTGGTGTATATAAGGTATTCTCTTGTCTATTCTAATTAACTTCCCAGGATATGATGTGTGGTATATTAAGCTTCTTCTATTATGAATTAACAGATTAAGATGTTTATGTTCAGACGGAAACCAGTGCATTAATAGTGCCAATGGTTAAGCCATGGATGGATCAATTCTCTAAAATCCTCAATCATCCTCTGCAATCTGAAGATCCCGATGATTGGAGCATAAGAACGGAGGTTGCTTTGGTTGTTTGATAAAAAATCTGTCATGATGTGTATACTCTAATTAGAATGGGGCATATGATTTGTGGTTTATTTGTGCCTTTATCATTAGGTATTGAAGTGCTTGAATCAGTTTGTTCAGAACTTTCCTAGCCTCATTGAAAGTGAATTTATGAGTAAGTTATTCATTCTTGTCAACCAATGAATCAGACGTAAACCATATACATTCTTGTTCTGCTCATTGATAAGTCTAGTTTTCATATATTGTGCTGAATAGACCTTGTTTATTGCAGTTATTGTAGGACCATTGTGGCAAACCTTTATGACTTCTCTTGGAGTATATGTGCGATCATCTATTGAAGGTACAGAAGATCCATTTGATGGAAGATATGATTCTGATGGGGCCGAGAAAAGCCTTGATTCCTTTGTCGTCCAGGTAGTTAATCTATGGCATTTGCAGATATTATCTTATGCGCTTGTACGCCGCTCAAAATGATCAAAATTGCTTTATTTTGATGCACTATTCTCCCCCCTCCCCCTTCTCTTCTCTCTCTTCTTTTAGTTTGCGGAGATTTGTTTCTAACTTAAATATTTTGCATACATAGTTGTTTGAGTTTCTGTTGACCATTGTGGGTAGCGCAAAATTGGGAAAGGTATGCTTCAAAGATTTTGAAACCCATTTCTACTTGTTTCCTTCCTTATAGCCTACCTTCTTTTATCATAGTAAGGTCCCTTTGCTCCCCTTTTCTTGTAGGTCATTATGAATAATGTGGAAGAGTTGACATATTACACCATCGCTTTTCTCCAAATAACAGAACAACAGGTGGGTTTTTGCTTTGCTCTTCTTTTGTCTGTTCCTTGTTTGTACATCTTATGTAATGGACTGAATGGTCCAGCAGAAAAGGTGTTCAATTTGTTCATATTCAGATCATAGTGTTAATGAACTCCAAATTCTTTTGCTTGAAAATTAAACACCTTAATGGTCTTAAATTCTCTTTGCATAGAATAACTGAAGATAAAATTGTCTCTGTAGTTCATTAAAATGTCTCTCTTATCTGTATTTCATAAAGACGTTAACATGGATATGGACTTCTTGTTTAGCTCTTATTGTTCTTCCTTCTCCATAATAAATACTTTTGTCTTATCCAAAAGAAAAATGGTCTCACTTACCTTCATATTCTAAATCTACTTTTCTGTCTTGTTTAACTTGTGGTTATCATCATCCCTCTGGTTTTCTAGACTTCCATTTTCCAAATGATCATTTCCTTTGACTCCAAACTGTATCACGTCCTCAGGCATCTTAATTTGATTTTGGAATTTCGGTTCCTTTCATCAAGATTACTCTTTATTTGATCCCACCATATAATCCACCTTCCTCAAGATGGCTCTCTATTTTGCTATGTGAGACTAAACACTGAAACCCACTTAATTCATTATAATTATTTAACTCATATGTGCCCCTAAGTTGTTGTCATCTCATTTAATGCCTTCTTTCTTTTTTCTTTTTACTTGCTGAGGACATAATTCCTCCTCTAGTATTATATATTATATTTGAAATCTCATGTCTTCTTGTGCTATTATAACCTTCAGTTGAATGATTTTTATTTCTAGTATCATTTGTTGTTTTTTAATTGTCATTTTGTTTTAGGTTCATACTTGGTCAATGGATGCCAACCAATTTGTAGCTGATGAGGATGATGTTACTTATAGCTGTCGTGTTTCTGGTATGCTTACATTATGCATCTCACATGCTTGTTAATTCTTCTTATGGCATGGGTCAGTTTGTTAGTTGGAACATCATAAGTGCAAATGATGTTGAATTTAGAGGAAAACATTGAACTTATCATGAAATTGAACTGATATGGCATATATCTATGAACAATCAGTCTGTCCAGAAAGCATCTGGTTTTATCATCCTTATTGAAAATCAGTATGCCAACAGTTTCCAAAAGTTTGAAAACTAACTCAATTTTGGATGGAGAAAGACCATTATACCCTCATCTTGATCAATGTCTACCCATGCAAAAAGGGTTAGTCTTCTAACTTCTGAAAAAAGTAGTCATTTTTGGATAATGATTTTTATTTTGAGTCACTTCACCCTAAAACTCAGCATTTTGGCGGAACCCAGACCTAGAACTACCACCTTCCCACTCCACCCAAATGCCACTTGAGCTAGAACTCATGGGTAGCGGAACGATTACTGATGATGAGGGGTATAATCTGTGTGTGTTATTCTAGCAATAGTAGTTGTTGATTTGTAACCTTCAATATGCCATGCGCTCTTCTCCTTTCCTTTTGAAGATTATAATTTTGAATTTATTGTAAAAATTTATTGCTCTGTATTTGGTTGCTTGTTAAGCATAGCATGTTCTGCAGTGGGCCTCAGAGAATCCCTGGCAATCTAAGAGAAGTGGAATATGTGATTGTACAGATCATTTGACTGCATCTCACTGTTATCAGCTTTAGAAGTGGAATGACATGTTTCTTCTGACGTACTTGAGCTTTTAATAGCACTTTTTCTTTCCAGGTGCACTTTTGCTTGAAGAAGTGGTGAATTCATGTGGTACAGAAGGAATCAGCGCCATCATTGAGGCCGCAAAAAGCGTTTTAGTGAGTCTCAAAGAGAAAAGGATGCTGGTTCTCCAATTTGGTGGAGAGTAAGTAGAAATTTTTCCCTATGTTTGTTCAGTTTTCTCCTCTCTTAACTTTCCCCCCTTCTTTTGGGTTGTATGTACTATCAGATAAGGGAGGCTACTCTTTTTGCTTTGGCTTCTCTATCAGAACAATTGCTTGAAGCAGAGGTTTGTGCTTTTTTGTTTGTTTTGAAGGGGTAGTTATTGTGTTTTGTTAAGGTTCTGATGATTGGCGCATCTTCTTTTCTTCATGAAAGTTATGCAATTCCTATTTGGAAGTTGGTATACTATGATTAATTTTAGTTTACAGGATTCAGAACTGACAAGAGTTGGCTCAGGAAACCTACTGGAGCAAATAATCACGGAAGACATTGGATTAGGTTATCACTTCTCTGCAATAACCCCCCTCTCCCCTTTTTTGTCTAAAAAAAAGAGAAAAAATAAAAGGTTCATTTCATTCATCAGTGAATACTTTCTGTTTTGCAGATGTACATCAATATCCCTTTCTATATTCTCGTATCTTTTCATCAGTTGCTAAATTCTCCTCTGTGGTAACTTTGCAATATTTCCTTATCTATTTTGAAGTTAGATCATTTGGAAATATCTTTATAACATTTCTAATATTTTACAGATCAGCCATGGAGTTCTTGAGCACTTTCTCTATGCTGCTATCAAAGCAATTAGCATGGATGTGTAACTTTCTCTCCCTCTCTGATATATGTATGTACATGAGTAACTTGTATCAAATATATATTTTCTTGACATTGTTCTGTTGTCAGGCCCCCACCTGTCAAAGTAGGTGCCTGCAGGGCTCTTTCTGAGCTCCTACCTGAAACAAATAAAGTTATAATTCACCCACATCTGATGAGTTTGTTTCAATCACTGTCAGATCTTCTTAATCAGGTAATTTACAGCGAGCATAAACCTTAGTTTTATTGTTGTACTTGTTTTAAGAATGTACTGTAATTCTGGTTTCAGGCATCTGATGAAACCTTGCACTTGGTACTTGAAACACTGCAAGAGGCAATTAAGGCCGGTAAGTTTTAAAGGTAGTATGAATATTATCATTTCCTTTTATCTTGATGGAGTTGGTTGAATTTGTAAGCTTGCTATATATTATATTTTGCCCTTTTATTGTATCCTCTTTTACATTTAATAGGTTATCTGTCTCCATGCTTTGTTTTACACTAATGATAGGTTACGAATTATCGGCATCAATAGAGCCTATCATCTCTCCTGTTGTCCTGAACATGTGGGCATCACACATTTCTGATCCTTTTATCTGTATTGATGCAATTGAAGTTATGGAGGTAATTATGTGGAGCATTGTTGGTAATAACATATTTAAATGCCCACTTACAATGTTTGAGTGTACATACAAACATTTCACTTATATATTACAATTAATCATGCAGATTGGGTGGTCGATTAGTTAAATGATTTTCATGATCTACTTTTTAAATTAACCGTACTGTTGTTTTTTAATTAACTTACTCCAGACACTGAAGAATGCTCCTGGTTGTATTCGTCCTCTGGTTTCTCGAGTTTTACCATGTGTTTGGCCAGTCCTGAATAAAGTATGGGTTGTAAGAGTGTCTGTAATATGGATTTATATTCTCATTGTGCTTTTTTTGGTGGGTTGTGGGGAGAAAAGTATTTATTTTTGATACATCTTGATGGTAATTTTCAGCCCCAACAGCAGCCTGATGGATTAGTAGCTGGATCAGTGGATCTGGTAACAATGTTATTGAAAGTGAGATATACTTCATTGGATATTCATCCCTTATTTTCCTCGGCTCTTGGCTTTCCTGTTTTATCTTTAGACAGCATCTTGGTTGTATTACCACAGTTTTAATTAAAGTTTGCGATAGCGTTGGTGCAGAATGCTCCTATTGATGTGGTGAAAACAGTATATGATGCCTGTTTTGATACTGTTATACGAATAGTCCTTCAAAGTGACGATCATAGTGAAATGCAGGTAATCTTCTACTTCTCTCTCTCTCTCTCTCTCTCTCTCTCTCTCTCTCTCTCTCTCTCTCTCCCATAACTAAGTTTGAAGCGCCACTACATATCTAATATATGTCAATGACTCAAGTTTGTTGTGACGACTTTGGCTAGAATGCAACGGAATGTTTAGCTACTTTTGTATCTGGTGGAAGACAAGATGTGCTTGCTTGGAGTGGTGATTTGGAAAATACAATGAGAAGATTGCTTGATGCAGCATCAAGGTAACCAGCTTCTTTTTCAAACTGCATTTTTGTGTTTCATAATGTCTTGCAAACTCTTGTTTAGTTCTTTGGTTCAAATTTGCCATGTGCTTAGTGGTCTCAACTGGAAATGGAGTGCTGATGGGTACCCTTCCTCAAAATCTCTGTTAGTGGGGGACCTGTTTTGTTTTTATTTTCATGACATTTTCTTTGAGGCCATTCTTGTTTGGAGGTTAATAAAGCCAATGCGTACTTGTTCACCATTGTGATGGATTCAACCAATGATGCTCTGCAAGTTTCTGCTTTATATGAAAATTACATGTTTTCTTGCATGCAGAAAATAAGTCAGGTTCTGATGATATTCCTTATATACTTTCGGATTTCGTTTTGGTAGAGCATTGAATTTATTTTGTTTTTTAAAGAGTGATTGATCATCACAATAATATCCATAGGATTTTTGTGGACACTAGTTACTGAAAGCTGGATGTTTCAAAACTGAGTGCAGGCTTCTAGACCCTGATTTGGATAGCTCTGGTTCTCTTTTTGTTGGGAGCTACATTCTGCAACTTATTTTGCATCTGCCATCACAGATGGCACCCCATATTCGAGACCTGGTTGCTGCTCTTATTAGGCGCATGCAATCTGCTCAAATAGCAGGATTGAGAAGCTCACTGCTACTCATTTTTGCTCGATTGGTATGTATCTCAACTGTTCATCTTTGTGAGTTCCTTTGGTGGCCACTTTTTAGCTTATTGTGACACACTAGTATATAGTTTTATTTGATGCTTTAATGATGTCAAGTAGAATTATAATTCATGTATAAACTTTTGTTCTTTGAAGGTTTCACTTATTTTATCCCTAGTGCATAACAAGATTTTACGTTGTGAATATCCTACAGTCAATTTCATATACCATGCTTATTTCCCAATGCGAGTACTTCTTTAGTCGGTTAATGTTTGCAGCCTTTACCTTACCAAAGTCTTCCTCATCTTTACTTTGCATTTTATGTTATATTTTAACTGGTCTAGTATGGATCAGGCATAACTAGCCATACCTTATATGGATTAATTTTTTAATTTTGTATTTAATAGGTCCACTTGAGTGCCCCTAAAGTTGAACAGTTTATTGACCTCCTGGTCACCATCCCAGCTGAAGGCTATGATAATTCTTTCATCTATTTAATGTCAGAATGGACTCAGCAGCAAGGTATGTTTTTCATATTATTGTTTACTTGTCAATGTCATATAATTGGAGCTGGGTCAAAATGCAAATTTGGACTGGAATTCTCTGATTGATGCAACATATGATTTATTAAATGTAATTGCTCAAACCCAATCCTTTCCCCAGCAAAAAGTTGCATCTTATCTAATCTTCAGTGCATGATCAAATTTCCGATGTGTATGCTCAGTTGCATCTCAAATCTGTAGTCTTGGGTTATAGATTGAAGATGAGTTTTTGAATTGGATGTAATATCAAGAGGTGGCTAAGTGACAACATAATCAAAATCCAATGTGTATGGCTAAGTAACATCTAATACGATTACAATTATTTAATATTTTCACTTAGTAGTTAGCAGAAGAGGCTTTGAGCATACACATGTGCAATCATTTAATCTGTATTTGTATCTTGTTTAAATAAAATTTTGTCTGAGCCATTTAATGTTCAGAAGAGGCTATGTGAGAGTGATATAATATATTTCTCCACATGTTAACTGAGTGCAGGTGAGATCCAGGGGGCTTACCAAATTAAAGTCACTACTACTGCTTTGGCCTTATTACTATCATCTAGGCATGCTGAATTAGCGAAAATTAATGTGCAAGGATATTTATTTCAGGTTCTACTGAAACTTTTTAATTTCGTGCACATGTTTATTTTCTCAAATGCGCTTGTTGATTCAAGAACTTGCTCTTCTTGCTTTTCTAAAGTCTGCTGCTGGAATAACCACTCGCTCAAAAGCTAAATTAACTCCAGATCAGTGGACTGTGGTGCCACTTCCTGCAAAGGTATTTTTATTTATTTATTTATTTATTTTTTGACAAACAGAAGATTAATTTGGGGCTGAGAAAGTTGTGACTGTAGAGGACTTTGCTATGCTAGAGTTGTCATAGCAAGCAACTTTTGCATGGCCTAAGTACCATGACGGTTATATATGGTGCCTAGTCCCCTAGGGGAAGCTTTAAAGGCAGACTTTCTTTTGTCTCCTAATAATTATGTTTCAGTGTAACCTTATTTTGGTTAGTGCACGATTGTGCCTGGCTTGATGACTTTAGCCATTCTACAAGGAAGTTTGTCATTAACGCTTGTGCTTTCGGCAACCTTCAGGTTCAGTTTTAGAAGCCTTTTCTCATTCTCCTGCCCCTTTTTGTTTGTGCAGATAATGGCTTTACTGGCAGATGCATTGGTTGAAATCCAAGAACAGGTTGTAGCCGGTGATAATGAGGTAATTAATCATTTGCCAAAGATTACTTGGGTAACAATAAACGTTAAGCTTTGAACCAATTCCTGCTGCAGGATAGTGACTGGGAAGAGGTTGAGGCAGACGATGTGGAACTTGATAAGGACTTGATGTATTCAGCTGGTGTTACATCCTCCGGCAGACCCTCACACCAACATCTTGAAGCAATAGCAAAAGCATTTAATAAGGTACTGTGTTGTTACTCGTATATTTATTGAAATTCCTCAGGATAACTTACCAAACTTGGCATGTTCTGAAAGGATGAGGAGGAGGATAGGTATGAAGATGATCAACTAACTGTGGCTGATCCCCTTAACCAGGTATCTTGTGGACCTATTTACATTTGCTGAGCATCATAAGTCATTTGAAATATATTAACTATTTCATAACACCTTACAGATTAATCTAGCGAACTATCTTGCGGAGTTTTTCGTAAACTTTTCTCAGAGCGAAAGACAAATGTTTGATCATATTTTCCAGGTGAACTTCAATAATCCATTTCATTCCGATTCAATCAGTCGAAAGCATTTACTAAAAGTGACTCAATTTTTGTACCCAAAGAAAAGTGAATTCGACTCTCCTTTGATCTGGTGTAGTTATGCATGACTGCTGAGAATGTAATATCTTGTATTTTTTTCAACTGCAGAGCCTGACGCAGGATCAAAGGAATGCTATTCAAATGGTACGAGCTCTGTGAAGATTTTAGTGGCTGTGTTAAGGTTGGATTGTTTGCTCCTAAGCCAGCCATCGTCCAATTGTTTTCATAAAGGAAAAGATTATTAACCCCCAAGAAAGGGAAGGAAAAAAAAAAAGAATCTGTATTTCAAGCCAAGGTCGCTCCTGAGGATGTGACTGCCTGCCTTTGGAAGTCTCGTTTCTGTGTCATTTATGCCTTTGGAAGTGTCGTTTCTGTGTCGTTTATCATATATCAGTTATAAATGCCGAGGCCATTCAATACAAATTTTTTGAGTGCAGTTGATCAATAGCCACAATGCAGAATTATATAGAGCCATGTATTTGTTTGATTTGTTGTGAATATTGAGAAAAACAATAATTAATTCCAATCAAGAGCATGAACATTGTAACTCTACTTTCGACAGAAAAAACGCACGCGCACACACACACATATATATACAGTATTCTTCGTTGTGGGAAAAAAATAGGGGAATTGCATATATTTGGTATTAGATGATGGTGAAATATAACATTTATAGCTAGCAATTTATGTAATATTAGGCCATAAATCCTTTGACTATATTACTTAAATTAATATCATACATCGTTTCACTATCAGGAAAAACAAAATCAATTATTCTAAATTGTTTGGTCTTCATATCATAAAGATGCAATTGGGGTGGACCATCGTCAAATCCCGGTGTAAGTCCATTTAAATAGTGAACGAGCGCAAGCTCACCTGTGTGAATTGTACCTAGAGCTTCAACGTAGCACCCACCTTCGCCGTATGTTTTTTCTAACATCAAGCTAATAGTCTCCTTAACCCACACATGGTTTTGATAGTCCTTCAAAATCCATAATACAATCTTGTCCTGTTTCCACGACTTGTCAACAAACACACCCACATACCCCCCCACCTCAACTACACATGCACTTTGTAGATGGAAAGTATCGGCAACACTTCCATAACGATAGAGATGATTATCTTTATCAACATAATCATCAAACACTTGAGCATAATCTTGGGGTAGTGCAATACTCTGAATGTCTCCTCTCTAACGTCAAAAGCCACTATCACTTTCTGCTTCTCATGGAGCCAATGTACGACCCCATTGACTAACTCCTCCAGAAGGTCGCTGTGTTGGTCTACCTGCAATGGCCTCCACGAAGAATCTGTACCTATTGTGAATATGTTCAACAACCCAGTATCCAATTTTCCAAGTCCACTGGGATCAACACAAATGATCTGCAGAACCTTATACTCGTTTGTGAGGGGACTGAACCCAAAGTAATATTGAGCATTGGACACTCCTTCTGTTAGTACAAGCACATCGGTATGGAGAAGTTCAATGGACTCTCGAGTGGTAGGGTTAAGTATGGAAACATGGTCGTCAAACATAGTGGACGCACAAACCAAGCCATGGACACTCTGCATACCTTGACAAAACGCTGTGAAAGCTTTGAATTGAGTCAGGTATGAAAGTTCTGCGAGGGGTTTTGGAGCATTCTCTTGTTGCTCTATTTTTGTCGAGAAGTAGCGGTTATCCTCTCCGAAGCTATACTTTCCGAAAAGGAAGTGAGTAGTGCGCTTGTCGTTGCAGTGAAAGTTGTGGAAGGCGGCGACGAAGGAAGGGCTGTGGATGAGGGAGGACCAAGACTTGCATACGCACCTCATCGCGTCATCAGATCCTCTGCCGGAAGCCGTGGGAGTACATGAGAGAATATGATTTCGGTTGGAAGCTCCGGGATTGGATGGTCATGATAAGCTTCCATGTTCCTTGGACGACTTTCTCTAGCCCGTGGAAAGACCTCCAAGAGAACAGATGATTCCAAGAAGAAGAAAACAAGAGATGCGATGCTTTAGCTAGGGTTTCCCTGCTAATTTTGATGTATATATGTGGGCCACTTATTTGTACTGGGTCACGATTTTGGACTGCCTAGTATTAATAGAAAAACAGAGTCCTCAAAAGAGGAAGAATCCTAATGATATCTAAATTAGTACCGGATTTTATTTCAAAAAAAATATATATATTTGGTCTTTTAAATTAATGAAAAAGCACATAAAAGATACTTCTCCTTCAAATCGCTTAAATGATTATGGGGGCATTTTGGCTCATCACTTTAACTCAAAATGTATCCTCACTACCCTTACCAAAAAGTGACACATGTCCATGGATTTAACTATAGTTAATTCTTGATTTATTATTTATTTGATGATATTATTATGAGAGGGAAACAATACTTTAATAAAAAATTTCCTAATTTACCCTTATGATATTAATTAACCCAACAAACTTTCCATTTTTCTATTAATTACTAATGAAGCCAAGAACAACCCAAATAATTAACATCAACATGATGATCATTACTCAAAAAATAATTGATTCATTCAACATTGTTGAAAATTGTGACAAAAAAAAAATTCAAATACTAAGAGGCTTTTATCCTGTCATTACTAGGAGGCTTTAATCCGAATTGAACCTAACTAATGATGTGTTTATTAATCAGGAATTGGAATTCTCATCAGAAATTGTATTCCATTTATGGAGGATTCCTGCGTTTACTTCATATCAAGGAATTAAAGAGTAAGTGGGGCTCACATTAGGAAATCATCTTTTTTACCCATTATATCATAACATAATTTTTAAAATTCCAAATTTGTCATCTATACATTTTAGAAATTAGTACCACTCCTACCCAAATTCCATATTATTTAGTAAATAACTTCAATAGGAATCCAGAATCTAACTCCCCTAAATCCATATGGTTTAGTAAACAACTTCAATAGGAATCCGAAATCTAATTCTTCTCAAACCAACTCCTCCTTAATTAAATTCATCATCAATTCAATTCCTCCTTATCCAATTACGGATTAGTAAACATGCCATAAATTAAATTACTTTAAAAAAACAACAAAAACACAAAAAAAAAAAAAAAAAAAAAAAAAAAAAAAAAAAACACACACACAAAAAAAACACAAAATTGATCTAACAAAAAAAAATATATATGAAAAAAATGAAAAACTTATGGCGAGCATGTATAAACTCATAAACTTTACTAGTATCAGACATCCAATTGAAGAGACTTCTATGTTTCTTTTTCTCTTTTTCTGGAATAAGAGCGTATGCTCTACCTTTTTAATTTGGTAAAGTGGGGGGTAAACACCCCAAAACAAAAGAAACTATTCACTCTGGTCTTAACAGACCAATCTAGCTTTAGGAATACCTAAAGCATCATCAGCTAAACAAGAACTAACCCAACTAGGAGAGCTGATCCAACTAGGAGCCGTGTCAAGAATGAACAATCCCAGATCCAAGTTATAGCTCCAGTTGGCAAGACAGTCAGCAACTCCATTATTCTCTGTATATACATGCATGAGGGTGCAATATTGACCAATTTTTCTCATCAGTTCACAGCAGCTATCAACCAAGGTTGCCAAAAGGGTGCAAACCAAGTAGAGAAGAAGGCTGCAGGCAAAGGTTCACAGCGACAGCGCTGCCTTTTCAGTTTCCATTGTTTTGATTTATTTTTTAAATTAAATTAATCAAGAAAAGTAAAAAGTTTTTTGGGTTAATTAGTAGAATAAGAGTAAATCAGGAATTTTTTTTATTAAAGTATTGTTTCTCTCTTATATAATGTCATCAAACAAATAAAACATAAAGAATTAACTATAGTTAAACCCATGGACATATGTCACCTTTTGATAAGGGTGGTGGTGAATGTACACCTTGGGTTAAAGTGATGAAGATACACCTTGCGTATAGGAGTTGCTTCTCCTCATAAATGATTTTTTTTTTGGTCGGAATAGATGCTTTATTAAAATTTTGCTTTATATATAGATAATAAGCACCATAAGAGTGTACATAAGATATCACTGAAAACAGCCACCCCTATAAATGATTCTGAATATGAAATTTTTGTATGCAATTATTATAAAGTTGGTTTTTTAAACCTTCGTATGTCTTTATTTTTCAGTTTTTTTTTGTTTGATTTCAGAGACAATTCAAATTCAAAAGTTCCAATTATTTTATTTCTATATATTTTATGGGATCAGAAATTTTATTTTTTGTTACCTCCAACTGTACCTGAATATGGTTCTATAGATGATGTTCGGCCTGTTCTACCCCAAGGATCTCAAGAGAATCATGGAAATCATGAAACAGAAAGGAAAGAAATAGTGCAAAGAGAAGGAGATGCTGTAAAAGTTCAAACATGCTCTGAATACTCACAAGATAGTTCTCACAGATTTCTGGTCCAGATGGGAGATCAAAGCCCACTCCTCTTAGTCAAATTGGATTCAGAGACCCTGCAAGTGTTGGCGGAGGCCAACAGCTGACATTGTTAAGTATAGAGGTATATAACAATGTTATCCGGAAAAAAAAAACGAAAAATATGTTGAGAGTTAAGCTACTTACTGAGCTTAATACAAACTGCAGATGACAATCCTGCAGATTAGTGCTGAGAAGATTGAAGAAATGAAGAACCTTCCTTTCTAGGAAGTAGCCGTTATCTACTCTATTCTAATTTGGGATAATTCCTACAGTTGTCTTTTTTGTCTTTTTCTAAGCTGTACTGTGATAACAGATTCTAGCCTAGGTGTAAGAATCGTAGCCTCCAATTATTATGAATGGTAGGAGATAAGTCCTTGTATCCTAAAATTTAGGATCCTGGTTTTGGCAGCATATGTCATGTATTTGAGCATGCTTTTGCTCAGTCTTGAATAGAGAAGAATACTGAACATTCATATACTCTCTGGTTTTTTTCCTTTCCTCCTCTGCATAAACGTTTTTATACCAAAATCAACATGGTATCAGAGCTACTGGTCTGAATCCAGAGAGGGGCGTGAGCTGTGAGAGAGAGAGGGCTTTCCTGAAAAATTCCCAAAAGAGATAAAGGTTGCTCTTTTATTGTTTGGTTCACTGAGACTCACTAAGAAAATGGTGGGATCAGGTTCTTCAGGTGGAGATTTACGAACTCCACAGTTTGATGGTGCAAACTATGATTTTTGGGCTGTCAAAATGGAGACCATTCTCATAGCACATGATCTATGGGATGTAGTTGAAGTCGGAGTACAACCTCAGTCAGTTCTTAAGGAGGAAGAAGACTCTGGAGGTGAAGGAAGTGAAGCTGAGCAAGTTCTAGTGGAAGCACCAGCTATCTCCAGAGAAGATAAGATAAAAAATGCCAAGGCATTGAGTCTCATTCAAGGAGCTTTAACTGATGAGCTCTTCCCTCGCATCAGAAATGAAAAGACTGCAAAAGGAGCTTGGGATACTTTGAGAAGAGAGTTCAGAGGAGATAAAAAAGTAAGAGCTGTAAAACTCCAAGCTGTTAGAGCAGATTTTGAGTATATGAGAATGACTGATGGTGAAAGCTTAGATAGCTATTTGGCTAGATTTTTTGGAACTGTGAATAACCTGAAATCTCTTGGTGAAGATGTGTCTGAAACAAGAATTGTGCAAAAACTTTTGATGAGTCTAAGTAGAAAATATAAGTCCATTGTGTCTATTATTGAAGAAACTCGAGACCTTGATGTTCTTAGAGTTGAAGAGGTCATTGCCTCTGTCAAAGTTTATAATAAAAGGGAAGACTTGCATGATGAAAGAGATAAAGTGGCTGGAACTGAGAGAGCTTTTAGTAGCCTCAAGGTTGGAAATAACCAAGTTCATAGCACTCATAAGGGCTCACAGAGTAGACCAAATCAAAAGTGGCAGGGACAAGACAAAAAGGGATCAAATTGGTCTCAAAATAACAATGGCTCAAGCTGGAATAATAATCCTGGAGGAAATTGGAACAATAGCTTCAATTCTCAGAACAAGCAAGGTAGTAGCAGTCAAGGAAGTGTGAAACCACAGTGCCAAGTCTGTCAGAAGTATCATTTTGGTGTGTGCAGGCACAAAGGCAAACCTAGATGTGGAAAATGCAATAGGTTTGGTCATACTGCAAAAGATTGTGAAGGCAACAAGCAGGTGGCTAACTGTGCAAAGGAGGAAGAGGTAACCACAGGCACCATGTTCTATGCTTGCCACTCTGCAAGTATGAAAAATGGAAGTGTATGGTTTGTGGACAGCGCCTGCAGCAACCATATGACTTCTCAAGAGTCTGTGTTAATAAACATTGATAGGACTGTGACTTGCAAAGTTAAAATGGGCACTGGAGATCTTGTACAAGCAACTGGAAAAGGCACTCTAGTGGTTGAAACTCAGCATGGGAGAAGGTATATACATGAAGTGTTGCTTGTTCCGAGCTTGGATGAGAATCTATTGAGTGTAGGCCAAATGATGAAGCATGGTTACTATGTCCCATTTGGGGGTAACATGGCAATTATTTTTTATGATGGTAGCCTCAACAATGTTGTAGCTAAAGTGGTCATGGGAGGAAATAAATGCTTCCCTCTCTCACTAGAATCTATGACACCTGTAGCAAGAAGAGCATCAGTGACTGAAGACTCTTGGATCTGGCATAGAAGTCTTGGACATTTGAATTTTGTTAGCATGAAAAAGATGCAGCAGATGGAAATGGTGACTGGACTACCTGTGTTAACCAAAATGAAGGATGTGTGTGAAGGTTGTGTTTCAGGAAAACATCACAGAGAGAAGTTTGACAAAGAGGGAGCATGGAGAGCAAGTTGTCCACTAGAATTAGTGCACACAGACTTGTGTGGACCAATGCAAAATGAGTCAATTGGTGGAAATAGGTACTTCATCACATTCATTGATGATTTTTCAAGAATGTGCTGGGTATACTTTCTTAGAAATAAATCTAATACCTTTAATGTGTTCAAGAAATTCAAAGCTTTTGTTGAATTGCAAAGTGGATTTAGTTTGAAAAAGCTAAGGAGTGATAGAGGTGGTAAATATACCTCACATGAGTTCCAAGAATTCTGTGCAAGCATGGGAATGGAGAGGCAACTATCCATTGCCTACTCTCCTCAGCAAAATGGAGTTGCTGAGAGGAGAAATAGAACAATATGTGAAATGGCAAGATCCATGATGATAGAGAAAGGTATCCCTGTGATTTTTTGGGCAGAAGCTGTAAGTACAGCTGTGTATCTCCAAAACAGGTGTTTTACAACATCTGTGTCGAGCAAAACACCATTTGAAGCATTCACAAAAAGAAAGCCAGGAATCAAGCATCTGAAAGTGTTTGGTTGTATCTGTTACACACATGTCCCAACACCTTTGAGGCAGAAATTTGATGACAAGGCTAGAAAAGGAGTGTTTATGGGGTATGGAAGCTGTGAAAAGGGTTATAGGGTGTATGACCTGCAATCTAAGAAAATTGTGCTCTCAAGGAGTGTAATTTTCAACGAGGACAAGGCATGGATTTGGAAGAGTGATCAAGAGGAATCTGTTCTAATACCATTCAACCTTGGAGGAAATGAAACAGAAGCTGAATTTGGTGAAGAACAAACTGAAGCAACTCAGTTTGATAATGGTGGTAGCCTCACTCAAACACTATTGTTGATGTTTCAGATGAGAATAGAAAATTATCAAGAAGCAGCAAGTGATATAGCTTGGCAAGAAGCTATGAATGCAGAGTTGGAAATGATAGAGAAAAATAATACTTGGGAATTGGTTGAGAGGCCAGCTAATAAACCTGTTATAGGTGTGAAGTGGGTGTTTAAGACTAAACTTAACTTGGATGGAACTCTTCAAAAACACAAAGCTAGGCTTGTAGCAAAAGGGTATGCACAGAAACCCGGAATTGACTACAATGAAACCTTTGCACCAATGGCAAGGTTAGATACAATTCGAACTCTTATTGCACTTTCAGCTCAAAAGGGTTGGAAACTGTTTCAGTTGGATGTTAAGTCAGCATTTCTAAATGGGGTGCATGATGAGGAAGTATATGTAGAACAACCTGAAGGTTTTGAACTGAAAAATGCAGGTCACAAGGTTTACAAGTTGAGAAAAGCCTTGTATGGACTTAAGCAGGCTCCTAGAGCCTGGTACAGTGAGATTGATGCATATTTATCTATGTGAAAGTTCAAAAGAAGCATTAGTGAAGCTACTCTGTACACTAGATCTGATAATGAAGGAGGTTTGATCATTGTCTCAATCTATGTTGATGACATTGTTTATACTAGAAACAGTGAGAGGATGCTTGCTGAGTTTAAAAGGGAGATGATGCAAAGATATGAAATGTCAGATCTTGGTCTCCTTCATCACTTCTTGGGCATGGGAATACTACAAACTGATCAAGGGGTTTTCATTCATCAAAGCAAGTATGCCAAATCCTTGCTTGTGAAGTTTGGACTTGAAGACTGCAAACCTGTCTCAATTCCTTTGCCTACTGGTGAGAAACTAAAAAAGGTGGATGGGAGTGAGTTAGCTGATGAAGGGCTCTACAGAAAAATAGTAGGAAGCCTACTGTATTTAACTGCAACTAGACCTGATCTAATGTATGCTGCCAGCCTGCTATCAAGGTTCATGAATGGTCCTACAAAAAAGCACATGGGAGTTGCAAGAAGGTTTCTAAGATATGTGCAAGGGACTCTTAGCTATGGCATTGAATATGTGAGAAATCAGTCAGCAACCCTTGTTGGATTCTGTGATGCAGATTGGGCAGGCAGTGAGGATGATAGCAGGAGCACCTCTGGCTATGCATTCAGTTTTGGAAGTGGAGCATTCTCTTGGGCCTCTGTGAAACAAAACACAGTGGCACTATCAACAACAGAAGCTGAGTATGTCTCAGCATCTGAAGCAACATCATAGACCATTTGGCTAAGATTTGTTCTTGATGATTTTGGTGAAATGCAATCTGAGGCAACACCTTTGTTTTGTGACAATATGTCAGCAATTTCAATGGCCAAGAACCCAGTTTTTCATCAAAGAACTAGGCACATAAACAGAAGGTATCATTTCATAAGAGAAGCTTTGCAAGAAGGTGTGATCAATATGCAATTCTGCAGAAGTGAAGAACAGCTCGCAGATATTTTTACTAAAACACTGCCCAAAGACAGATTTAAGTATCTAAGGTCGAAACTTGGAGTTAAGCCAGTAAGGAGCTTAGGAGAGGCTGTTGAGAGTTAAGCTACTTACTGAGCTTAATACAAACTACAGATGACAATCCTGCAGATTAGTGCTGAGAAGATTGAAGAAATGAAGAACCTTCCTTTCTAGGAAGTAGCCGTTATCTACTCTATTCTAATTTGGGATAATTCCTACAATTGTCCTTTTTGTCTTTTTCTAAGTTGTACTGTGATAACAGATTCTAGCCTAGGTGTAAGAATCGTAGCCTCCAATCATTATGAATGGTAGGAGATGAGTCCTTGTATCCTAAAATTTAGGATCCTGGTTTTGGCAGCATATGTCATGTATTTGAGCATGCTTTTGCTCAGTCTTGAATAGAGAAGAATACTGAACATTCATATACTACCTGGTTTTTTCCTTTCCTCCTCTGCATAAACGTTTTTATACCAAAATCAACAAAATAGCGTCCACCTCTTATTTATTTTGCATGTGATTTAGCAAATCCAAATGTTTTTTTTTGTAAAAGATTTGTGCTTATTTAATGTATTGTGCTATTTAAAAAAATTCTTTCTCATCTTGCTTTATGTAAGAATATCGCGATTAACCTTTGTATATGTCTTTTTGTTTAAAAAATTAAATTTCCTTGTAACCTTCGCTGGTTCAAATAATTTATGAGCATTTGCACTAATACAACTTGAATGCAACATTGGGCGACAGGTTCAAGCAGAATCAAGAGGAGATCTTCGACCTGATCCTCGGTTTGATGCCATCAATTTGATCTCTCTTGCTATTCAGAATGATAGTGATTCTATTGTTGAAGTTTTGTGCTTTTGCACAGTAAAGCTGAAAGTTCTGAGAGGTAAAATCAGTGTTGAAATTTTACATACTTATCTTTAGTCTGATTGTTCTCGTACATTGAGTATGACTCGGTGCATCTTCCTGGAAGACAATAAAACCTTTGTAATATTTAAGAACTGTGAGGTTATAACTAGCACTAGCTGGTATTTTACAGTAGCTTATTATACTTTTCTTTGCAGGATTCTTGATGGAATTTCTGGCTGCCAGGTGTTGGTTTTATTTTATTTTATGAGGAGAAGAGCTTATTTGATCATTTTATAAAAATTGTATGCACATTGGAGGTATTTATACGCTCATATTATTATTCTTCTCTAATATGGAGGTATTTATACAAGTACAAAGATGTGTTAATCCTAAATAAAATAGAAAATATATCTATATTACAATAGGAAGTAAATCTTTATTACAATTGGACTAAATAATAATTGGTAAGTAACCAAAATTATAATGAAATAAGAAACCAAAATCCTAAGTAAGGAACCAAAATCCTAACTAAGTAAGGACTCACCAACATGGCCCATTGAGGCACACACTTCCACTATTTCTTCTAAAAGGGACAGAGGCGTAAGCTAGATCATCAAAAGGAAGATGGCCAGGGTCTACCTGCAATGGCCTCCATGAACTCGTGCCTAGTGTGATTATGTTGAACCCAACATGACATTTTCCAAGTCCTTTGGAACGAAGATAGAGGAATTGGAGAACCTTATACTCGTTGGAAAGTGGACTGTATCTGTACCCAAAGTGATATGTAGCAGGTCCCGGCCAGTAACCTTCTATATTTCAATTTCATTGAGGGGAAGTTTGGTGCATTCTCGGGTGCTAGGGTTAAGTATAAAAACAGGGCCACGCCGGGAAGATAAACATACCAAGCCCCAGACATTCTGCACATCATGTGGATGGCCAAAGCCGAAAGCTTTTCGCAGATTCTTGCATGAAAATTTTGCGGCACGGGTTGGAATGCACCCTTGTTGCTCTATTTTTTAGGAGAAGAGCACGTGTTTTGACCAGCGGGGTCGTAGTTTCTCCTTTTTCGCGGCTCGTTGTTTCTCCTTTTTGAAAAGGAAGTTAGTGATGCTCTTGTTGCTGTCATTGCAGCGAAAGTTGTGACAGGCGGCGACAAAGGAAGGGCTGCGGATGAGGGAGGACCAAGACGTGCATACGCACCTACACCTTATCAGAACCTCTGCTGGTAGCCGTGGGAGTATATGAGAGAATATGATTTCGGTTGGGAGCTCTGAGATTGGATGATCATGATGATAAGCTTCCTACAAGAGTTAAAACAAATTAATTAAAAACAAAGAAAGAGCAGGGAAAACGGCAATCATGGATACATGTATGTACATATATATCTCAGACTTTCCAAGTTCCTTGAACGGCGTTTTCTGGCCATTGAAAGACCTCCAACCTCAAGCCAGAAAGTCTTCACATTAAACCCAAGGACCAGGGCACAGGAGAATAGTACGCTAATAAGAGGCAGAGAGAAAAAAACAAGAGATGCTATATACTTTTGCTAGCAAGGTTTCCACATATTAATAGGGGCGTTGTTAAACGAATCCTAACAGGGTCAAATTAGTACGGTGTTGTTGTTAAATCAACTCTAAAATTTACTAAAAACAAAAGTATTTAGGAACCTCTTTATATGGGCCAATTATTGGAGAAATTACGACTTATTGCTATTAATGGGCTTTATATAATCTGTTAATATAATATGTTATCCTCGATCGCAAGTCATTAGACTCATAATTCAACCAGTTTTGTACCGCATGGAGAAAGGAATATATCTAGAGTTCAACTTCTAATTAAATTATTTAATTTTCTTTATTCCCACGAGGAATGTTTGCTGATTTGTACAAATTAAAAGTTACTTTATTTCTCAATCACTTTGTTCGCAAAATATTATTGAAAGGCCAAGACAACTGAATGAAGAGAAAACATAGAACTTATAAATATTATTTCTCAATCTTTCTTTTGTTTGCGGGGGAACATGAAATACTCCCAAGATTAATATACAATCCAGAAATGCTAGACTTTTTGGGGGCCAAATAAGAAGATACTAATAGACTTGCGTATGGCCATGGAGGAGACTTCACTAAGGCAAGAAAAACAAAATCAAGCATTCTATATCATTTGCAATACATATAGAGATATTTAGTCATATACCAATTCTTAGCACTAATAATATAGATAAACCCTACACCATTTAATTTCTATGAACAAATAAAAAAAAACACCCTAAAATGACAGCTGGCCCTATTGAATTTAATTTTGATTATTAAATTACTTTGATGCCCTATGGAGTGTTTTGGGTTTTTTTTATGAGGTTTTGGGATTGGGTTTGTTTTAAGAAATCAATGGCAGTTTTGTAATTTAAAAAAAGTGAAAAGTTTTTTTTGTTATGTTGTAAATGGGCTTTGAGTGTGTTTCTAAAGTCCATTTTGTATATGGTTTTTTTAATTATAATTTGGGCTCCTATATTGGATATAATAGTTAAACCCCCTAAAAATAATAGGTATATTATCATTCATAAAATAAAAAGAACATAAATAAATTTTATGTTTAAGTAAATCACATAATAGGTAAATTAAACACCACTCGTTGAATTGTATATAGGGGTATTTTGGGAATCAAAAAATTATAATAAATCAAAGATTAAGCTTAATAAGGTAATTTGATGAGTTGGATCCTAGTCATGGGTTTTTACTTAAAAAAATTGGATATTATTTAGAGATTTTCTATTTAAACACCACACTTCTCTTAGTTCACCCCAACTTTTAATTTAAATTTTCACAATTTCTAAGAAAACCCCACTATCTTCCCAAACTACCATTAAATACACCCCAAACTAAAAAAATAAAAAATAAAAGAAATTTTCTATTTGAACCCCATAAGCTACCCTTAGAGGAGGAATTACGTTCTGCGCATGAGAACTTTTGTAATGCCTTCAAGAATGCAATTTCAGAAGAAAGGTAAGTTTGCACATCTTAATTTGGTTTCAAGAGAACGCTTTTTGGCTGTGGGATAGCTTTACTGCTACGTGTTAGCAAAACTATGCCAACTTCCCTACTTTATATCCTATTTGTATATACATTTTTGTTGATCAGAATGTGCATGGTATACAATCAGAATGGACTTCCTTTCGTTTGTTAGGTGGACAGCAAACTCCTGTTCCATGGACTCTTTGTATGATATAGACCTCATATTAGGTATGATATAGACCTCATATCAAGTATGATATAGACCTCGATTGTAGGTAACGCAAATTGAATTTGAAGGGTGTAAGTCAAATTTACTATTGATTTATTGATTTGAAAATGGGTGTAGTTTTAGGTGAGTTTCTGAGGACCAAATCGAAAGGGCATGGATCATGCATGGAGGAGATTTAATGAAGGCAATAATGTCACTCGACATCGTCATCACAGTGAGACAATAATTCAACCAATAAAAAGACGGAGAATTAATGTGGTAAGTTTGTGTTGTGATTAACATGTCATTGTGGACATTTGGATGATCGTGTGGTTGCGGTACTGCGTACATGGTTCACAAAATAAAGGAAAAATGGAAGAATTTTATTTTGAAAACTCATCATCTTAAGGAAAGGAAGAATTCAAAAGCAAAACATTTTGGCACCGACCCAAAGGATACTATTAAATATCCGTCCTTCATTTCCCACCCTGACCCCCTAGTCATTCGAGTCAATTCTAGTATTCAACTCGTTTGATACGTTGGACTGTATTGATTAATTTTTGTTAGATAATATTAAATAGTTTCGGAGAGGATTGACTGTTTATTCATAAAATTATAAGGCATTTGGTGTTGTCTCGGATAAATAGTCTGACTAAGTTTTATTGTGTTTGGTGCTCCATCAAACTTTTTTTTTTGGTCAATTATTTGGCAAGATTCATATGAATTTTTATTTTATTTATTTATTTATTTTTGTCAAGATGTATAAGACAAGATTACATGAATTAACTTATTATCATAATTGTAGAACTTAGGATTATAAGTTACATAGTATATAAGCACACCTTTATTGATGGAAAAAAAAATTCAGATATTGATATAAAAAACTTATTTTCTTGATATATATATCACATACAGGACATGAAGCATGTCAAACATCATCAATCTTCCCTCTTGTGTTCTTATGGACATGAAGCATGAAGCATGTCTGACAAACTTATATCAGACAAAAATAAAGGGGTTAAGTGTATGAGAGAACTCCCTAATTTTACTTCGTTGATGTGCATGAATCGATTTACTCATGGTCATTCTAGCTTTTGCCATCCTAGCTTACCATTATAATTATAGTAATTTTTCCAATACATAAAAAATTGAAGGATCGATGTGATGGTTATTGCAACTGGACTGGAAAATTTCTTTCACTATATAAATTAATTATTAAATAATTGTAATTATGAGAAACCCTTAATTATCAAAGCTTTGGCAGTTTCGTATTGCCCTTTTTTTTTCTCTTTATTCTTTTTAATTGTTCTCTTTGTTTGATAAGACTTGAAAGTATAGTTAAAGGATGCACAAACAAACCATTGCAACGACATGGATTTTGAAGAAAAACTCATAAGAAGAGAGAAGAAAGAGAAGAAGCAAGAACAAGCATATTGGAGAGAGTATGAGAGAGAGGGAGAGATGAATACAAGGAAAAGAGAAGATGGCAAAGAAGAACCCTAAGGAGAAGACGATGGAAAGAGTGTACAAAGCATGTTTTCTTTTTCCCTAGCTTTATAATTAAGCGTGTATTATCTAAACCGGAGTGTGTGGGTTGTATTAGTTAGTCAAGTAAGGATAATATTAAAAGCCCAACCCATTTAACATAGTCAGGTAATTAAATAATACAAGTTGACACCAAACAACTGACATGAATTATTTACTCCTATCCAAAGTCTAATACATATACAATGTACGAAACATGCCCTGACAGTGTATGAGAAATCCCTACCATTCTTTAGTTTATACTATTGCTTGTACTAAAAAAAAATACAAAATATCAAAGAATTGATTTCTTCAAAAAAACAAAAAGAAAGCAGTTGGCAAAGCAGGATTCTGAATTAGAGGGCGTGGCAGGCGGGCTGCGGATAGGAGTTGCAGTGGGCTAGAACTTGTGGGATACGGAATTTAATAAAGATTTTTCTTTTTGCTTTTTTGATAAGCATTGGCATCTTCATTCAGGTAATAAATAACAAATTTTGTAGACATAGCATTTTCATTGTGACAAGTTGTGAAAATGCATCTGCATGCAACACATGGAATTAATTAACTCATGCTCTTGCTCTTCATGCACGAAAAGGATTAAATCCTGCCCGCACCGCATTGTGCAGAGGACGAAAGAGTGGTTTGGGGAGGTTGTCCCACTCATACCAATCCCAACCATCACACACTTCTGCCTCCACATTTTGGGGCTCTCCATCTCCATGTTCCATCACCGCTCTCATGCAAACGGACTCGTACTGGCATGGCTTGCCTCCCTCTAGAAGCAGCTCGTTTGTTGTGGCTGTCAGAAACTCCATCCTCTTCTTGTCAATGTCTAAACCAGTTTCTTCCTTCAATTCTCTTGCTGCACACTCCTCGAAGCTCTCACCTACATAAACACAAAACTAATATAATTAGGGTCCGTTTGATGTGACCATTTCAGTTTTCAGTTTTCACCTACACAAACACCAATTAGTTAATAATGACTTAGGATTAGGAAGACGAAAATTAACCCCTGTATTTGTGTATATAATTACGTACCGAGCTCGAGGTGGCCACCAGGTAGGGAAAAGGTGGAGTAGCCAAGAGAGCAACGGCGTCGTCCCAACAACACCTTTTTTCCTTTCAACAGGCACACCCCAACCACCACTGTAGGTGCCGTTGCTGCCTCCGTTTGGTTTCCCATGCTCAATTAATTTCCTTTGAGTTTTTTGCTTTATTTCCTTCGTGTTTTTTGTGTACTGAATGTAGCTGCCTCGCCTTTTATAGATAGTCTTGGATAGGGCGGAGTTAGGATTTTATATTTGAGGGGGCCAAAATGTTAAACACAAAAAGTTTAGTTGTATATTTTTTTGGCCTATTGAGTAAACTATTGCCTACAAAAGCACTAAATTAAAATGAGTAGTTTTCTTTCATAAATGTAGTATGATTTTACTATTATATTCATATTGAAATACAATTGTGATAAGTATTGATTTGTGGTGAGGGGGCATAGGCTTAAGTTTAGTAATTTTTCTTTGCATTTGTTACCACATCCAATATATACATTCAAAGGGGTTAAATAAATAGAAAAGTTGATGGAGGTCCAAAAATCCAACCAATAGTTGGGTCTAGTCCTTGAATTATTGTTTGTTGATACAAACTCCTTTGACTAGTTTGCCATATAGATTACATTCCATTTTTGACATGTTGACTCAATCTTTTGTATTTAACTAATTTGTATTTAATTTTTTTGTTCATATTATATCCCAATTGTCTAAAACAGGTAAGATGAGGATATATAGGCCATTAATGATTAGATTTGATCATGTAATTAAAGGAAATGAGATTCGCTATTATACCTAATATAAGAGCTCAAATTATGAAAATACCCTATATGATATGAACTTTAGAAATACACCCAAAGCCCATTTACAACATAACAAAAAGGCTTATAACTTCTTTTAAATTACAAAACTACCATTGATTTCTTAAAACCAACTCAACCCCAAAACCTCATAAAAAAGCCCAAAACACTCAATATCACTTTTGGGGTTTTTTTTTGGGTTTGTTTATAGAAATTAAATGGTGTAGGTTTATTTATAGTTTTAAAGCTAAGAATGAGTATATGACTAAATATCTCTTAAAGAAATAATTACATTTTAAATGTAAATGTCGGACCTTCACTTTTTTCTTGTGCTTGATTTGTGCAAATTCCTATGCTCTAGGTACAATACCCTACTAACCATTGAACTTGATATACCTATCTAATAGGTATAGTACATATTTGATGCACCTCAGTACTAGGTAAAACACATATTGGATGCACCTCAATGCCAGGTAAAACACATATGTTTTTTTTATTTATAAAAAAGTTATACCTCCATACTAGGTATATTAATTAAATTAACAAAAAAAAAAAAAAAAAAAAAAAAAAAAAAAAAAACAAAATTTTTTTGAAAAACTCAATATACAAATTTATAGCTAAAAGGTAGGTATATGCTACCAATTTAATAAATCTACGAATATAGAATTCTAAAAAATATAGTTTCCATATGTATACAACTGAAATTTGAATTAAATAGGTTTATAATATGTGAGCCATGAAATCATAATTTAAATTGAATGTCACAAGCTTGATTGTAGGAGAAAACTGATATTTAAAAGTGGTATTTGCATGTACTTGTCATTTTCAACCAATGTCATTATTGTAAATGTCTCGAATATGGTGGCTACAAGGTTTGCTTACCTGGCCATACAATTGATTGAGAGAACTGCAATTGAAGAGAGTCCAATTAGTGTCCTGCATCCATTGTATATAAATGAAAATGAACCCATATCTAAGAAGTCCTTAAATAAATTAGGGGGGCCAACGCCACCCCTGGCCTTAACACAGCTCCGCCCCTCTGCGTAGTCATTCCTGATCCTTGGACGACTTTTTCTGGTCAAAGCTTTGTTCATCGATGCCCTTTTAATGCCATCTCATGACTTATTTTTTGCACTGCTGTCGTATATTTATTTCATATTTTTTGTCCCTATCCGTTGTATTTGTATTTTAATATGTTTTTGGCGTGTGAACTGGATATCAATGCTGATAAAATGATCTAATTGCATATGATTAATGAGTCACGTTGGTTAATATTTTTAGTAAACATATGGATTTAGTGTAAACAAATTGTAAACGTGAAATGGGAACCCGCCAAAGGGGGAGATCTCTATTAGATGTTGACAATGATAGTTACCTTAAAAAACCACTAATTTGTTTAAATGTATAACATTATTCTATGCCTTTTGAGTACTAATCCAAGCATCTCATCATATCATTAGAGTCTAATTCTTGGAGTTTAGTTACATTATTCTTTGAAAGTTATTTTTGGGGAGTGATTCTCTCAAGATCGACTCTTTTTCTTTTCTTTTTTGCTGGCTCATGTCATTTTGAAAAGTTTTGCTCATGTCCGCCATATTGCTATTGGGATTGCTCCCTTTACAATTTTCTTCCTTTTTACTCTTTTGTTCGTTTGATCTATTAAACTTCTAAATATTTGAGCGCTAGAAGTGAGAAAAGTCAAAGGTTTGAACACATGAAAGAGGAGTCACAACAAACAATACAAGAAATTTAATGTTTGAAGATTTGTGAAGCTAACGAATTCCGTAAGACCTAGAATAAAAGAGTTCATGAAAGTGCCAAATCATCATACTTAATAACGTGATGTTATATTCATAAGGCTTGCAATTTAAATGATTAAGTATATTATCAATGAGGTCTAGTCCAGTGAGAAAGAGCATTGACTTACAGACTATAAGTCTCAGGTTCGAATCTCCACGACATCATAGTTGTATGTATGTGTTTGTGTGAGAAATCTCATTCCTCTGTAGTTTAGACTATCGCTTGTACTAATTGAAGTATATTTAGTGGTCGAGTATGTTTATAAGGGCTTGTAATTCAAGTGATTAAGAACATTTCCTCCAGTATCCAAAGTTGTGTATTCCATTCCCCAGTCTTCCTGACATCTTGTATAAAAGAATTTATAAACTAGAAAAAAAAACGTCTTGATCAAGTTCTAAATTAAATTCGATATGACATGCTTTGCTAGGCAACTACACATGACCGTATCTTCGATCGGCTTAGTGTGTCGTGTTTGTGGCTCCTCAAAAAAGGCTAGGAATGTTCTAGTACTTAATTATCTTGTGTCCAAACCTAAACAACACATTATTTTTTGCAGGATTTCATGTTTGACGTCACAACTACCTTGCATTATTGCATAAACTTTTGTTGAACCACACCCTTTAGGGTCTACTATGAATTTTTTTCCAATGATCCAAACAATCTATTTTTTAAGTCTACATTCATAGATCACCCTTGTAAACAATTAGACAAATCGGAAATCGTTCCGATATCCAATTGTGTCCTACAAAATCAATGAACACAGTGCTTCAAGAAAGTACTAAAATTTCAATAATTCAATTGAGTGGTCAAATGATTTTTTGTAGAAATGATCTTTGAATGAGTATCTACAAAATAGACGATTTAGATTAGTGAAATACAACATGGAGTGGGCCCTATAAGAGTGTCCCTCAAACAAGCAAATTTGAGGGATCCCTCAATGAAAGCTCTCTTTGTACACACACACACACACACACACACACACACATTAAGGTATATAATATTATATGGCAATATTTCAACTTTCTCATTTATTTTAGAGTTTTTCTATTTAAACCCTGCACTTCTCTTTGTTCACCCCATATTCTAAGTTCACCCCAACTTCTAATTCAAATTTTCACAATTTCTAAGAAAACCCCACTATCTTCCCAAACTAACCCTAAATACACACCTAACAAAAAAATAAAGAGATAAAAACACTGTTGCCAAGAAAATAAAAATGACAGTTGATGAAAATGGGGGAGATTTATTTGTTGCAAGGTCAGTAGAAGAGACAATCTTGCACAAGGAAGAGCCCAGGGAGCTCAAAGTTTCTAAATCGGCTCCATAAGAGTTGAATGTTGGTGAAACTGAAGAAGAAATCAAAGAAACCTTTGAAACAATGTCTAAAGTTGATTCTCGAAGCAATGACGTAGTTTCCAAAGATGAGATCATTGCTTATTAGATAGTCCATGAAAGGATATCAAAAGAGCAACTTCAAATACCATCTTCTATATTGCTTCCTGAAGAAAAGGAGATCAAAGCTTCTGAACATGAGCATAGATGTACTAGGGTTAAGTATTAAGTTGAATGACTTTTTTGTCTTTTTACACAATAATAAAACTTAAGAGTTTAATAATTTTAAGTATTGGAGTGAACAAAGAAATTGTGGGGTTTAAATAGAAAAACTCTTTATTTTATTACTTGCAATTAGATGCTTTAATAATTTTTAATTTGTTTAATTTTTGGTAAAGATAATCTATGAATGAAGACTTAAAAACTAAACTGATTGGATCATTGACTTTCGTTTTGTGGTCACAATCTTCTTGACTTTCGTTTTCTTCTTTCTTTTTACTTAAAGTCTCAAGATACAAAATTCAAATCAACAAATTTGGTATCACTTCAAATGATGGATGAGTTTGAATCATAAACAATGGCACAAGAAATTAAAAACATCATTAACAATGGGTTACTTGTTTTGTAGTTTCCGTGCCCTCCCCGTTTTGAAGAAATTACACAATATGACTGTAGCACTAGTTGGCGTTGCTTATTGGTATTACGGTCCAATAAGATTAAGCCATGTGTACAGCTTAGACATGTCAAGGATTAACGGCAGTCTATTAACTTTTTTGCTAGCTGTATAAGCTATACGCATATCTAAAATCTTGTTAATCCGTAGGGCCAGTTTGGCATTACTGTGCTGTAAAAATAATTGCTGTCAGATTTGCTGTGAGAGAAATCAGCTGTGAGATAAAGCAGTTTGGCGTTTGGTAAAATTTTTGTTAAAAGTATTGTTGGTATTTATTTTATGCATAATCAAAAAATGATTGCCGCACAATTATTAAACTCAACGCCTCTTCGAAACTGATTTATGCATAATCAGAAAATGAAAGCACCTCATTAGCTGCTTTCCCTTATAGCTTTCTCTCACAGCAATTTTTAACAATAAGTGATTTTCTCATAGTTTACCAAACGGATTGGGCTCCTCAAAATTTTAAAAAAATCACTTATCACCCCAAATAAGCAATGTCAAACTGGCACGTAGTACCAATCAGAAACGCCAGCTAATGCTACGGTAATAAATATTACCATTTGACCCAAAGAAATTATTTGTATCACTTCAAAGTTCGTGCAATTGAAGTCTGATCTTTCCTATGCCTCATGTCCATCTCATGCTCTCAATTTTTTCAATCTTTGCATATGCATCATTTTTCGTCTCTAAAAACCTCAATTTTGATCTCAAAGTCCTTATCAACTTCGCTAGAACTCTCGTCACCATGTCTCAACCTGAAATATTCAATCCAAGAAAATACATATATGACTCTTCTTTTTTATAAATTTTTATAAACCAATCACATGGTAATCAAATAAGCATGTAAACGAAACAAACATCGAATTGCAGAAACGTAAAGTACGTATTTGAATCGATTACAACATATTCATCAAAATACTTAAACGTATATTAGACTCTAAGGAAAGTTTAGAAGGGTGAAGTTGGTGTTGAAGTAGATTTCATTGAGAAACTAAGCAGATTGATGAGAAGTGTTAATGGAATTTGGATATGTATCAACTTTTCTAAAGAAAGAATCCTAGCCATATCTAAATTTGCACAGGATTTTATTTACCTTAAAAAAAAAAGAATCAGATTTGATCTTTTATCAAATACAGTGAAATTTGTTTTCAGATACAATTATTAAAAACTTGATTATATTAATATAATTGGAATTTTAATTTTGATTTCCGAGTCAATTCAAAATTCCAATTCTTTATCTCTATATTTTTTTTGTAGGATTATGATATGATTTTTTGTTAATATCAAATAATTAGTAAAATACGAAATTGAAAAGTACGACTAATATATGTATATATATACGTGCTTTATCCGGCAAAATTGTACAAGATACAACTGAAAAGTTTGATCACTGTATAATATTTTAACATCTTATTCTCTCTATTTTGACTATGATTCTGGACTGTCATTTCAAAGTAGCCACCATCTACCACTATGATCACTATACGAACTGAAAGAACAAAACTTGAATAACAGCACTTTCGATTGAACCAGGCTCTGATACCAATTGATGGGGATCGGGATCAGGACACAGGTCACCAACCTCATACACGAGCACCGAAATCTAGGGCTAGTGCAAACTCACATATATCGTAGCAAATTCATGCCACAAATAAACTATTTCATTAATCATCAACATTCCATTCTTCTACTACTATTACAATAGCCTTATTTATAGGCTTTACAAGACTTGGGCACCAAGACTGCTTGGTCCAAAAGTAAACTAATTAATTATAAAATCACACATAAATAATAAAAGATATCCTAAAACTACCTAAATAAGAAAATAACAATATATCATGAAATAACTAATTAAATTATAAATATCTATCTTGATCCACCCCTATGCTCCTGCATCAGGGTGCTTCTTGCAGGGAGCTAGAAAACTGCAGCAAAAGGGACACGAAATATGGGTTTAAAATAAGCTTTTCTTATAAAAATAGCTTCAAAATCTTACAACTTTACAAAAAATAAATAAAGCTCTATCACTATCATCTAATTCAGCCTCAATTGGTTTAGTTCTTGTCTTGCCCACTAATTCATCTGAAAAATTAACAGGGTGAGGGATGAACAACCACCGCTCAGTAGGGACATGAGACCTTACCATAGTAAATTGATATAACTAAATTAAGTGACATGCAATCATACAACCAAATATCACATTGTTAATAATAATGCATGAATAAGCTTCAATTCTACTCCCATTAATTCATATAACTGGACAAGCAGACCTGCACATCCTATACCATGCTTATACCACTTGGTCCCAAATGCCGATTTATATGAACTAACACCCATCTCAATCATCCCATAATTTCCCCTTTTGTTAGTCATCTTGTCTAACTTCCTGTCGCCAATCCCGCATCACTCAATAAAAACCATGTGCACTGTGGGATTACTGAAATCTGGTACCTACCAAGAGTTAGACTCAACCACACAAAAGATTATTTTCATTACCCTCATTTCCATCATTATTTTCTCAATCCAAGAACTCCAAATATTTCCCATGACATGATATAGTTCTTCTTTTCACATATCTCATAAAAATAATGTAATCATTTAAATATCACCAATGTACATATAATCATGCCAACATGAATTAAAAAATTAACAACACGTAAACACCCAATATCAAGAACATTATAATATCAAGAACATCCATCAAATTATAATATCACGCATAATATAGTCCTCATGGAATTCAATTAAATCAATCCCTGTAAAGGCCACTAAGAAACCCCTACCTTGACACCAAAGCTTTTGCTAGAAATGTAAGATGTTTCCCAATTTTCCACTGCATTCAAAAACTCAGTCTCCCAGTCTTTTTCTTAACTATTCTACTTCTCTCTACCTCTATTTTTCTCTCGCTTTCTATTTCATTTCTTCATTCTATTGCTTCTACGCTTTTCTGAAGAGGGAAATAGGATTTTAAGAAACAAATGTTGTATTTATAGGACTCCAAGGGCGGTAGCTATGTTTATGAGATAACTTCAATATTTAAAGATCAGCTCCTTATTTCTTAAAGCCCAAGTCGCTTTTCTTTTACTCCAAGTCAAAGAAGGATAAGAAGAAATATCACGAGGACACGTATTGATGGTTTAAATGACTTAACCATTTATTTCACTGATATCTCATTAGTTTGCATGTAAACTAGTAAACCAATTTGGCTACCATGCAAGTAATTTGCATAGTTGATTGATACATGCTAACCACATGGAGCATATAAAATAACTCGCCATCAGCCATGCACGAAATATTCCAAGTAGATAGCCATGCACAAAACAATCTTAATACCATTAATTAATTTTAATATAAAAAAAAATATTAAGGAAATCATCAAAACCATTTAATTAAAAAGAATGAACATGGCCATTTGCTCGACCTTAAGCACTTTGCCACATCTACACGCCTCTGCAGCCCAAAATTTTTTAGGCTAACGACAAAAGACACCCTGCTGGTTTGGGGTGGTTCTCAATATGGGTCACATGGTATTAATTTTATCAATTTACACCCTTAAGTTTGCAACATCATCCAATTTCATCCTTCCGTTAAGTTGATTGTGTGGTCATTTGTTAAATGCTGACGTGCCCATTGTGGGACCCACCTATTAACCAACCAATTCATAAATAAAATGATAAAATAACAAAAATGTAAAAAAATAAAATAAAAAATAAAAATTCCCAGCCCCTCCCAGGCCAACAAACCCAGCTCCTCCCACTTCGTCTTCTACCTCCATCTAAATTGCTCCTAGACCTACTTCTCATTCTCATTCTCTTTCTGTCTTATCCCTATCCCTTTCCCTATCTCTATCTCTATCCCTATCTCTAAATCTCTCTTTGCTCCTACTTCGCCGCCTCGAATGTCGTTCTCTGCTCTTGCTCCTACTTCGCTTCCTCGAATGCTTACTTTCTCTATGCAAAACCCTAGGCGGTTGTTTCTCTTCTTCTTCTTTGGCTAGGTCGGGCTTATTCCTCTTGAGCTTGTTCTGTATGGACTCAATTTGGGGCCCTGGTTCTTTTGCACTCCATATCGGCAGAAATGGTCCTACAGCCAGGGCAGGGTAGGCTACCACCTACCCAAAAAAATTTCACTAAAAAAAAACTATATATAAGCAAAGTAATTGATACCCATTACATGTGATGGTATAAACCCTTGCCTACCCAGCCCATGTAAAACCCACACCACATGTGTTCAAGCCCACTCAAACTTTTTTTTATAAAAAAAAATTATAACCAGCCTATGTTATGGAATGGCCCAGTCAGACTTTAATAAAAGGGGGAATATAACTTATAAGCAGCCAAATAGTGGCTTTGCAATTCCAGACAGAGTCGGCAGCTTCTTCTCAACTCAACAGTCTTGGCTGTGCAATAGTCAAGCTGTGCAATCGTGGACAACCCCTTCTCTTCTCATATACAAGGAAACAAGTATTCTTCTTAATCTCTTCTCTTTAATTATCTTATTCTTTAGGGTTATTCCTAAAATAAATGTATGCATCTTAGTTTTAATTTTAAATTGAAATTGAGTTTTCTAGGGTTTAATTAGGAATGAAATATAATTTGGGGGTTTTTTTGAAATTAATTAGGTCCTTGATTTTAAGAATTTTGTTGAGATGTTTGATTTGTTGTTGGTATGTTAATGTTTGATTAAATTCATTGATGCTATTATGAGAAATTGTTTGATTTTTTGTTGGGATGTTTGATTAAATAGGTTATCTTTTATTATGTTGGATCACAATCAAAACCCCAAGAAAACAAAGAATTTGTTCTCTTTTTTTAAGAAAAAGAATGATAGGTCATCATCTTCTAGAATGCCTCTCATTTGTGGTGAGCCAAATCTTGTCTCTTTTCCCATTGTCGAGCCTCAAGGTGAAAGAGTTGAGACTCAAAGAGTTGATAGTGGTCAAGATTTTAATATCAATTATCTTGAGCATGATCCGGGATTACGTCGTCAAATATGCCAATATTCGGTGAATGAACAAGATAATGTGTGAAAAGCCTATATTATTTTAGGACCTTGTCAACCGGAGTTAGAAGACTACTATCCCAACCATTTAGAAGGGTGAGACTTACGTCGATTTAATAAATTGTGGTTTGGTAAATTCCCCTTGCTTGAATATTCAATTGCTAAAGATTTGACATTTTGTTTTCCTTGCTTCCTATTTGACATGAATCATTCACATTCAACCTTTACTATTCATGGATTTCAAAATTGGAAGAGAATTGGTGGTAATCAATGTGTATTTCAAAGTCATGTAGGCAAGCTAAATTCTTCACATCATCTTGCTATGCAAAAGTGGGTTAGCTTAAAAAACCCATCTCTGCATAGAGTAACTATATTGCTATGATGTCTTTTGAGTTTGTGTTTGCATTGCTTTTTTGGATAAAATTATGGGATTGGCCAACTTTCTCTATCAAGTGTTTCAAAAAAAAACTCAAGATATTGTAAGTGCTTTAAACTTTGTTGAAAACACAAAATCACAGTTCCAAGATATGAGGGCACATGGTTGGGATGATTTATTCATGAGTGTGGTATCATTTTGTGAACAACATGGTATTGATGTTCCTGATATGAGTTCTCGTTATATGATGAGCACACGTCGTTCTTGTCAACAAATTTTTTTTATTACAGTTGAACATTACTATCGCATTGATGTATTTAATGATGTGATAGATTGCATGTTCAGGGAGTTAAATGACAGATTTCCAGAGCAAACAATTGAACTTCTTATTCTTAGCTCAGCATTGGATCCTCGTAATTCCTTCAAATCATTCAATATTGGGCATCTATGTAAACTTGCTGAGAAATTCTATCCTGCTGATTTCAGTCTAAGTGACTTAAAAGGTTTGGAAATTGAGTTGAGGTATTTTCAAAATGATATGCATCGCCTTCCCTGCTTTAAGGACCTCACCACTCTTCCTCAATTATGTCAACAATTGGTGGAAACAACTTTGGCAGAAAACTACCATTTTCTTTACAGGTTGATTCAGTTGGTGTTGACTCTTCCTGTTTCTACAGCAACAACGAAACGAGCTTTTTCATGTATGAGAATGATTAAGAATAGACTTCGAAGCACCATAGCTGATGAATTCCTTGCTGATTGCATGATTCTCCACATTGAAAGAGAGTTTGCTAATAGTATCGATAATGAAGAGATAATTGAGGAATTTAAGATTTCTAAGCCTTGTATAGTACAATTTTAGATTAAAATAGTTTAGTTTTTGTGTTGCATTGCATTTACTTCTTGTTTTTTTTTGGTTAAGCTTTTATTTATATATAGATGGGTAAGACTCATTACGTCCCCCCTGACTAGGTGTATCTTTTTATTTTTATAAATAAAATTCACTCGTACCGTCGAGTTTTTAAGGTAAGTTTCACCTACCTGACTTTTGAATCTTGAATCCGCCACTGCATATCAGGACTGGTTCTTACTGGAATTGAGTTTTTGTGTTCAGCCGCCGAGTTGACGCCAGAGAGAGAGAGAGATGAGGGCTGGGGTTAGTGCGGGGCGAGAGGGGGTGATTGAGTAGTGGTGATCTTATTTGTAAGCTTAATTATCACCCATGAATCTGATTTTTAGTTACCAATAATTAAATGTTTTTCTGGTCATCCATGACTGCAGGTTAATTTGGTGGGGCAAGATATTGCTCTCCCACACAAATCCGGGTGTGGTTTCCTTTTATTTTGGTGCTCAGGTTATAATAATTTTGTGTTCATCTAACCAATATCTCTCCGTGCGTCGCTTTTCCGTTTGAGCATCGAGGTCATTAAATAGTTTGAAATTGAAAATTCTCAGCTTGAATCAAAATGTCTGGGCTTGGCAAGGGAGGCAAGGGTCTGGGAAAGGGAGGAGCCAAACGGCACCGTAAAGTCCTTCGCGATAACATCTAGAGCACCACCAAGCCGGCCATTCGTCGTTTGGCCCGCAGAGGAGGTGTGAAGCGTATCAGCGGTGACTGCCATGGACGTGGTCTACGCCCTGAAGAGGCAGGGCAGGACCCTCTACGGTTTCGGTGGCTAGGGTTTTCTGATTCTTAAAGTCTTGCTGTCAAGAAATGGGGTTGTTGGTTCGGTTTAGTTGATGTTAATTAGGTAGTTTTGCTTTGCTTAGGAGCTAAAATTAGTTTAGTGTTCTTGTTGCTATATGTGCTGTGTAAAGTGAATGATGGACTGAGTTTCTTTGTGTTTGTGGGATTGCAACTGAAGTTGAATGAAATGATGGTGTTTGATCCAAAATAAAATAAAAATTGTGTTCATCTTTATTTGTATAAGAGGTGATTCGGATGGAGGTAGAAGACGAAGTGGGAGGAGCTGGGTTTGTTGGCCTGGGAGGGGCTGTGAGATTTTTTATTATTATTATTATTTTTTTTTTCATTTTTGTTATTTTATTATTTTATTTAGGAACTAGTTGGTTAGTAGGTGAGTCCCACAGTAGACATGTTAGCATTTAATAATTGACCACACAGTCAACTTAACGGAAGGATGAAATTGGACAATGCGATGTTGCAAATGTAAGGGTGTAAATTGATAAAATTAATACCCTGTGGTCCATATTGAGAACCACCCCAAACCAGCAGGGTGTCTTTTGTCGTTAGCCCAAACTTTTTTTTGTCTCTCATTTATCTTTGTTCTTCCCTCCTCCCCTTCTCTCTCACTAATTTTCTTCCTCTTCTTCTTCCTCTCCACTCCCCTCTCTTCAATTCTTTCCTTCTCTTTGATCTTTATTTTTTCTTCTCTTTTTCTCTCTTATTTCTCTGTCTCTCTTTCCCCTTCCACTTTCTTTCTTATTTCTCTCTTGTTCTCTCTTGGTTTTGTTAAAAATAAATAAAAAGTGTTCAACCCTTCTTGGAAACCAAAGGGTATGTAGAGATTTTGACCCAAAAAATAGGTCTGCAGAGGTAGAGAAAGACAAATATGCCAGAGACAAGTAGAGAAAAAGTCACGGATTTTTTTCTCACTGCCCCAATATGCGAGAGACAAAGGTAGAGAGAAAGAGAGAGGAGAGATTCATTATTATACCCAATATAGGAGTTCAAATTAAAAAAAAAAACCTATATGAAATATACTTTAGAAACACACCCAAAGCCTATTTACAACATAACAAAAAGGTTTTTAACTTCTTTTAAATTACAAAATTGTTATTGATTTCTTAAAACAAACACAACCCAAAAACCTCATAAAAAAGCCAAAAACACTCAATAGGGCATCAAAGTAATTTAATAATCAAAATTAAATTAAATAGATCCGGCTATCATTTTTGGGGTTTTTTTTGGGTATGTTTATAGAAATTAAATGGTGTATGGTATATTTATAGTTTTAGTGCTAAGAATTGGTATAGGACTAAATATCTCAAGAGGGGGACAAAAAGAGGCAGGGGTTGGGCTGTGTCGTGGGTGGGTGGTTTCTTTGGGTGGGGAAAGGGTGGGAAATGGGTGACTTTGGCAGTGGGCAGTGTTTGCTGCCACAAGTAGGTGGTGCAAGGATTAAATGAACAAAAAATGGCATGTACAGCAGCAAGAAGGTGGAAAACTCAAAGAATTTTTTACTCTTTAGTTTCTGCCAAGGGTAAATTTGGAAACACATAATGTTTTTTTAATAATTAAAAATATTGTTTTGAGTAAAAAAAGAATGACATATGTGGAGAAGGTTGTTAGCATTTTCCATCAAAATTATTCTATTTAAGAAAAAATAATAAAACGGCATGAGCAAATTTTTTTTGTTTTTGTTTACTAAAGGCCTCATTTAATGTTTGGTCCTAGAGCCACCAAAATGTCAGGGCCAGCCTTGAGTGGCTGCAAATTACAACCATGTACTTCCACATGCTTGATTATAATTTGTACAAGAAAAGGAAAAAAGAGAGTTGATTTATTGATTTGAAAATGGGTGTAGTTTTGGGTGAGTTTCTGAGGACCAAATGGGAAGGTATACTTATAGGCTCTGGAGTAGAGCTGGCATTCGTGTCGTTTTTTTCAGTGTTCGTGTCGTTTTTGTGTCAAATCTTTTTTTTTTTAACGGGTTGACACGACACGACATGATAAGAAAACGAGTTGAAAATGTCAAACACGAACACGACCCATCACAATTCTCGAATCACCCGACACGACACGACAACGACAATCCATTAAGAATTAAAAAAATAAAACTAAAACAAAAACAGAAATTAAAAACAATTAAAAAATCAACCAAAAAAAAAAAAAAAAAAAAAAAAAAATCAACAACAGTCCATAGACAAGCTCGAAGGTGAGATTGGATATGCCCTGTGAGTGGCCCTCAAAAGGTTTGGGCAGTGGAGATGGTGGGAGTGGAGGAGGAAGAGTCATCGGAGAAGGTGAGGGAATAGGTGAGATCGATCGGTGAGGGAGAGAGGCAGAAGGGGGAGGTGGCTGGGATGGCTCATGGTGGTTGGGTGGTGTGGTGGCTGCTTAAGACTCTCAAGTTGAGAGAAGAAGAAAGCTCAAAGGTTGTTGGGTTTTAGAGAGAGAGAGTGAGAATCGGGGGAATGGGGGACAAGGGCGGAACCAGGAATTTTTCAACGGGTGGGCTAGCTAAAGTTATTAGCTTTAAAATTTAGTGATTATTTTTTTTTGGTACTTACAATATAATTTCTATAGTCTTCCTAGAAATAAAAGTAAACATTAAATCATATAAACCAAGCTAGTTCATAGCTCCATAGACTAATTTCAATAAGTTTTAACATAAACCAAATAGGGTTTAACACCATAGTGGATTGAACATCTAAGGTTTTTTTACCTAGATTAACCTTAGGTTCTTTCATGCATTCATATTATAGATGAAAAGTTATTTTATGTAAAAATATTGACTAAGTATGAAAAATGGGTTTTCGAAATAATCATTTTCTCAAGATAATTTTTGGCGGCTTTTATTCCTCACACATCAAATAAGAAAACTTGATTTTATGGGATTTTAGTATGAAGTATATATTGACTTAATGAGCCATCATTTTTAGCCTAAATCGTATTTGGCACTAAAACCGATTTTTCATATTTTGATTTTGTGGGAATTTGATTTTCTAGTATTTTTATTTGAATCCAAATGGGGGGTACTTCCTTATTTACATCGTAAACTTAAGTAAATTAAATAATATAAAAATAAATAAAAGTAAATGACAAAGACATTTACTTAAATGTTGAAAATGGAAATAAGGTAATCTGTAAAGCGCCACTGATTGAGCTAATATTGAAAATAAGTTAAATATATAAGTTTTATATTTTTTTTTCTTAAAAAACCACACTGGGCTACAGCCCACTGTAGCCCTTAGTGTGGTTCCGCCCTTGATGGGGGAGGAAGAGACAAAAGAGAAGATAAAGAAGAAGAAAAAATAAAAATAAATAAAGATAAAGATAAATTTACAAAAAATGCCCTTGAGCTTAACGGATTTTCGGGTATTCGCAAATTGACACGATACGACACAATAACTTATCGGATGATTAACGAGTCAACACGATATCAACACGACACAATAACTCATACTTGAATACTGAATTTTTCGTACGAATTTGTGTCATGTTAACAAGTCGTGTACAATACTACCACCTCTACTCGGGAGGCATGGATCATGCATGGAGGAGGAAATAATGTCACTCGACATCGTCATCACAGTGAGACAATAATGCAACGAAAAGAAGACAGAGAATTAATGTGGCAAGTTTGTGCTGTGATTAACAGGTCATTGTCACATGTAAATTACTAATACATTAACCACACGATTGGTGTGGTTGTGGTTCTGCTGCTGAATGCTGATGAGATATTTTGTTTTCTTCTTTCTGTTAACGTTGTACTGTTCGTAGACTATACATGGTACTGTGCACGTGGTTCACAAAATAAAGGTCAAATAAATGGAAGAATTTTATTTTGAAAAGTCATCATCTTAACTTAAGATTCTTAAGGAAAGGAAGAATTCAAAAGCAAAACATTTTGGCACCGACCCAAAGGACGATGAACAGACCGGGGGGGACTCCCACCCTGACCCCCCTAGTCACAATCTTCTTGACTTTCGTTTTTCTTCTTTCTTTTATAGTAAATTGTGCGTAGGCTTATAAATTTTATTTTTAATCATTTATAATCCTTATTTTTATTTTTTTATTAAAATATCTAATTTTTTCAAATAAAATCCAATGACTAGGATCCAAGTAAGCAAGTTACCTAATCTAGCTTAAAATATGATTTACTCTATCTTTGGATTCCAAAATTACCCCTATTTATAAGTTAACGTGTTATGTAGGGGTGTAACTAATAACACACATTGAATTTGGAAAGATCTTCAAATGGTTGTAATGGATGTAGAAATTAATTTAGAAACTTATTTGAAATTAAATATTAAATTCAAAATTAATGTATTAGTAATTTACACGTGATTAACGTTTTAGTCTATTTTGAAAAAAATTATATTGTTTTCCACCCTTGCTCCTCTACTTGTAATCTATTTTATTATAGTTTTATGAATAATAGTGTACATTCTAATTATGTTGAAAAATATTTTGATAATCTATTTATTGTTTGTTTTGTGAAAAACATGTTTTTAAATGAACCTATTTTTTCTCTGAATAATGTACCTTTTTTTTTCTCTGAATAAAGTAAGTATTATTTGTTTTATGAATTATAATTTGATCATCTTTTTATTGTTTGTTTTATGAAAAACAATTTTTTTTAAAATGAATCTATTTTCTCTCTCCAAATAATATACCTATTTTTTTCCTTTAATAATGTACCTAGTAAAAAAATGCATCTATTTTTTTAAATGAACCTATTTTTCCTCTCCAAATAATGTACCTATACACATTTATAGGTATATTGTAAAATAATTTACCTATGGGTAAATAATGTACCTATATTTTCTTTAAATTAACATGTACCCACTTTTAATTTATGAAAAATATATGGAAATTTCAATTACAAAGTAACTGACTTAGTTTTTTTAATTGTTTTGGTAAATAATATACCTATATTTGATTTAAATAATATATTTATATTTATATTTTCCATAAGTTCGATGGACTCTCGAGTGGTAGGGTTAAAGTATGGAAACAGGGTTGTTCAACATAGTGGACGCACAAACCAAGCCATGGACATAAGGGCGTATCCATAGAGGAGCAATGGTGGTCAATTGACCCCTGCAACCTCTGAAATCCTCCATTAGAGTAGCCAAACTTGACCCTCGCAAGGTGCTCGATGAAATGCCCCAAAGGGGCAACTTCTATGCAGGTGGAGGCTTTCACGGAGCGCGCTCGCGTCCTTTTTTTTTGTTTGCTTGATGTCAAAATGATGTCGTTGCACTTATGGTTTTTTTTTTAAAACACTTGGCCAAAACAATAAGATAGATTATTTCAAATTGGTTAGACAAGGTGTGGTAATATATTCGAATATTTAAAGGGAGTAGCCGGGTGGCTATACTCTTTAAATATACTATATTATATTTTTTATTATATTCATTTATTTGTGAAATAATTAGTATTTAAATATTTTAATTAATTTCATAAATTACTTAATAAATAGTAATTAATTATCTTAAACAATTTTGTGGAATTTAAAATTATGTAAAAATCCTTGAAAATTATTTTAGTGTTCTAAAAATGGATTTTAGCCTCCAAATCCTAAATCCAAGTCTAGTACCAAAAACAATAGCTTTCGAACTTATCCGAACTTGTTCCAAAACTATTTGTAAGCCTAAACCCTAACCATAAACCTACTGTAGGGCACTTAAGACTCAATTAGGTTTGGATAATTATGTAACTCGACCTATGGCTTTACAATTTAGGTTTCGATCTCCATCTTAGGTTAGTACAACGTAACCAAACCTAACCGAGAATTATCTCGAGGAATTTTATCAGGATAGACCTATCCTGACTAATTTTGTTGGGATAGACCTATCCCGGCGAATATGTGTCCTGATATATCTTTCCTGTCGAAATATTGCCCGGATTCGGACAACAAACCACTTGTTAAAATATTTATTAAGGCGTACTCAACTAACTAGAGTTAGACTTATGCATGCAAGTTTTCGTAAATATAAATATAAGTGGATATAAATATAAGGCTACTAGTGGATAATATTTAATATTGCTGGGTTTTGGTAAATAATATACCTAACTAGAGTTATATTTATTAAGGCTACTAGTGGATATATATTTAATATTGCTGGTGGTGCAGTTTCATGGAAGTCTAAGAAATAGACTATTCTGGCTCAGTCCACAATGGAGTCAGAGGTGATAGCCCTAGCAATGGCTAGTGAGGAAGCAGGTTGGTTGAGAAACCTACTCTCAGATACCCCCTTGTGGGAGAGACCGATATCAGTTGTTCTTATCCACTGTGATAGTACTGCAGCTATTGCAAAAGTTCAGAACCGTTATTATAATGGCAAGAGGCGACAAATACATTGCAAGCACAGTACTATTAGAGAGTTTCTTTCTAATGGAGCTGTAAGAGTGGATTATGTACAGTCTGATGAGAATTTAGCCGATCCTTTGACGAAAGGACTAGCACGAGAAAAGGTTTGGAAAACCTCAACAGGAATGGGACTAAAACCCCTAGAAGGTTAAGTCACTTGTGATGGTAACCCAACCTATAGATTGGAAATCCCAAGAAATAGGTTCAATGGGTAATAACAAGTCATTTAGTGATATGAGTGGAGTCATGCTAGTGTTCCATATCCATCCTTAGAAGCATGAAATCCTAAAGCAATTTAAGGTTGAGTTGTTTATAACTCTTAATGAGATATATACTCTATATTGAGTGGGATATCTAGCTATAGGAATATCTCTTATAGTCTCACCTATGTGAATGTGAAAGTGAGGCCGCTTTCTATGAAAAATTTTGGGGAAATTTTCTAGAGCATTCACTATACTGGGATACAAGCATATGGCCATAAAGTGCTGGCTTTTGAACTTCACCTTAGTAGGGCTATGTGTGTGGTGTTGTCAGAGATAGAGTTCAAAACTATATGTTACTCTTGTATATTCTGAAGCTTCGTCACTATGTAAAGGTTCAAGTTGAAAAACACCTCTACTTATGCATAGTCTTATGATATGTTGCTTAATGAATTTATTTCTAAAATGAACAAGTGGGGGATTATTGAAATTGGTATGTTTATTTTTTATTTTTAAAAATATATATTTTCAATGATTCAATAATTGCCTTAAATTGTCTTTATTAATAGGAGTTATTTTCTATTAATATGGGTTGAATCTTTTTTCAACTGATGCACAACGTCTCTTTGTGATAATTTTCTATTAATATGGGCTGAATCTTTTTTCAACTGATGCATTGATGCCCACAATGTCTCTTTGTGATAAATCTTGTATATATATATATATTTGATATAGCTAGGAGAGAAAGGACACAAACCATAGCTGCTGCCTTCCTTCTCTTCATATCTTTTTCTTATTTTCTAAACTAAGGTTTCTGAGCAACATAGAAAGGTGTTTGTATTTAGGTCCTTCCTCAGTGCAAGGAAGAATCTAGACATATGAGATTCTGAGGCTGTTTTATCCTGGGGATGTAGTGACTTTTTCTGAACTGCTTGCACAAATTGGGCAGAGCTGCGAAACGTCTTAAAGAGAGCGACTTTGTACGCGACTCATCCCAAGGATCGTTCACAGCTTCACAACGAATTTTCCAGGTAATATTATTCTTCTAATTTTCTCTGCTTCAACAAAGGAGATGATCTGGAGAACCTTATACTAGTTGGTACTTGGACTGTACCCAAAGCGATATGTAGCGTATGCCTCGCGACTTTCTATTACTTGGGAATGGGGAAGTTTGATGGACTCTCGAGTGGCAGGGTTAAGTATGAAAACAAGACCAGATACAGAGGGTGCACAAATTAAGCCATGGACACTCTCCACATGAGTAAACTAATGTTCAGGAAATTGGAAAATTTCGGCGCCGAGTGTTGGAACAGTCCCTTGTTGCTTAATTTTTCGGCGACAAGAACCGGTAAAGCTGTTGGAAGAAGAAGTAAGGGGTGTCGTTGCGGTGAAAGTTGCAGAAGGCGGTAACAAAGGAAGGGCTGCGGATGAGGGAGGACCAAGACTTGCATACCCACCTGCACCGCGTCATTAGATCCTTTGCTGGTAACCGTGGGAGTATATGAGCGAATATGATTTCGGCTGGGAGCTCTGGGTTCGTTGCACAACGTTTTATGGCCGTTGAAAGACCTCCAACCTCCAAACCAACAAGTCTTCAAATTAAAACTTAAACCTCGAGGACCAGGGAACAAACAAGAGAGGATGCTCTGCCCTTTTGCTAAGGTTTCCCTGACTTAAATAGAAAAAAGAAACCTAGTGCTGGAAGGAAAAACAAAAAGAGTAAGTTAGGAACCGCTTTATTTGTATTGGGGTATTTCATGGGATTATGATGTGCCTTGGTATAATAATAATAATAAGTCATGGATCATTTATCCATCGCAAGTCACCATGAGATGAGACTCATAATTAAACTAGTTTTATAGCAGGAGATGATGAATGAAATATTTAGATGCTGTGCTGAGCTACTGACTGAATGAAGAGGAAACTTTGAACAATTACACACTGATTATCTAGAACAAGATTTTTGACCGATCGAGCAAGAAAACATCTTTCTTCATACAAATGATATATATATATATATATATATATATATATATATGTTTCCTCCATCTCAATATATCCTTGACAACAGGGATTGCATGCATAGGGTTTGTTGGCCTGCAATTAATATGAAAACAGAGTAGTGCCCAAGAAAGAAAGCATCCTAACCAATCTAAATTTGTACCCAATCTTATTTCCGTAAAAAATAATAATAATAATAATAATTTCAGATTTTATCTTTTATCTTTTATCTTTTATCAAATACATTTGAAATTTTCTTTCAGATATGATCATTAAAAACCTGTTTACATTAAAATTCGTATAATTGGAAATTTGATTTCCAAGTCAATTCAAAATTCCAATTATTTGACTCTATATTTTTTGTAGGATTAGAATCTGATTTGGCTTCATTGTTTGATTAAAACGAAAAAGTTAATTTTGAATTGAACAATATTATTAATCCTTATAAGTTGATTTAATATGGTAATAGACAATGTGGTATATAAATATGGTATGCTTAGCATTTTTCAAATTTATATATCGTCCGAGATTAGTAATAAACATAAAAACAAAATAACATGGCTATACTGTGGGCAAAAAACGAGAAACACTATATAATAATGCTAATAAATGACGGCAAAAATAGAACATTATACTGGCTTAAAGAACACAATGGAACATGACTATATAAGGTCATCCATCTCATTTTAAGGGGACAATACTATCATCATAAATATTAATTAACTTAATTGGAAAAGGATTAACCCCATTTTCCTGATAATCAGGAAAAACAAAATCAATTACTCTATATTGTTTGCTCTTCATATCATAAAGACGCAATTCGGGTGGACCATCGTCATATATCCTGGTGAAAATCCAAGAAAATAGTGCACGAGGGCAAACTCTCCTGTGTGGATTGTACCCAAAGCTTCAATGTAGCGCTGATAACCAAGGTCCTCTCTCTCTGACGCCAAGCTAATGGTCTCCTTAACCCACACAATGTTTTGATAGTCCTTCAAAATCCATAACAAGATCTTGTCATGTTTCCATGACATGTCAGCAAACACACCTACGCATCCTCCCACCTTAACCATAGTTGGACAGCAATAATCATTGGCATTATCACTAGAATAGTTTTCATAATCTTGATCAGCGTAATAATTAGCAAACACTTGATCATAATCTTCAGGTAGTGGCAGCGCTTTGAATGTCTCCTCTTCAACGTCAAATGCAAAACTAACATTTTCTGCTTCTCATAGATCCAATATACGGCCCCATTGAGGCACACACTGGCAGTACTCTTTCCATATGAGTCAGAGGCATAAGCTAGAGCATCAAAAGGAAGATCGCCATGGTCTACCTGCAATGGCCTCCACCAAGAATCCCTACCTAGTGTGAACGTGTTGAAGACAAGATCCCATTTATCTCCAGGAAAGCACCTGGAGAACCTTATACTCGTTCGTGAGTGGACTGAACCCAAAGTGATATTCGTGATGTGCATAGCGGTTGACTGGCCTTTCCTTTGCATGGGGAAGTTCGATGTACTCTCGAGTGCTAGGGTTGAGTATAAAAAACTCAGGTTGAAAGTTAGAGGATCCACAAATCAAGCCATGGACACTCTGCACATCCTGATAACATTGGCCTAATTTCTGAATTTTTCCGTCATACAGACAATTTTTTAGGATTATGATATGATTTTTTGTTAATATCCAATAATTAGTAAAATAAAGAACTGGAAAAGTACGAATAATATATTTATGTGCTTTATCCGGCAAAATTTTGTAAGATCTAACTGAAAATTTTGGTCACTGTATAATATTTTAACATCTCATTCTCTCTCTTTTGACTATGATTCTGGACTATTTTTTCAACGGAGCCACACCATCTACCGCCATGATCACTGTACGAACTGAAAGAACAAAACTTGAATAGCAGCACTTCCGATTGATCAAACTGCTAGGAACAGGATACTAGGGTGCTTCTCGCGGGAAGCTAGAAAACTGCAGCAAAGGGGACACGTGGCATGCTGAAACCTGGTCCACTTGTCCAAGCATTGTTTATGAAAGAGATGAGCACATCTCTCATCTCAATTCTCTACCGTACATGTGGGAAAATGAGAAACATCCAAAACACATGATTTGACCTTCTACAAGATCAATTTGTTTATATATCCACGATCAATTTGATTATATTATGTTCAGACCAAAAAAAAATTTGATTATATTATAATGGCAGGTGTCTCAACTGTCTGATGGGGGCTATGCCCGACTGGTGAGGGAGAATCTCGAAAGCTCTGAAAATATTTATGAAAATCAAAAGGCCCTCGCCCGGGAATTTTTTTATATCCAAATAATGGAGCTCTAAAAAGCAGCTCGCAAGCAGACCCATTCAAGGACAAGAGGGGTCACATGACCCCATGAGATGGCCGAAAATGTGGCTGTGGAGGTCTGAGACAACCCATGAGGCGACCTCAAACAGACCCATTCAAGGACAAGAGTGGTCACATGACCCCATGAGATGGCCGAAAATGTGGCTGTGGAGGTCTGAGACAACCCATGAGGCGACCTCAAATGCACACAAGATGCTCGACGAAAGACTAGAAAGGCCTGCGCGCGGAAAAAGAAACAACTTCAGTAGAAGAGAAGTGGAAGCACGCAGCGGAGAAAGCAGCCTTTGCTGCAACAAAAAACTTAAAAAATAAAAGTGGTAGGCCAGATACGGATGCAGCACTAAGCACAAAGTGATGGGCATGTAGTTGTAGCAACAAAAAACAAAATAAAGAAAAGTAGGCCAATGTCCAAGTCTTTTTTTTTTTTGTCAAACGGGCTGGTCTAAGTCTCTCACTCAAAAATATGTTCATTTCTTTTTTTGTTAATTGAAAATATGTTCATTTCATTAAGCAAGCAAGCACATAAATCCAGGTTTTATTGTTCCTTGATCCTTTAATTAAATTATTGCTCTAAAAAGTTGATTTATTATTATTGTTTCTAGCTTTATTATGTGTTGATGTGATTATTGAGATTTCTATTTGGAAATTAAAAATGATTCGTAGGAAACAATTATCTGGAAATCTTAAAAGACATAGAAAGAAAAGGAAGAAGAGATAGCTCAAAATCTTAAATTTTAGTGACAAATTTATCTATAAAGGAGTTCTCACAAAAATAAAACAAATAATCTTCTTCGCTTATTAGACAAAGGGTTTCTAGGGTACGTTGGGGTTCATGGTAGAGTATTAGTGTGTGTGTGTGCGCGCGCGCTTTTTATAAAAATAAAAATAATAAAAAGTATTATTATTTTTACATTTTTAAAAAAAATTGGATAAAAAATGACTCATTTGTTCTACAAAATGCTTTAACAATTTAGCCTAAAAAATTTCAACACTTTTACACTGTGACCCTATGACCTGAGAATCCTGGATCCACCACTATTTGCAAGAGCAGCTTTTTAATCATATCCTTGGGAAACAAAGCAACAATTTAGGAGCTAATATGGGCTAGATAGTTCAATCCTAAGAATGATGGAAAAATAGGAGCTTAGTTAGCAACTAGAAAGGCAAAGCCTTTTTTGGGAGTCCAGGGTGCTGCCCCTTACTACCCAATTTCTGTCTATGAAATATTTTTGCTCACCACTTTAACTCAAAGTGTATTTTCATTATCCTTCTTTAACGCATGTCAATAGGCATAACTATGGTTAGTTTTTTATTTTGTATTATGTAACAACGGTTATGTATTTGGATAATGTGTTGAAAAATATGATAAGCATACGCCTTGGATAAAAGTGGTGAGCAAAAATACTCTCTTCTTGATATATGTTATCATTCTCGATCGCACGTCACCATGAGATGAGACTCATAATTAAACTAATTTTATAGCGGCAGATGATGAATTAAATATTTAGATGCTCAATCACCTTTTCTTTTTCTTTTTTTGCCATATATTTCTCAATTACCTTTGTTCACAAAATATTATTGAAAGGCAAATGCTACTGACTGAATGAAAGAGAAAACATAGAAAACTATTACACGCTGATTATCTACACCAAGATTTTTGACCGAGCAAGAAAACATCTTTCGTCATACAGATGCACAAGTGTTAATTAGGGATTGCATGCATGGGGTACTTCTCTCTCATCCCATTCTCTCTCTTTTGACTATGATCTGGAGTCTGGACTGGTTTTTCATCGCAGCCACCATCCATCTCCATCATCACTATCCGAACTGAAAGAACAGAACTTGAATAGCAGCACTTCCGATTGAACAAACTGCTGGGAATGGGACACTAGGGTGCTTCTCGGGGGAGCTAGAAAACTGCGGCAAAGGGGACACGTGGCATGCTGAAACCCGGTCCACCGGTCCAAGCATTGTTTATGAAAGAGATGAGCACATCTCAGTTCTCTAACCTCATCTCCTTCCTCAATCTTGCATAGACACACAGCACACTCCTCAGGACTCTCGTCGCTGGTCCCAGAAGGCTCGGGTTTGTAGTGAACTGTGCTGAGCGACGATGGCTCTATGGTTTGCTCTGAAGGGAAGCCAAAGCAGTGATCATGAGAATGTCCGAAGAAGGAATGGTAAAGCAAGATGTTGAGCAACGAGCTTAAGTGGCTGCAAATTACAACCATGTAATTCCACATGCTTGATTATAATTTGTACAAGAAAAGGAGAAAAAATTGAGTTGATTTATTGATTTGAAAATGGGTGCAGTTTTGGGTGAGTTTCTGAGGACCAAATACTTATAGGCTCGGGAGGCATGGGATGCACGGCAATAATGTTACTCGAAATAGTCATCACGGTGACACAATAATGCAACCAGAAAAAGGACAAATAATTAATGTGGCAAAAGTTTGTGTTGTGATTAACATGTCATTGTGGACATTTGGATGATCGTGTGGTTGTGGTACTGCGCACGTGGTTCACAATATATATGGAAGAATTCAAAAGCAAAACATTTTGGTATCAACCAAAAGGACGATGAACCGACCGGGGACCTATACGACAATTCGTCGTGCATGTCCCACCCTGACCCCCTAGTATTCGTATTCAATTCTAGTATTCATTAATTTCGAATTCAATTTTGTGGTCATAATTTTCTTGACTTTCGTTTTCTTCTTCTTTTTTTTAACGTTTCAAGATACAAAATTCAAATCAACAAATTTGGCATCACTTTAAATGATGGATGGAGTTTGAATACAAGAAATTAAAAACATCATAACAATGGGTTGCTTGTTTTGTAGTTTATGTGCCCTTCCCGATTTGACGAAGTTATACAATACTACCATAGCATCAACTGACGTTGTTGATTGGTACTACAATCTAATAAGATTAAGTTATGTGTACAGTGACGAAGTCAGGATTTCATGTGTGTGAAGGCCTTTCACAAAATATAAACAATAAAAAATTCAAACTTACAAGACATACCAAAAACATTTTTAAAAAAAATCATATTGTCTATTTATTATAAATTGAGTAGTATATTAATTCTACTAATCAAACCAATAGAGAATCACATATATAAAAATTCATAAAATAAATTAAAAATACACCAACACACAAGTTAACAATTGCGACAAAGGGATAGACAATTATATACTAAGCAAGAAAAAAAAAGAAAAAAAAAGAAGAACAAATACATACTTGAAGTTGATCAATTTAGCGAATATCTCTAAACCTTTTCCCTTTCCTAACTGCACATAAATTCAATAGAAAGAAAAGGTCATATATAGTTATAAAGTTAAAAACCTTGTGGGAATGGAGTGCCCTAGGCTTGGAAGGAAACGTGGTATTGACTGCTAGACCCCACATGGTAAAATTATATATTATTCAATAACACGGAAAGCTAAAACTGGATGGTTCTTTTTTGGCTGCAGGCCCACCACTTTCTGCATTAGGAGCTTCCTTACAGCAATGCATATAGTTAATTTTTTTTAATTATTAATAAAATCTGAGTTGGGGCCTGAGACTGCACTGGTTTCAGTGTGCCTCCGCCCCTACATGTGTACAGCTTAGATATGTCAAGAATTAACGACAGTCTATTAAATTTGTTGATGACTGGATAAGCTGTACACGTAGTTGAATCTTATTAGACCGTAGTATCAATCAACAACGTCAGTTGATGCTACGTAATAAATATCACCATTCGACCAAAGAAAAAAATTTGTATCATTTCAAAGTCCATTCAATTGAAGGCTGACCTTTCGTGTGCCTCATTTCCATCCTCATCCTCTTAGTTTTCTCAATCTTCGCATATGCATCATTTTTCGTATGTAAAAACCTCAATTTTTGATCTGAGTCCTTATTAACTTCGTTAGAAATCTCGTCACCATGCTTCAACATGAAATATCCAATCCAAGAAAATACATATATGACTCTTCTTTTTTATAAATCAATCACATGGTAATCAAATAAGCATGTCAAGGAAACAAACATCGAATTGCAAAAACGTAAAGTACGTATTTGAATCAATTACGACATATTCATCAAAATACTTACATGTATATTAGATTCTAAGGGAAGTTCAGAAGGGTGAAGCTGGTGTTGAAGTAGATTTCATTGAGAAACTAAGCGGATTGATGAGAAGTGTCAAGGGAGAAGCACACAATTAATAAACATATAAGACTTTTTGTAAAAAACAACATATATAGCATACGGTCCTCTCACAACTCACAAGAGAGAATTAAAATATATTATTGCTTGGGTTAGGTTCCACGAAAAAACGTTGTGTTATGTCAATTGCCGTACGAGGAAGGTAGGGAGCACAGATGACCTGTACAATTTCAGGTTTGACTCAGCCAAGTTAACTGTGAATCACGACATCCGTTGGAATTTGGAAACGCCGAACGCAAACAAAACAACAATCCCAATCCACGAATCCAACGTTAAAACACAATATCTTGTTTTCCACGTTGTCCAAATGCTGCCACGTCGCTTATAAACAGAATATTATATTATTGGACAAATATTCGAGGTTAAGCTGTCTATTCAACAAGCCCTTGTCAACCCTCCAAAGATGGAGATGAGAACAAGCAATCTGACCCCCATCCAACAGGACCCCTTGTCTCTGTTTTTCTTTCACGCGGAAGATCCTTGTATAGATTATTGGAAAATGATAGGCATCGCATATCAAATTGTATACCACCTCATTAATAGATGTGGGTTCTATTGTATTTGTGGGCTTCACTTCTATTAGGATTAATTTGGTACGTCGTACTATACTGACTAATTTTTATCATATAATATTAATCTGTTTCGGATACTACTGACTATTATCCATAATATTATAAGGCGTTTGGTGCTATTTCGAATAAATAGTCTGACTAAATCATATTGTGTTTTGTCCTCTATCGAATAACAGACGATTCTTTTTTTTTTTTTTTTTTTTTTTTTTTTAATTAATTCTTTTTTTCTTTTATTTAAGTAAGTAAATTGAAATCCATATGACAAATTTTTTTTAGCAAGATTTAAATGACAATAGTTTTTTTCTTCTTTTGTTTTTGCCAATATTTATAAGACAAGATTACATGAACTAACCCATTATCATAATTGTAGAACTTAGCATCATACATTTTACATAGTATATAAGCACATCTTTATTGATGGAAAAAAAATCACATCTTGATATTTTAAAAAAACTACATAAGACATCTTGATATAAGCATATCTTTTCTGATAGTGAATTTGATAAAAGCACATCTTTTCTGATTGTGAATTGATATACGCACATCTTTTTCAATTGTAAACTGATAAATTACATAAGACTACAAATAGATGATAAATTATAGAAGATCAAGTCTGAAGCTAATGATGGTCTGGTGCAATGCAATTTTACATCAACCATCTTGATTGGCAATCTCACATGATAAGATCAATATCACTACGCTCACTATGATTTAATGGATTCGATTAAATAAAATGAATAGATGCCAGAGTTTCTTTTTGTAGCCTTATAATTAAGTGTCTATTATTTTTAATTTTTTTTATTAAAAGCGATAGTAATTTTATTGATAACACAGTAAAAAGTATTGAGTAGCCGCAATGCCAAATATGAGTACATCTCCAGTAACCAAACACAAAAATAAATTGGTTTGATATGGAGAGAATTATGCATGCTAGAAAAACCTAAAAACTCCAATTCGGCAGACAAGAAGCATCTGTACTTAAACCTACAATACAAATCCATCACGCAACAGTAGTAACGACAAATCCGCATTGAAAAGTCAAACGCTAAATACAAACATCAACAAACTCCTATTGAGTTTCTGAGAATTATTAGACTAAAATAAACACAGAAACAAAGACACCACACCACTTCCTCTCTAGCAAACTAAAGAGACTCGTAGCACCAACATGACTAAACCTCTTATTTTGCACAGGCAAAATTCGATCCCACACAGACCAGCAACAATCACTTTTCCAACTCCAAACACTGAATTGGAGCAAATTCCATATGAGTAGACCAAAAGCTACAACAAAATTATGGCGTCTATGGTGGATTGCAATACTTGTTGTAAAAACACAACGGAAACCAAAGAGAAAAGTTGGGTCAACAACACCACACCGCAACCATCCCAATGACAGCAAGACACATCCAAGAACAACAAAAGTCACCAAGGACCTACTACAAAAAACACACAAACAAACAAATAAACAAAAGACAAGATCTAGATAGATCTGGGCAAGACAACCCAAAATTCAAACAAATTTGGGGAGAGAAAAGGATAGGGGAAGAAAACTAGGGAAGGAGAAAGGGAGATGAGGAGAGAAAGATGGAAGATGAGGAAGGTACCCATCCCCAGAGAGAGTTTAGGGTTTCTGGCCTCAAGTGTCTATTATATAAATCTGGGGGAGGGGGGGTGTGGTATTAGTTAGTCATGTATGAAGAATATTAAAAGCCCAATCTGTTTAACATAGTCAAGTAATTAAATAATACAAGTTGACACCAAAAAACTGACATGGGTTATTTACTGCTATCTAGAGTCTAATATGGTGTACCAAACATACCCTTACAAAGGTGGTACATAATGTGATATATAAATGTGGAGTGGTGCTATTTCCATCCACCTGTCCTATTTTCCCACTCACCTTATCATATGGGTGGAAATAGCAGCACTCTAAATGTGGTAGGCCTAGTATTACCCTAGATTATTTATTGATTTTTTTTAAAAAAAAAATTTGTTGATGTGTAATGTCTTAAATATGGTTAGATTTCAAATGCAAATAAATGCACAATTCTAAATGTAGAGGCTTGAAATCCTCTTCCTCCCTAATAAACTAAACAAATCTATTTCTCTCTCACAATTCAAAATACATTAGGTCCTTGTTTAGGGCTAGACTTGTATGTACGATATGGTTATTACTACGCAATCTTGTTCAAGGAAAATATTTATCAAAATTAATAAAATGAATAAAACAAGTCTTTGAACAATATTAATTTCGACAAAAATTAAAATTAAAAAAAAAGATTAGTAAAAATTGGAGCTACCCTATACAATTTTGTTTAGAAAAAAAAATAATAATCAATTTTGGTCCTTGTAGTTTGTCTTTTTAAAAAAAAAAAAAAAAATAAAGTTCATGTAGTTTTAATTTTGTCAATTTAACCCTTACAATTTGATATTATCGCAATTCA